CCCCCGTCAAAAGCCCGGTCCTCTTATCATGTCCAGGAAAATTTCTACCTTTATTTACAATCTTTGAGTGTGCGCAAACCCTATCCCTTGACCTTCAGTTACTACAATAACAACCAAACAACTGTGGAATAGGAAGACGACAGTAAAGCAAGAATCGAGTGTATTTGATGTTGTTACAAATCAAATAGTTTAACTCGTAATTAATAAAAATTCTTATTAAGTTGAATGGGTCTGTTTACACTGCACAATTGATGTGTCTAATGTTCACTGAACTATTTAAAGTCATAATTTTAGCGTGAAAGTCCTTTTGCTATTCCAGAATTTTCTGGTTCTCTCTGAAAAGCATATAATTACTCATCTTGATTGAGTTTAAGAATCCTTTCTTGTTTCAGGGTTCAAATCCCTTCTTTAATGAAGGATTTGGTTTGTTTGCCAGAACTAGAACTATTTCTTGGTGAAACTTTAATCAGACTACTTCAGGTAAAAATATTATTAGCGTTGCTCAGGTTCCTCATAGTTATTTCCGCCGATTACCCGCGCTTGGTCTTAAACTATGATTTTAAATGAATTTAAATTCAGCCAATTTGGTCCAGCCGAATTTTCTAAATTTAACACCAACAAAAAATAAAGTCAAAATTTGTACTTTTATAATTTAGATGAACAAGAACGTACAGAGGTTTAAAGGGAAGCCTTTATAGGTGTTTTAAACAATTCTTAAATATCTTACCCCTTCTTCCCACTCTCCCACCAACCCCTCCTCTCAATTATTATCAATTAAAGTTTGAAGAATTAGTCTAGAGCTATATGTTGTTTGCGCTTTATGTTGTTTAAATAATTTGCATCACATCAAATACACATGTTATTGCTAAAATGTCGTTTTTTTATTCCAAAGTTTTATGGGTCTTACTTTATGTTTTTAAATCAAAGATGTTTATAAGTCGGGTTGGTTGGTTGGTAAATTTTCATTTGATGAAATTTTACTCTTGCAGATTCTAGTTGGGTCGCCTTTATCCCTGAATGTTAGAAATCTGGCCTGGCACGGTTTCCTCCAACCTGGAGAAATCCCTCCGAACCTTCCTCCAGTCATAGTTTCATTAATAGCGTCAATTGGAGGAGTTATAAAGGTAAAATGTTTCTACCAAATAATATCAAGTTATCCTTTTTTAATTATACAATTTACAACTCGTTTTAAGAACTAAACATTTAATAAATTAAAAACGATTTTTTATTTGTTCATTTTTGCTTTTTCTTAGGACAAGAGTTTGACAATAAATAGTCGAAGCTTGAACAGTATTGATAAAATTCACAATATTCAAGAATCCTTGCCGCAACTCATTCTTTATACACAAACAGAGCTGGAAGAGGAGTCAATGGTGGAATCTTTGCACCCTGGACAGAAACTTATTTTACTCAGGTTTTTTTTATTAAATAAACATTTTATAAAATTATAATTTGTGTCGGCAAATATGCTTTTATTTCCTATTTAAATTACTAGGATTCTGTGTAAAGCAAAAATATTAACATTTATAAAAACATTATTTTTTATGGTTTAAATCGGAAACTATTTATTATGAAACTTGAATAAAATGTGAAATCACAGTTGAAGGCAAGCTTGTAATCGACAATTGTCTTTAATATAAATTGATATGTTCAAAATTCCCTGTACTCGTCAGAAAATATTATTAAAAAGACAATAGCCTTATTTCACCCCTAATATACATATGCGTAGTTCATCCATTGTCTCCGTACAACATTAATGACCATTCACTTTAGTATCCTGAAGAGCTTTCATGAGAGAAGGATGTTAAGATGTTTACTGTTTGGTCTTCCTCTTTTAGAATCAATTCTTAGGAGTAAATTTGTTGCAGTTAATAGCTGTACTATCAGACTGGTATGAGATTTTAAGATTCTATTTATAAGTCTAAAAGAATTTTTTTTCACTAGAATAATTTCAGTTTCTCAGCTAGACTTCGCAGTTTTTAAGGAAGAGATTGTCTCCTTAATTGTTAGTTAACCCTATCCCTGCTGGGGTACTTGAAAACCAGGATACGCTGGGGGGGGTTTTATTTATATGTAGATTTAAAGAGGTTAAAGAGTCTTCTGACGAACCTCCAGAATCTGGCCTCCTTGACCTCACTGGAGAAGAATAAATGGGAGGTCGTCCTTGTACATATCATACAGATTCAGGTTCAAATATGTTAATGTACGATCTATATGAATATTAAAGTACTGAGTAGGGGATTGATTATGAAAAATACATCTGAGTCCAAAATTTAAAACAGAGGATCTAATAAAACCCGGCATCGGACCAAGTACCAAGTACCAATATTTTACGCGATCTTATTTGGTTTCATTATGTTTTTTGGTTTTCAAATTTCTTAAATCAAAATGTACTCAAATATTTAGACCTCGAAAGGGAGACTCGAGAATTTTTGTCACATGCACCTTTAGCACTCGATATTTCCGGTTCTGAATTGTTGTATTATTAAACAGGAGCGTAGTGGAGGGGGGGGATGGTACCCCTGTGCCCCCCTTAGACATGAACCCCCTACTTTTCTTACTTTTCTTATCAATCGACAATGTCACAATTTGTCCATTTTATGATTATTTCTCAAATTCTTTCTTGTACCTTAATCTTATTTACAATATTTTTTCGCGGGGTTTCATTTAAAATGATTTGTAATTATGGTCAGATGACTAATAGTCATCTTTCAGGTAAATTAATAAAAATTTTAAACTGTATTTTTTCTTAATACCGGTTTTTTAGGGGCATCAACCGTTAGGGGGGTGCACAAAAAAAATTCGGCGCGCTTACGCGTGGCAAAAGTGCACCCCCCTGGGCTAAACCGCCACTACGCGCCTGTTATTAAACACCATTTTTTTCCCAGAGCCTGAATTTATTATGAAGCCTTGAACAGTAAAAATAAAAATTATTCATTTTGGATCTTAAGTAAAGCCTAATAAAATTGCTATGGTAGAAAAGGGTTCATTGATTTAATCCACATTGATTCAATTCTCATACATTATCAACGATAAAAAATATGAAGTTTTATTATGACCCTGTTAAGTCAAACAATTTTATGTTTTTTTTAGGAAGTCCTTGAAATGAATTCCCCAGATTAGGGGTACACTCTGAAGAAGCATGATCTCTTTTAGAACTTGTAAGGAACAAGTCTAATACAGTTGTACACTAGATAACTGTACTAGACTGGTTGTTAAATGTGCCTTTGTCTTGAAATGACAATGCTATCAATTATATAATGATAATGAAAAAAGCCATTTTAAGCAATCTTCTATTTAAAAACTTAAGATTCCCGATTCATAATATACCCCCTTTTAACATTTCTCTTCTTACGAATAATGGATATTGAATATATCTCTGTTTCTCTGTCTAAAAATTGAAAATTTTTTATTGCAGTCTATCTAGAAAGAAAATTGACGATTATTTCCTCATTATTGAGCAACAATAAGTTTGAAAGGGGACCGTTGTGAATCAGACAAATAATTAAATTATGTCAGCAGTCCATTCAACTCCTTTAGTTTCTCTATCAATAATTTGAGAATTATGAATAAATGAACTTTCTTAAACTAATCAACTCCGAGAGTTCTATGTTTCCGTATTTGTGAACTGTTATGTTAATTGATCTTTATCTTCCTTTCTCTGTCTTATATATTTTACAGGAATTCTTCTGTTGTCAGGTAAACCTAGGGAATCTTGTATGAAAGGATTACAAAGGAGGCATTTTAGTTTCTTAACTATTTTTTGAAATACGTTGAAGCCAGGTAAATAGAGAAATGCGGGGTTACCGAATTTTTCTATATTTCCTTCTATAAAATATTATTCTTAATATTTTTAACTGTTGAGGTAAAAAAGAGGGTTAAGGATGATCTGGGATTATTGTCACAATACTGATANGGGGTGGGGCATAAGTCTTATTACTCTCCGGAAAATTTAAACAGTGGTTAAACATAACTTAGCATTGTCGTAGGACCCTGGTTTTTTTTGCATGCAAACTAACTAATATGTATTGTAACTGCAAAATGCAATTTCAAATAGATCGGAACAAATGTGCGTGCGCGCGTTTTTTGTTTAAAAATACGAATTTTTTTCACGTTTTCACTTGTTTAACACCAATAAATGATTTGAAATTGCATCAGGACGCGATCAAACAAAAAATTCCTTAACATTTTGCACCCTAGAGTCTCAAGTCCCCGTGCGCGCGCGCAATTAAGAATAAATATAAATAAATATATTTTAAATCCAGTTTGGCCTAATTCGAAACAAAAGTACCATGCAATATATCAAACTACAGGTAAATTGGGATATGGAATTCGTTTCTGAGGTCAAAATTTACTTTGAAGCATTCTGACCAGTGCGCTAGTAGCCAGATCTCACATTACTATAAGTTTTACATGCCGTATATTAATTTATAGGTAATTGGGCACGAAAATTCCATTTCTTAAGTTAAAAAATCTTTTGACCACTCTGACCGTTACGTTATGGGTGATCTTACAACAGATTTTGCATGGTGTATGTCAATTTATAGGTAATTGGGCACAAGAATTCCAATTTCTGGGTATAAACTTTCGCAAGACCACTCTGATCGATCCTAGCAGCCAGCTGTTACCTTCTGGGCCATCCTGCCAAATCCCAAGGATCAAAATTTTATATAAGTTCTCTTTTTCGTTTTGTAGATCTACTTACGTCATACAGGGTGTCCAAAATACTTTAAATTTTCCCTTTCCAGACCTCATACTTTTTATATAACAAAAATTTTTGAGTTTAAGTAAAAAATTTCCTGGGTTTATTTTAACATTTTATTTTTGTATTTTTTTAATTAAGTAAGCTTTTGGTCTAAGGCTTTCTGCTAAGACAAAATTTTTGGATCTGTGATGATTATTCATTCATAATTTTTCTTGGTAAATTAGGGTATAAAATCATACTACCAAGGGTATTCACGACTTAGAAAACGCAAGACAAAAAAGGATTGTTTTTTTCTCAACATTTTTCTTTTTAGTTTTGATCTTACCATGTAATCTTTCATTATAAAAAGTTTCCGAAATTACTGTAGTTTAACATCTCCGGCCTGTAAGATATATTCTAACAGAGCTTAACATTTACTCTAAAATCAGTCAGATTTTCATAAGTTTAAATTTTGATAACTTCTCCTGAAGTCCGTGTCATATTGCAAAAGAATGAAATTTGAGTTAAATTAGATCATTTGACCTAGTTCATTAACTTTTCTTGTACCGCCAAGATAAAATTAAAACAACTCTGGCTAAAAACGATCTTGATGAACATAGAAAGTAAATAATCCAACCCTGGCCACCTATAATCAGACAAAAATTTTGAAATAATTCCAAATTTTGCCAACAAAGAAAGTGGAAAAAATTGGCCAAATAGATTTAAAACTTACAAGAATTTCAGTGCAAAAACAAAACAGTTTAAACTCAGGCACATCGTTTTTATTAACAAGAGGAGAACAAGCATTATTTAATCTTGAGATTAAGAAAAAGAGTAGATCAAGCATTAATTCCGATATCTACTATTCAAGAGTTCCCAGCTCTGAATTTCTATCTTCTTTTTATTTAATTAAACGGCGTTACAGTTTCTACAAACTTGTAGTTTTTACCTTTTCTCTGTCATGGTATAGAACTGTGTTTACCGTTACTAATAACTGAATTTTTAACCACGATTCCTATCTTTTTTTATTTAATTAAACAGTGGCCGAATTTAAAGAATTTGAGTGGCGGTTTAAATTTAAGCCGCTGCCTAAATATGGTTGGTTCCACGTAAAATTGTATCAAATGTTTTAAGATTTAAGCCAACGCCTAATCTAAACCGGGTTTTGGCAGATTTAAACCGCGGCTCAAATTCTTTAAATTCCATCTCAGGTTTGGGGAAAAAAGCTATATGTCTCTACGAAACTAATGAGCTAGAAAACCAAATATTTGAAATAAACCGATTCTTATCTTGTTATCCTTTATTCCACTGCACTTTGCTGAAGTTTGTCATCTAAAATCTAAAGCGCCAGATTTAAAAACTGTTTTTATGGCACAACTTTTTATATTTAGATGTTTCCCCCGAGGCTGTGCCAACCTGGTCGACCTAGATGGTTTCTAAAAGAAAATCCAGAATATTTATTTTAATTTATTTTTAAGAAAATTTTAAGTTTGAATAAAAACGAACCTGCTGATTTAATTTGTAGTAAAAAATTTGTAGGGAGAAAAAGAGTCAATCAATTAAATAAAAAAATACATGGGATAACTTGGGCAAAGGGGGGGGGGCGGCAGTGCTCATCCTGAACCTGGACTGGACTAGATCCTGGACTGGATAGGATCCTGGATACTGGACTGAAGCGTACCCTGGACTGCACAGGATCCAGGATCCTGGACTGGAAAGAATCCAGAACCCTGGCATTGACGGGACCGTGTACTGGAAGCTGAACTGGACTGTGGACTGGCATAGATAGGGTCCAGGACCCTGGACTGGACTCAAACTGGAAAGGATCCAGGACCCTGAAATGGACCCGCCCCTGAACTGGAAAATGGGAATTTAGATTTCTGAAGATAATAAAAGAGTTCCTTTAAAATCGGAATTCAATTCCGATATTTTAAGAATTAAAAATTATGACCGGAATTCAGTTCTGATATTTTAAGACTTAAAAATTAGGATCGGAATTCAATTCTGATATTTTAAGAATTAAATTATATTTGAATTCTATTTGAATAATTGAGACGGAATCAGGTTCTGGATTTCAAGAAACTCTTTTCCTTAAATTTTGGAAAATGATTCCATGAAATATCGGAATCTGGTTCCTATATTCACGCACAAATAAATTTTTTCCGCGAATATCGGAACAAGTTTCTGTAGTTTTCCCGATTTGTGTTTACAGTGTTATTAAAAAGACAATAGCCCCATTTCACCCCTAATATACATATGCATAGTTCATCCATTGTCTCCGTACAACATTAATGACCATTCACTTTAGTATCCTGGAGAGCTTTCATGAGAGAAGGATGTTAAGATGTTTACTGTTTGCTCTTCCTCTTTTAGAATCAATTCTTAGGAGTAAATTTGTTGCAGTTAACAGCTGTACTATCAGACTGGTATGAGATTTTAAGATTCTATTTATAAGTCTAAAAGAATTTTTTCACTAGAATAATTTGAGTTCCTCAGCTAGACTTTGCAGTTTTTAAGGAAGAGATTGTCTCCTTAATTGTTAGTTAAAAAACTTAAAAGTATTCTAAACAACGAATGCTAGCTTTTACACAACTAATATTTTAAAAACCGGGTTTAGGTTAGATTTGAAATTACCCTTGATTTAATTTTTATTTTGTACAGTAGAAATTACTAGATTTTCTTCAAACCCAAAGAGTTTCAAAGTTCTCTTTTTTTGCTATATGTTATTTTTTACTCTTTTTATTGTGTTCACCTAACTAAATTTGTTTATTAGTTGTTTACCCAGTTTAGGTTAGGTCATAACTATTGTAGTCATTATAAATCTATATAGTTTAATAATTGATGAAATTTTAGATTTTCTTTTTTTATGTCAAAAACAATGAGACCAAATTCATTATTATTATTTAATTACAATAAAGGTTCAAATGATGATTGGATAATTGTGTAAAAATATTTAATATAAATCAGTTGTTCAAATCAGTTTTAAAGCAATTTTTAGTTTCTGTTTTCACTAATGGATTTAGGGATTTATATCGATTAAGCAAAAATCTTTAATTAGATAGATTTCTCATTTGAAAGTATAAAATATGAATCACAAATCACAGATTGAAAGATTCTTAAACCTTCAGCANTGGTTACAGCCTCTATAATTGTGGCAACAGCAGGTAAAATCATTTTAACAGCATTGCCTAATGATTCCAGAAGTGTAGTAGTAGGAAGTCCTTTGTCTTCATGGGCCTTCTTCAAAGCTTCTAGCTCTCTTCTTCCCTCTTCAACTTTTTCCTCTTCAGCTTTTTTCAAATCTTGAATCTGCTGTTGATACATTTTCTCAGTTTTCCTTCTTTCTTCATCGGTCTTTGCATTATGCTCCTCTGTACTTCTTTGCATTTCAGCCTTCAACTTCTCTATGTCATCTTGGGCTCTTCTTCCAATGTTTTTTACTGCTTCTTGAAATTCATTTTCCGCTTCTTTTCGTGCCTTCTCATGTTCCTTTATCTGTCTTTTCAAAGTCTCATTCTGGGTTTCAACTAGCCTGATAGAAGCTGTTGTTAGGCCAGTATTATCTTCTAACAACTGTCTAAGTGTGCCAAGAGCATTGACAAATGCACTGTTCTCATCATCATCATTCTTATCATAACATGCATCCAAGTAAAGATATTGTAGTCCTTTACCATTGGGAAACTGCTTCTCTACAACTTTCATGTAATCAACTGCTAAATCATCATCACTCTTCTTGTTCTTCTGTTCTCTTCTAGTCTTTGCTTTAACATCTTGCTGGACCCTGGTAAATATTATTACCACTTGTTTCCAGAACTCTGAGGTAAACATTCCCTCAAATATTCTGATGATCGCTACCAGAGAACCATCCAATCTTGGGTTCTGGCCATTGACTGCTATTGCAAATAAATTTACATGATCACAGTCATTATTCAGTTTACTGACAAGCTCAGCAATAATGGCTGCATCATCATTCTTAGTTGCATCGTCAAATCCAATTGTATCAATTAGAGAGATTGGATAAGTCTTGTCTCCATTGAAGTTCACATCTGCAAACTTGGTTCTCTGTGTACATGACTCAGCATCAGAGGTAACTGGGAATATATCAGCATCATGATCATATCCAGTTATGACATTACAGAGACTACTTTTTCCTGAACCTGTTTTTCCGATTATTAGAAGTTTTTTTCGTCCATTATCTCTAATTTCCTGTTGTACTATAACTCCAGGATATCCTTCTTTAAAGTTTTGTCCTTGGTTCCAAGTAGCCATTTCCAGGTTTCACACTTTCCTGGGGAGTAAAAAGTAATCATAAGAATTAGCTGAAGGCAGAATATCAAAGTCTTGATAAGATTAAGAGAAAAAAAATCTTAACTAATCAAGAACACTCAAAATATCTCTCATATTCTCTTTGAAATAGATTATTTTTAATTGTTGTTTTTTAAGAAAAAATATAGAGTAAATTGTCAGAATTAAATATTTTTCGAAAGGAAATTGTAAAGCAGGATAACAAATTGGCCTCATAAGTGTTTTGGTGTTAATGTTTTAAAGGTTGAATATGAAGAAATCTTACTTGGTGTTGAGCTCGGTAGCCTGGACAATACACTGCACTAAACAATTCTTTAACAAATCTTATATACAAGATAAGATTTTAACATGCTCAAATAGGTGTAGAGTAACAAAACTATAAAAATGTATTACATGAACAAGCCGACTCTGATTAAACTAAGGAGTTTTTTTCTGAAGTTTGCATTGACTTATTTTATGTTTTAGATCACAGCTGAAGCAACAGAACTTTATACAAAGTTTACTGAAATGTTTAGGTAAAAAAAAGGGGAAATTTTGATGGTTCCCAACATTTTCGGTTCCCCACTGTTTTATGTATACCCAACTTTTTTAGTTTTCCTTCACATTTTACTGTTTTCTACTATTTTTTAATGTTTTTCATTCGCATTTTACCAATTTCACAATAATATGTTATATTTCGATGTAAATCCTCAGATTTTTAGCTTATTCTTTCAGGGAAGGTGATTTTTTTGTCAAGAAGCCTATATCTACAATAATATATATATATATAATATATAATATATATATAAGGGGCAATAGATAATATTCCTGAAACTTGCGATGAACTTATTTATTTATCTTTTATCTTAGATTTCAAACTTTTTATTATTTTTTCAGCCCCAACATGGAGGATGGAAAAAGAAATCTTCTGATAGAACATCTAGGATCTGGGATTATGGAACTTTTCATGGATTTATTTGTAAGTTTTCGGAAACGCCTTTCCTTATTATTTTGGGCCAATGGGAACAAATGGTTAAACTTCCGGATTGAAATTTAGAAAGCCAGAGTTTTAGGGTTTAATTATTGTTTCTCCAGGTATTACCAGAAGGCCCTCGTTTACGGGACAGGATTAGTCATGGAGAAGTTGACCTACCTAGCCCGCCTTGCTCTGGTAAATCAATCGATGAAGCATGTTCCATAGTTTTACATCTTATCCTTAATGTTCTTCATATAGACCAAGAGAATGGGTAACACTTTTAATTTTAAACCAATTCTGTTGTTTTTTGATAATTTAATGATATTTTACAATTAAAGACGGAACTTGTTAAGATCGGTTCAATTAATCTATTGGTTTTCTTTTTGACTAATCTCTTTGATAAATTATTAAGTTTTTTTGTTTCCAGTTCTGTCCATTTGAAATGCTTTCGCTTTATTAAATTTATTCTTAATTTTTATCTTTTAACCATCATTTAACAATTGAAATTGTGACATTTATAAGTTTATAACTTAATTTATTTTTTTCTAGATTGAAAAAAACAACTTCTAGTAAATGGACCAAATTTCTCCACTACAGATCCCTTTTTCATCCAATTTTGATCCAAAATCTTGACACATCCAACCGATTGGTAGCAACACTCTTCCGAATATTTAAATCACACAAGATAACATACAAGTCTCTAACTTGTGACAACAAAGTTTCGACCGATTCTACATTTTCACTTGAAGAAAGTTTTAAGGAAGAAAATTTTGCGGATTTTTCGAAATGTCTTCTCGCGCTAAAACCCGCCATTTTGCATAGACCACGTGATGAAATAGAACTGGTGACATCTGTTGGTTTAGTTGTTGATGCAGCTACTTTAACATCTAATAACGCTGCTGTCACACTGCAGTACAAATCAGTAGATTTTCTGGCCAAAAAAATGAGGTTTGCAAAATAACTAAATTTATTTAATTTTTTGCAAATGTTTAAACTTCATAAAATCATAAAATATATACAGCCTATATAAGCCGACGAATGATATCATTTATGATAGAGATCAAAGGTCTGCCACGGGATTTTGGATTTTTAAATTCTTTAATATATTCATACAAGTATTCTAATCTCTCAGAAACCGAATAATGATATCATTTTTATTATTTTTAAAGCTTGAGAAAACTAAAGTTTTTTTACGTCGAAAAAAAATATATTTTGTGTCTATACATTCTTTGGAATGTATAATCTATACAAAGAAATATTTTGTGTAACTGTCTAAGATCCCGGCAGCGAGCAACCTACGGCAGGATGATGGAGACGTTCCCAGGCAGGGTCAATAACATTCCGTATTATTCATATGAAATCCCTTGATGTAGAATAAAATTCAAATGCAATCCCTTGATGTGAAATAGAATTCAAATGCAATCCCTTGATGTGAAATAAAATTCAAATGCAATCCCTTGATGTGAAATAAAATTCAAATGCAATCCCTTGATGTGAAATAAAATTCCGAGATGCAGTTATTGTAAACATTTTGTAAACTTGTATACCTTAAGTCCGTTCTGCTGAAATGTGTGTTCAGTCCAGCGTATGTCAATTCTTTTTAAAATCAATTTTTTGGAATTTAGTCATTTTATTAGGGAGTTGTAAATCCCATCGAGCTGAAAAGCATCATCGATAGATATTGTCATGTGCTCAAGTTGTACTCAACGTACCCACTGTAAAAATATTGCATATTCTAGCCTTTTATAGACTTCTTCCCTGTATTTCTGGTATTTTAAAAGGTTTTTAGTTAAAATATGATATTTATCAAAATAACATAATTTAAAGATTAATTGCAATACATAGAAAGTGCACTTCAACTATCTAGAAATTAGAACTTTATAAATCAATGGATCAAGCTTTGATCTTCATCTTATGTAGACCTACGGATTAGTTCAATTCCTTTTCGATACCTTGTAGTGGTCATACCCTCCAGGAATCACTTTAATAGAGGGTCACTCAATAAAGCATTTATCCTAAAATTTTAAAGTGCCCACATTGGATATCGAGATTAATTTGAAAATATTTCATAAAAGATGGAATTTAATTGTTCCTTGATCCCAAGGTTTGATCCAGGTCCTCTTCTCTACACTGCAGTTTATCCATCTCTTACTTAGAAACCTGAACTCAACAAGTCATAAACTATGTAAGTATAATCCCATTTTACAAAACACCATTTACCCCTTCCCCTCCCCCTTTCAAATAATTAGCTTAAATAAATTGCCATAAAAATGGGATAACTGTACAAAAAATGTTCATGGCACTTTTTTAGAAATTACAAATCTGCAAGTTCAATGCAATGGCGATATCTGTATCAAGAAAGTTATAATTTCTGTATGTTTGTCTGATCATAAGATTTGACTCCAACTTTGATTGGGAAACTCGGGAGAACTACTGAAATGTTCTTCGCTTGGTTTTGAGATTCCAAATGGAGTGGGTAGACTTTTAAAGCGAAAATTTAGTTTCCTGGTAAAATCGACAAAATGCGGGTAAACGGCGCGAGTAACTTAGAGTAACCTGGGCAGCGCTGGGTTCACAATTTATGAACCACTATGTGATTAAAAATGAAATCAACATACATTTATGTCATCGTAATGGATATTATAAAGTGCGGAAAAGTTTTTCTCGGGATTTCTACTTTTTCTAGTTTGATTGAGATCAAAATGTACATTTTCATACCGAACATTGTAGGGCGATGCAGTCATTTTATTGCACTAAAACAAGAAATATTGGGTGTAATAAATTCCCTTCATAGTTTATTAATTTAGATTTATTGAGGGTTATAAAGCTTGAAAAAATCAATATAATGAATTCAATTTTCATTATGAAGTGTAATTATATATTTATCGTACTGAGCCTACAGGACACATAGCGTTCACTTTCTGTTTGGTTATCTTGAAGATATATCTTCATTCTTCAAGCCTATCGTAAATTTTGAATAAATTATAGAATTAGCATATTTCTCCCCTTTTAAATTTGGAGTTTAATTTCTTTGAGATAACAGAAGATTATAGCAAATCGTTAAATTAACAAGCCAAATTTATCTATTTTATAAGAAAGGTCGTCTTATTGTATACTAGCTTGGGAACCCAGTGTTGCCCTCGCGCTTTGTCGTAAATTACGATTTTAGCTTTTTTTCTATAAAAGTTGACCCATTCAACTTAGAATCTTAAAATCCAAACAAAGAACATTCCCGAGTTTCCCAATCAAAATTTGAGGCGAAATATTCCAGGGGTTCCTGAGTTATGATCGGACAAATAGACAAACAAACGGAGATCACAACTTTATTTATATGTAGATTTAAAGAGGTTAAAGAGTCTTCTGACGAACCTCCAGAATCTGGCCTCCTTGACCTCACTGGAGAAGAATAAATGGGAGGTCGTCCTTGTACACATCATACAGATTCAGGTTCAAATATGTTAATGTGCGTTCTATATTAATATTAAAGTACTGAGTAAGGGAATTGATTATTAAAAATACATCTGAGTCCGAAACTTAAAACAAAGTATCGAAATAAATCCGGCAACGTAAACCTGGTTTCACAATTTTATAGCTACCAAGTACCAATATTTTACGCGATATTATTTGGTTAAATTATGTTTTTTGGTTTTAAATTTCTTAAATCAAAATGTACTCAAATATTTAGACCTCAAAAGAGAAACTCGAGAATTTTTGTCACATGCACCACTAGCAATTAGCACTCGCTCTTTCCGGTTCTGAATTGTTGTATTGTTAAACAGGCGCGTAGTGGAGGGGGAGGGGGATGGTACCCCTGTGCCCCCCTTAGACATGCACCCCCCTACTTTTCTTTATCAATCGACAATGTCACAATTTGTCCCTTTTATGATAATTTCTCAAATTCTTTCTTGTACCATAAACTTATTTACAATATTTTTTTCTCGGGGTTTCATTTAAAATGATTGGTAATTATAGTCAGATGACTAATAGTCAGCTTTCAGGTAGATTGATAAAGATTTTAAACTTTATTTTTTCTTAATACCGGTTTTTTAGGGGGCATCAACCGTTAGGGGGATGCTGCACAAAAAAAAACATTTGACTTGCTTACGTGCGGAAAAAGTGCACCCCCCTGGGCTAAACCTCCACTGCGCACTTGTTATTAAACTCCATTTTTTCCAGCGCCTAAATTTATTATTAAGCCTTAAACAGTAAAAATTGAAATTATTCATTTTGGATCTTTTAGTAAAGCTTTATAAAATTGCTATGGTAGAAAAGGATTCATTGATTTAATCCACATTGATTCAATTCTTATACATTATCAACGATAAAAAATATGAAGTTTTATTATGACCCTGTTAAGTCAAACAATTTTATGTTTTTTTTAGGAAGTCCTTGAAATGAATTCCCCAGATTAGGGGTACATTCTGAAGAAGCATGATCTCTTTTAGACCTTGTAAGGAACAAGTCTAATACAGTTGTATTTCTATTCTATTTAAAAACTTAAGATTCCCAATACATAATGTCCCCCCTTTTAACATTTCTCTTCTTACGAATAATGGATATTGAATATATCTCTGTTTATCTGTCTAAAAATTGAAAATTTTTTATTGCAGTCTATCTAGAAAGAAAAATGACGATTATTTCCTCATTATTGAGCAGCAATAAGTTTGAAAGGGGACCGTTGTGAATCAGACAAATAGTTAAATTATGTCAGCAGTCCATTCAACTCCTTTAGTTTCTCTATCAATAATTTGAGAATTATGAATAAATGAACTTTCTAAAACTAATCAACTCCGAGAGTAAAAGTTCTTTGTTTCTGTATTTGTGAACTGTTATGTTAATTGATCTTATTCTTCCTTGAGCTCTGTCTTGTATATATATTTTACAGGAATTCTTCTGTAGTCAGGTAAACCAAAGAAATCTTGTATTAAAGGATTACAGAGGAGGTATTTAAGTTTCTAAACTATTTTTTGAAATATGTAGATGCCAGGCAAATAGAGAAATGCGGGGTTACCGAATTTTTCTATATTTCCTTCTATAAAATATTATTCTGATTATTTGTAAAGTTAAGGGTAAAGAGGGTTAAGGCTAATCTGGGATTATTGTCACAATAATGATATAAAGGGGGGGGGCATAAGTCGTATTACTCTCCGGATGCAAACTCACAAATATGTATTGTAACTGCAAAATGCGATTTCAAATAGATCGGAGCAAATGTGCGCGCGTGCGCTCTTTGTTTTAAAAATGCGAATTTTCTCACGTTTTCACATGTTTTACACCATTTAATGAACTTGACTTCCTCAGGACGCGATTAAACAAAAAATTCCTGAACATTTTGCGCCCTAGAGTCTCAAATCCCCGCGCACGCACGCAATTAAGAAAAAACATAAATAAATATGTTATAAATCCAGTTGGGCCTAATTTAAAACAAAAGTAGGATGCGATATATCAATCTACAGGTAAATTGGGACACAGAATTCTTTCTGAGTTCAAAATTTACCTTGAAGCATTCTGACCGGCGCCTAGTAGCCAGATGTCACATTATGGGTCATCTTACTAGAAATTTTACCTGCCGTATATCAATTTATAGGTAATTGGGCACAAAAATTCCATTTCTTGAGTTATAAAATCTTTTGACCACTCTGACTGGCGCGCTTGTTGCCTACCGTTACGTTATGGGTAATTTTACAACAGATTTTGCATGTTGTATGTTTATTTATAGGTAATTGGGCACGAGGATTCCAATTTTTGGGTATAAACTTTCGCAAGACCACTTTGGTGGATCCTAGCAGCTAGCTGTTACCTTCTGGCCCATACTGCCATATCCCAAGGATTGAAATTTTAAAAAAGTTCTCTTTTTCGTTTTGTAAATCTACAAACGTCATTCAGGGTGTCCAAAATATTGTAAATTTTTCCTTTCCAGGCTTCATACTTTTTATGTTGCAATAATTTTTGAGTATAAGTCGAAAATTTCCCGGATTTTCACATTTTATTTTCGTATTTTTTTATACTGTAAGCTGTTGGTATAAGGCCTTCTGTTAAGCCAAAATTTTTGGATCGGTGATAATTATTCTTGGTAAATTCGGGTATAAAATCATACTACCCAGGGTATCCACGATTTAGAAAACATTAGACAAAAAATATTTCTTGTTAGTTTTGATCTTACCATGTAATCTTTCATTTTAAAAAAGTTTCCGAAATTACTGTAGTTTAACATCTCCGGCCTGCAAGATATATTCTTACAGAGCTAAACCTTCTAGTCAGATATTAGTCAGATTTCACAAGTTTAAATTTTGATAACTTCTCCAGAAGTCCGTGTCGTATTGCGAAAGAATGAAATCTGAGTGAAATTAGATAATTTGACCTAGTTCATCGAACTTTTCTTGTACCGCCCAGATGAAATTAAAGCAACTCTCTGGCTAAAAATGATCTTGATGAACATAGAAAGTAAATAAACCAACCCTGGCCACCTCTCATCAGACTAAAATTTTGAAATAATTCCAAATCTTGCTAACAAAGAAAGTAGAAAAAATTGGCCAAATGTATTTAAAACTTAAAAGAATTTCAATTTAAAAACAAAAAATTCAGGCACATCGTTTTTATCTTTTTGTTGGGGAAGTTTCAAAAAAGGATATTTTAACTAAAACTATTCTAAAACTATTGGATTGGGAGGAAATATTTAGATAATGGATTGGGAAATATTTAGATAATGGATTGGGAAATATTTAGATTATGGATTGGGAAATATTTGGGAAATATTTAGACATTGGATTGGGAAATATTTAGATAATGGATTGGGAAATATTTAGATATTGGATTGGGAAATATTTAGATAATATATTGGGAAATATTTAGATATTGGATTGGGAAATATTTAGATATTGGGTTGGGAAATATTTAGATAATGGATTGGGAAATATTTAGACATTGGATGATATTGGATTGGGAAATATTTAGATAATGGATTGGGAAATATTTAGATATTGGATTGGGAAATATTTAGATAATGGATTGGGAAATATTTAGATATTGGTTGGTGTTTTGTATACATCTTTTCTTTGAGTACTGCAAAGAAAGGTACACAAGTTTATGTATACTGTGTTTTGTACACAGTGTACACTGTACATTATTATTTGTAAACATAAATTTGATTAGTTCAAACTAGGATATCAAGACGCCAATAGGAAGGCAAAATTTAGCTTTGCATACCTTTTATATTTTTCTATTGCCCGGCACCAACTAATATTGCTGAAAGGTGGAAATATTATTTTTATTTATTTAAACTAAAATGTACATATATACTTCTTGATAAAAGATTTTCCCATGATGATCTCTTCTAATAATAAATGTCAAAACTAAAATCCTGGTTTCAAAGCATTTTTTTTTAAATTGAATACAAGTTTATTAATAAAATTACATAATTAAAATTGACAATAATCTTTATATAACTTTTGGCTTCAAGTGTTTTATACAAATTTTGTTATTAGACGAAGCAAAGTAATATACTGATGGACAAAATTCTAATACTGTGAATAATCTAGTCAAGATTTCACGTTAAATTCCCCACTAGTGATTTAATGGTCTCACACTATCAAGCTTAAATTGTTGAGAATTTTGCAAATCACTTGTAAAAAACCAAAGCTAACAACAAGTGCTTTACAGTGCCGAAATGTATACGTAAAGACTACTGAAAAGCATAAGTGAGTTAGGGTGGTAAAATCTAAGGTTAGGGCGTTGCGACACTTCAAAGTCAACCCTGTCTTAAAAATTGATGAGATTGTTTATAAGCAGGCTATGTGACTCATCTGAACTTTGACTAAATTTTGATCCAAGATCAGCTAGTATTATTCTCTCATGGTTCCTAGACGTCCAAACTGGTATTACTTCTATATCCAAGTTTTTCTCCAGAAGTTTAAATTTGATAACGTCTCTTTGAATATCAGGTTTTTGGAACCATAAATATAATTAGTTATTTTTACTGTCTGTTTGCCAGTAAATTCTTCTAGATTTAGAATAGAGAAGTATTAAGATTATGGATTAGGAAAAATTTAGATAATTAATTGGGAAATATTTGGATAATGGATTGGGAAATATTTAGATAATGGATCAGGAAAAATTTAGATAATGAATTGGGAAATAATTAGATAATGGATTGGGAAATATTTAGATAAGAATTGGGAAATATTTAGATAATGGATTGGGAAATATTTAGATAATGAATTCGGAAGTATTAAGATAATGGATTGGAAAGAATTTAGATAATGAATTTGGAAGTATTAAGATAATGGATTGGGAAGTATTCAGATAATGGATTGGGAAGTATTTAGATAATGGATTTGGAAGTATTTAGATAATGGATTGGGAAATATTTGAAAATTGATTGTGAATTATTTGAATAGTGGATAGGGAAATGTTTAGATGATGGATTGGGAAATATTTAGATAACGGATTTGGAAGTATTTAGATAATAGATCGGGAAATATTTTTAGATATTTTTAGTATTTAGATAGTGGATTGGGAAATGTGAAGATGATGGATTGGGTAGTATTTTGATAATGGATTGGACAGAATTTAGATATTAGATTGGGAAATATTTGATAATTGATTGGTAAGTATTTAGATAGTGGATTGGGAAATGTTAAAATGATGGATTGGGAAATGATTTTTTAAACTAAAAAACAAATAAAATAATGATTTTTTTTTATTATTTTAACAATATTTTATTTATTTAGTATTTATTTTCAAACACAAAATACAAAATAATAATGTATGATGGTTCAGCTTAAAATAAAACACAAAAGAAAATTTACTATGAGCCAATTGAAAATAATGTTTGATAATTTTGTTTGATCGTTTTTGTTGAAACAAAGTATGCATATTGAAATCTCAACTAAATATACATTCATTGAAGTAAATAATTAGTCAGCACTCAAATAATCAAAACATTTTAAGGAATGCATTCATTGAACTTATAAATACATATTGATTCAGCAAAAGTAACATTGTATTCTCGTTAACTGTAATAGACTTTGACATCTACCATTAGCAAAGGGTGGGAACCCAATCTTGTTGACTGAAGTAGATTTTGACATCTACCATTAGCAAAGGGTGTGAACCCATTCTTTTTGACTGTAGTAGACTTTGACATCCACCATTAGCAAAGGGTGTAAACCCATTCTTGTTGACTGTAGTAGACTTTGACATCCACCATTAGCAAAGGGTGTGAACCCATACTTGTTGACTGTAGTAGACTTTGACATCCACCATTAGCAAAGGGTGTGAACCCATTCTTGTTGACTGAAGTAGACTTTGACATCTACCATTAGCAAAGGGTGTGAACCCATACTCGTTGTCTGCAGTAGACTTTGACATCTACCATTAGCAAAGGGTGTGAACCCATACTCGTTGACTGTAGTAGACTTTGACATCTACCATTAGCAAAGGGTGTGAACCCATTCTTGTTGACTGTAGTAGACTTTGACATCTACCATTAGCAAAGGGTGTGAACCCATACTCGTTGACTGTAGTAGACTTTGACATCTACCATTAGCAAAGGGTGTGAACCCATACTCGTTGACTGTAGTAGACTTTGACATCTACCATTAGCATAGGGTGTGAGCCCATACTCGTTGTCTGTAGTAGACTTTGACATCTTCAAATAGCAAAGGGTGTGAACCCATTCTTGTTGACAGTAAACAGGATATATGCTATGCTTTCAAATCTGAAAAAACTCAATTTTTCAGATGTAAAATGGGGAAGAATGATAAACCTACCTGGCGAACTTGGACATATTTAACGTTACTAAGGTATACAGTGTTTTAGTAAGAATTGCAATTTTGTATCATATTTATTGAACATTTAAAAAGTTTAAACTCTTTGTGGTTTGAATTTTTACTTTCTTGCAGTTGTCGTCCTATATATTATACCATAAATACGAATTTCAATTTTGATTTCTACTGAACTTTTAAACAGCATTGACACACATAGCCATGGATACAAAGAGAAGCTGTCAATTAACACCTTCTCTTTGCTTAGTTGTAAACTTGTAATTAAAGCTTGTTAGAAATCAAAATCTAAATAGAAAAGCTGTCTTAATCGTATTGATATAAATGCCGACCACTGATAAAGACTAAGGAACAAAATAAACTTATGTTCTAGTCTACTGTCTGTTAGTGGAGGGATTTGCTCTCTTATTTATGGAATTTATAATGTTCAACGAGATGACACGGTGAGATTTTTTCATGTCAAATGCAAATAAATATGTTAATAAAATGTTGTAATATTTAATACACAAAGAAAATGTCGAACTAGTTTTCTACTCTCTCATTGGTTTCCACTTTTGGAAAACTTAATGGAATTTTCGTTGTAATTAAAATTTCAATTTAAAAAAAAAGAAAGAAAAGAGAGGCATGCAGGATTCCTTTAATCTGATAAGTAATATGGCAAATGTTTTCGCTTTTCAAGGTGAAAAGTCTCTAGTTTCAACATGTTCAACATGTTCATGTAGCAGAAATCCGCAAGTCACTTATGATATAAAAGCCACAATTGAAAATGGTCAATTTTTGAAATTTAAAACGTAGATACTAGATATCCTAATCATTCTGTAAAGCTTGCAAGGGTACCATTGAGTTTTGAACATGCCATTATTTAATGTATATGTTGAAACTATGTCTACAGTTTTTAAGTCTATTTTAATTTTAGTGATTCACTAAAAGAGAATTTTTAAAGGAAGTACAGTTTTCTGGACTCTGCTGGAAGTATAGTCTGCTTAGTGGATCCATTATTATAATATTTACATTTGTTTGGTGTATGTGTAGTCTACTCTTCAAGTCAACCCTCAGCCAGTTCAGGTCAATTTCAACATGTTTTAAGAATTTTTGTTTGTAGTTGATTTTTGGAATATAATTTCTTGCGACAAATAACAATATAAGAAACTTAATGTCAAGTAATGTGTGAATTTGAAGGTAAAAATATCAAAAAATATCCTGTTAATCTCAGTATTTTGACATTTATTATTTTAGAACTGTTAGTTCTAAACTGGATAATTCAGTTTATGAAGATGATAACAACAACAATCACCAAGATGAAAGCTATAAGAAATCAAAACAAAAACTTGATGTGAAGAAGAAAACAAAAAACCTTAAACTTCAGGAAGCAACAAAAGTTTCTTATAATTCTTTAAATCACAAATAATTTTGTCATCCTTACTTACCCTGACCTGTATAAATAAAAACATGAAAAGGTTATCCCCCCCCCCTTCCACCTCACCAATAAAAAATTAGTCATAAAGTCAGAGGGAAATTATTTTGGAAGGAAGGAGATAATTTTCTTAAAAATATTTATCCCTTGTAAAAACAGTTGCTACCTACACAGAGGCGAAGAGAAGAGTTAATGAAGCTGTTACAAAAGATGCGGTTTCTTAGAATAGCAATTCTCTGCTCAATGATGGTCACATGTCTTAATGAGATATGTGCCACAGGTAGACCCTAGACAACTGCAAGTTTGTTAAAATAGGAATTATCATAAGATATCCAGAATACAAAATGGTTATTGGATATAATTTTGCTGTAAAAAAATATTACTATTTTCACATTTTACATCGTACAAACAATATTAAAGATTTTCGTAAATCATTGATCTAGCTAAAATTGTTGTAATTGTTATTAGCTAGCTAAATATTTAATTTCACCAGGATAATCTTAATATGAAACAGCAAATATGTGTTCAAATCTTGTTTGGTTTGATATAATTAATGTTAGCTGTTTATATGTTTTAAAGTACTTTTCTAAATTTTTGTGGAAAAAAAGAAATAATTTCTGTTAAGAGGAAATGATTTTTGAATTTGTAACTTTTCTTTAAGACAATTTTTTTTATCATTAGGCATATTCTGGTACACAAGAGGCCGCCTTGGAGACTCATTTGCTATTTCCAAAAACTGTTTCTGTGCTAGAACTGAAGGTAGGATTTTTCAGATATTTTTATCATTATGATTTTTATTAGATAATATTTTAGATAATATTTACAATTTAGATTTTGGATCAGTGGAAAATTTGCTAGTGCCATCTTGTCCTGAAAAGGATGAAAAAAAGAAAAATATTTTTTGCCTCAGGAATTAATTTTAAAATTCTAGGATATGATAATCTTTCTCACCTTACTTGATAATATTGTTTCCTATTTATTATTTAAAATTCTAGGATGTGATAATCTCTCTCCCCTTACTTGTTAATATTGTTTCCTATATATTTTTTAAAAGTAGGTAGAATGAAGTTTGCATTTATAATAATATTTAGTTTACTAATTTTTCATTTTTAATAAAACCCATTAACAGCATGATAACATAACTTGGCCAAATTTTTAATATTAATTGATTGCCAGCAAGTAATATAAAACACATATTGTTAAACATACTTGTTTTTTGAGATTTATTAGAGTTTAATTTAAAAGGTGCTATGTGCTCAATTATGATAAGTGTGCAATAAATTGAGATAATCTGGGATGTATGATAAAATATCTTTAATCAACAATTGGAGAATAACCATGAAACCTTAAAAAAAATTTATTGATTCAATATTTCAGAGAACTTGAATTTGTTAAATTTTATCAAATAAGTTTTTTATTAAAATGCAATAATAGAAAGATATGTCAGTCCAAATCATTTGACTAAAAAGCTGTGACACCTCTGCCCCTCCCAGTCCTTCAAGGATAACTTCAAGTAAGGGCATGACTGGTGTATACATAGATAAATAAATAAACATAGTTAGCTTATGTACACAAAATCACCAAGAATTGTACAGTCTGTGAACTCATACTTCTAGGTGTCAAAGTGTACTTCAATGATAAGCGGGGTGGTTTGGTGTTATAACGGATTTCATAATAGAGTGTAAAATAACTGGGAATGGAATTATTTGAACAAAAATATTTCACTGAGCAATATATCATATTGACAAGAACTGAAGAAGGACATGAGAAGGACTAAACAACTTAAATTTCTCTCTACAGAACTATGTACACCACAAGTACTCAATGACATAAGAGCAGCCAATGTTCACAACCGACCTAGTTAATCTATATAATAGGAATATCTTTAGAATATCTCTGTACATTTATATCTTTCAAGATGAAAAATGTTGTCTTATGCGCAATCTATCTTTATCTATGGGTGTATAGTATTAGCTCACAACTTTCCTCAACATTTGGCATACTAGACAATTTCATGGCTAACCAAGCATCGATTAGGTAATTGTCTAAAGTTTTTCCCTTGTCAGTGTCAGGAGAGCTACCAGAAGCATCAAGACAGCCTCCAGAAGTATAAGGACTGCTGCCATAAGCATTAGGACTGCAACCAGAGACATGATTACTGGTACCAAAAACACCAGAACTGCTGCTTCTAGACTGTTACCAGAAACACTTGTAATTCTACCAGAAGCATCAGAACTGCTGTCAAAAGCATTAACACTGCTACAAGAAGCATCAGCATGGTTATCAGAAGCATCAGCATTGCTATCTGAAGCATCTGGACTGCTACCAAAAGCATTAGCACTTATAATAAAAGGCATCAGGACTACCGAACCAGAACCACTAGGACTGCTGCCAAAAGCAGCAGGATTGCTACCAGAGCATCAGGACTGCTGCCAGAAGCAACAGGACTGCTGCCAGCAGAACTGCTAACAGAAGCTTTAGAAATGCTACTAGAAGTATCAGCACTACTATCAAAAGCATCAGCACTAGAAATGCTACTAGAAGTATCAGCACTACTATCAAAAGCATCAGCACTTCTATCAAGAGCACCAGCACTGCTACCAGAAACATCAGCATTGCTATCAGAAGCATCAGCATTTCTATCAGAAGCATCAGGACTGCTACTTAAAGCATTAGCACTTCTATCAAATTTATCAGGACTGCTGTTGGAGGAAGCAAAGTCAGTCTGCAGTCTGAGGATGATTTTCAGGCAGTGCCTAGGCAACTAAGGAGTTGACCTAAGACTTCCAAACTTGGATACAGCCTACCTTATTATCATTGAGAAAGAGACTCAAAATTTGAGGACCCTACTATTTATCTAATAAAATTTATCACAAAAAAACATGCCCTATTTGAATATTATTATGTATTGTAATATTTTAAGTATAGGAAACTCATGCTAAAACCCTACCCCAGCCTCACACATTTATCTCTTTGTTTCTTTTAATGAATGCGGAGTAGTTAACCTGAACTGATTCATTAAGATTCAACAGTGCACCCCAGATCCTTGAATAGAACAGACATATGAGCAGAGCTCCGTTTGTTCAAACAAGGCTGGGGGATAGGCACTTTATGGACAGCTCTCAGGAGGTGTACAACATGTGGACTTATATGATTGTATCTACACGATCATATCTTCAGGAATACAGTATACAGAAAAATACATCAATAAACCATTAATGAGTCTGATAATCAGGTTTACAGCAGATCAAAAGAATACATCAGATACAAGGAATACAAGTTACAACAGATTAGAGGAAGACAACAGATCCAAGGATTACCACAGATCAGAGAGATGTTGTCCCACCTTAACACAGCTAGTTCAACTATCTACACCATCTAATATTCCAGGTGTTTCTATGGTTAGAAACACCGGGGACTCAGAGGATCACTAGAGCTATAGAACAGACAAGAGAATCAGAGAGATGTGGTTCCACCTCAAAACAGCTGGTTCAACTACCTACACGCTCCAACAATCCAGGCGTTTCTATGGTTAGAAATACTGGAGACTCAGAGAATTGCTGGTACTACAGAGCAGACAATGGAATCAGAGCAATGTAGTTCCACCTCTATACAGCTGGTTCAACTACCTAAACAGTCTAATACCCCAGGTGTTCCTATGGTTAGAAACACTTGAGACTCCGAGGATTGCTGGAACTATAGAATGGATAATAGAATCAGAGCAATGTAGTTCCACCTCTATACAGCTGGTTCAACTCCCTAAACCCTCTAATATTCCAGGTGTGTCTATGGTTAGAAACTCTGTGGACTCAGAAGATAATACAGGCCAATGAATCCAGGTGAAAGGAGATCATGAGGATCTATCAAGTAGATGGGAGATCAACCAAAATGCAGAGCATCCTATAGATCCAGGAGATATCAATTAGATGGAAGATCAACCGAGATGCATAGCATTCTATAGATCCAAGAGATATCAATGAGGTGGGAGATCAACCGAGATGCAGAGCATCCTACAGATCAAGGAGATAACAATTAGATGGGAGATCAACAGAGATGCGGAGCATCCTACAAATCAAGGAGATATCAAGTATATGGGAGATCAATCGAGATGCAGAGCATCCAACAGATCAGAGAGATATCAAGTAGATGGGAGATCAACCCAGATGCAGAGCATCCTACATATCAAAGAGATATAGAACATACTGTAGAGATGCAGAGCAGACTACAGATCACAGAGATATAGAGCAGACTGTAGATCAACAGAGATGCAGAGCAGACTACAGATAATGTGGATATTGCAGATATTGCAGATATGAAGGATACTGCAGATATGAAGGATACTGCAGATATTGTAGATACTGCGGATATTGTGGACACTGCAGATATGGAGGATACTGCAGATATGGAGGATACTGCAGATATGGAGGATACTGCAGATACTGCGGATACTGCAGATATTAGGAATGCTGCAGATACTGTGGATACTGCTGATATTGAGGATACTGCATATATTGTGGACACTGCAGATATGGAGGATACTGCAGATACTGTGGAAGTTGCAGATACTGTGGAGACTAGAGATCCAGAGCAGATTGAAAGAGAGCTAGGATGGATCACAAGGATCACCAGCTATACGAACCACAGGAGAACTGCAAGTATGAGATCATAGATCTACAGCAGATTGACAGAGAACTAGGATGATCATAAATCACTAGTTACAAGTATCACAGGAGAAGATCATAGGTCTGTAGCAGATTGATAGATAGCTAGGATTGATCAGGAGATCACCAGTTATATTATCTATAGAAGGATTAGCTGAGACCACATCTAGTCCAGCAGGGGACAGAGGCTCAGATGAACTACTGAGGGACTTATAAGGGTCAGTGGGGACTTGCCTAACCACTGAGGGACTCTTCATATATAAGAGTCAGTGGAGACTTGCTTAACCACTGAGGGACTCTAAATATATAAGAGTTAGTGGAGACTTGCTTTACCGCTGAGAGACTCTTCCGACTCTAAATATATAAGAGTTAGTGGAGACTTGCTTTACCGCTGAGAGACTCTTCCTACATAAGAGCTAGTGGAGACTTGCTTTACTGCTGAGGGACTCTTCCTATATAGGAGTTAGTGGAGACTCGTTTTACAACTGAGGGACTCTTCCTATATAAGAGCTAGTGGAGACTTTTCTTACTTTCTGAGGGACTCTTCCTATATAAGAGTTAGTGGAGACTTGCTTTACTGCTGAGGGACTCTTCCTATTTAAGAGCTAGTGGTAACTTGTCTTACCGCTGAGGGACTCTACAGATATATGGAATATGGTTAAATATAAATAGATATTAACAGATATATTTGTACCATTAAAATGTAGATTGATAAACCCACTTATTCAAGATCTTGAGAGATAGATATTATACACAAGATGAGAGGTTTGGGTAAATTATGAATTGGTACTGGGAATGAAAGTGAAGTCTTGTATTAACCCTCAAAGATGAGGGACAAGGATTGATCTTGATTTCCCTAGGATTTAGGTCTGGGATTGTAATGATATCAAAGGATTAAATGTTACAGTATATGCACATTTGTCCATCTAGAAGCACATAAATGTTTTAACCCCAGTTAACAAAAATCTTGGGAAATTTCAAATTGTAATCATATAACATTTTAATCACACTTAACGGTCATAAAATAAAACAAAATATGAAGAAACTTAGCTTATAAAAGTTTAAGAAATATACGTTTTGCACAACATTACTAATGTATAACTCGCTTGTTGTCCAATTTGGATCTGTAGGTCATTAAGTAATGTGAACCTTAGATTTATCATAATTATGCACATTAAACTAATTATTATACATGCACACTTTACTCTAGATGATTGTATTTTTATTGAAATTAATTTTTTCCAAGGGGGTGGGTATTAAAAAATGGTAAGAAGCATCTAGTCCCAGATTAATTTCTTAAGATTTCCAAATTTACTCCTCTATTGTCTAATAATTATTAAAGCAAGATAAGTTAAAGTTTGTATAAAGTTTGTCTACTGTAGAAATTTTAAAAAGTTTTTTTTATAAAGGTGTTCAGTTTTAATTTTCATTTCCAGGACATGGAATGGACTTAATCCTCCAATCCACTACTTGAGTCTAATGTCATCCCCACCCCATGTTATTTGATTTAATTTGGTTTGACAAAGCCAGTCAATTATGTTATATAAAAGCACAATGGCAAAATTGTTAAACATTGAGTAAGAAATGTCTTTCTATAGAGTTACCCATCTAATTACTTGTGTATTCTCATAGAAAGTCAGGGAAACAGGTGTCTAATGATTAGTCAAAACTAAGTTCAAGGCAAATGTCCGATTAGAAAAAAGGGACAAATTTGTCCTAAGAACAACCACTGAACATTATAAAATGTAATGTACCTTGTGTTTAAAATTTAATTATGACAGTGTTTACCATCCTGTTAAAATTGTAAATGAGAATAGGACTTCCTTCACCCTGAACTGCCAGGTAGAGAGGAAATACAGCTATCAATCAATCATTCAGTATTGCTCAATGTTTAAAAATAAAAGATTATTCTTTTTATGAATTTTTTAATTTAATTCAATATGTTTGCTATATATTAAATACCAAATTTTGCTAATGATTTTTTATTATGGTCCTGAATCTGTAACCATTTCTTGTGAAAGCAAAATAGATTAAACCCTGTAACTGACTTCTGAAATCCTTTATTTATTTTTTTACAAAAGAAACTGTCTGGTGAGGGGACCAGAGATCCGTTCTGTCTTGAGTACCAAGATTTCTGGTTCTGGTTCAAGGTAAAATTAATTGCTTAAAATCATCTAACTTTTCTAGTTCGAATGTGCCACCCTGAAAGTGGCTTGTATCTAATGGCTTAAGATATCGTATTTTGTTTCAGATATTAAGAGTATTGTTGCCTCTAGTGATCATACTCAAAATACCCATAATTCTCGCCAACTTCTTCCATACCTACATGTTTCAGCAGCAGGACTGGGATTCATATTTTCTTAGTTTTCATAATAAAAATCTGGTCTAAGGTTATAAATCTGACTTACACTGGTACTAACCTTCATTTGACTAACAATACAAAGAATTTGTTACTTTTACTTTCTCTGCCTTGTGAACATTTTAGTAATTTACATTAGGATACTGCAGTTAAAAATTGTCAATTTTTATGGATTTTTGTACCTTTAATAGATATGGATAAATTGAAATTAAAACAACATTCCCTTTAATTATAGGAAAGTTTTGATTTGGAAAAATTGTCTTCCAGGAAAATAAATAGGAGTTGTGGCATTGCATTTAAAGTAAAATTGCCAAGTTTAAAGCTAAAAATTCTCCTTAACTCACAACTGTGCTGTACCTTAACAATCTCCTCAATCTTTACTGGAGAATGTTATATATAGCTATTTAAAAACTTTTTGCCTCCAGGATATTTGCTCAGCATTGAGTGTAAAGGGGGTAGGGTGGGGTGGGGGGGAGTAATTTGTAGTCTTGGAAAGATATTCTTTTCACCAGAATATGAATTCCATCAGGTAGTATTGGATCCAATTCAGGTAAAAAACTGAATAGTAATACTTTAAAGGAAGTTTATTTGTATATGGAAAGCAATGTATTCAAGAAAATTTATCTAAATCTTCTATGGAAAGCAGTTATTTGCTGTTTATTTAATACTTATCACATTGATCTTGAGTAAGAAGTGTTTCAAGTAACTGCACAACAACTTTAAGAGGAAACAGATATGTGTAGATTGTAAAAACATTTTTTTTCAAATTTTATATCTTAAACTGAATACAATCTTAAATACAAATTGGTAGGAGGCAAGTTGGTTGGGGTTGGAGTCGATGGTTGAAGGAAGAAGGATTGATCCTGTTCAATTCTATGGAAACATTTGTGCTCCTGTAGAGGTAACCTTGCAAACTACATTTTTTCTTCTTCATCTTCTTTTTCTTCTTCATCTCATTCTTCTCCCTTCTCCCTTGTTCCTTCTTCCTTCTTCCATCTTCTTCCCTTATTCTTCCCTGTTCTTCTTCCATCTTCTTCCCTCTTCTTCTTCCCTCTTCTTCTTCTTTCTTCTTGTTCCATCTTCATCTTCCCTCTTCGTCTTCCCTCTTCTTCTTATTTCTTCTTCTTCCCTCTCTGTCATCCCACTTGTTCTTCCCATTTCTTCCTCCCTCTTTGTTTCGCTACCATGCGATTTTCCTAAAGACCTAATGAAAGTTATTAAGTACAGTGCGGTATTTCTCAGGATTGGATTGTAAGACTTCCTCTTCCGATTGCTCTCCATAATAAAGGATAAATAGGATAAGCTCCGATTCTTTATTCAACCAAATCTTCAATCTAAATATATTTTATTATCTCCACAGAAAAAGCTTTGAGTGATCTAATCAAACCATTACAAGATAAAAATATCAACTCAGCATTAAAAAAGTGTGGGAGGAGCTAACAACATACAATATAAATCATCCAAAACACAAATCATGAAATATACGACATTTATATATATACAAAAGAATGTTTACCGCAGTGATCCTAGAATTATTGGCACAGTTTACGTTATTGATACATTAAACGGACTATAACTATATAATATGAAGAAAATCTGTCTGCTCCCACGCGAGAATTCCGCGCATGCGTAGACGGTGTGTTCACTGCTTCTTAAACTAGTTTTTTCAACTCTTTTCTGTACAGATATTCAGGGTGAACTCAGAAACCAACAGGGGCGCAACATAGGCTTTACTTACGCAGCATGGCTTGCGTAACACTCTTTTTCTTACCTCTTCTTCTCATCTATTCTTCTTGTCTCATCTTCTGCCCTCTTCTTCTTATCTCTTCTTCCTTTATTCTTCCCTCTTCTTTTTCCCTCTTCTTCTTCCCTTTTCTTCTTCCCTCTTCTTCTTCTTCCCTATTCTTCTTCCCTTTTCTTCTTCCCTCTTCTTCCTTCTTCTTCTTGCATCTTCTTCTTCTCTCTTCTTTTTTCTCTCTTCTTCTTCCCTCCTTTTCTTATTTCTTCTTCTTATTTCTTCCTTTTATTTCTTCTTCCCTCTTCTTTTTCCATCTTTGTCTTCCCTCTTCTTCTTTCACCATCTTCTCCTCTCTTCTTCTTCCCTCTTATTCTTCTCTCTTCTTATTCTCTCTTTTCCTTCCCTCTTCTTCCCTTTTTCTTCTTACCTCTTCTTCATACCTCTTCTTCATATCTCTTCTTCTTATCTCTTCTTCTTATCTCTTCTTCTTCCCTCTTCTTCTTCCCTCTTCTTCTTTCCTCTTCTTTTTCCCTCTTCATCTTCCCTCTTTGTCATCCCTCTTCTTCCCACTTATTCTTCCCTTTTCTTCTTACATCTGCTTCTTCCCACTTATTCTTCCCTTTTCTTCTTACATCTGCTTCTTCCCACTTATTCTTCCCTCTTCTTCTTTCCTCTTCTTTTTCCCTCTTCATCTTCCCTCTTTGTTCTTACATCTGCTTCTTCCCACTTATTCTTCCCTTTTCTTCTTACATCTGCTTCTTCCCACTTATTCTTCCCTTTTCTTCTTACATCTGCTTCTACCACTTCTTTTAAATGAAATCATTAATACTTCATTTATTATTGATGAGACACACTTGTTAAGGGTACCATTGGGATCATGAGATGCTTCTTCCTAAGCAGAGGGTCAATCATATTACATCTACACTCTACATCCCTTTAATTGTTAGACTTGATTTGATTAGATTTTTTACTGTTTAGAACAGAAAAATTCCTCCATTTGAGGAAAGGCTAGGCCCCTATGGACAAGAGCAAGAGAAGGTAGGTGTATAATTTTCTGTAAAAATTTGTTGAATGCTTTTTTATTTAATCTTTAAAAGGCTGAACGGTCCTTCAATAATAGAACTGAAGCGGAAACCACTTTCATCAGGTCAAATTTAAGTTTTTTAAATATATTTTCAAAGATAAAAATATTGCTTTCCTGATGTTCAAATAAACATAACATTTTATTACAGGGTACAATTTTTTTTTCGCCACATAAAAAACATGTTTAATTCACAAAACAATTGAGTAAAAGCTTTAAGCCAAAAACTTCAATTTTTTTTAACTGACTGGCTTTAACTAATTAGCTATGTGAACCTTCACAGAGAATTTATTTTACTAAGTGCCACTGCAGTTAATCTTTAGTACTTCTTTTACTGACCACCATTTTAATTTTGATAGTTTTTGTTGTGGCAAATTAAGTGTGTTTTAGCTTATTTCTATCGAGAAAAACTATATGTTTTGTACAAATATGTTCCTTCTGTAGAATTTGAACCATTATGAATGTTTATTTTATTAAAATATCATGGCCCATGAGGCAATATTATTTAGAGTATTTTAAAGGTATTTTCTCATAGAATCATTTTTTCCCCACATATCTAGGGGTGAAAGGGAAGAAAAATCTGAGAGAGCTGTTCCAACCTTTACTTTTCTACAGGTAGCCATGTTGTTCCCTTTACTCTACTTTATGTAGACAATTTGTCTCCTTTACTTTTCTACAGGTAGACAATGTGTCTTCGTTACTTCACTTCATGTAGACAATTTTTGCCCTTTACTTTACTTCAGGTAGACAATTTTTCCCCCTTTATTTTACTTCAGGTAGACAATTTTCCCCCTTTACTTTACTTCAGGTAGACAATTTTTCCCCCTTTACACTACTTCAGGTAGACAATTTTTTCCCATTACACTACTTCAGGTAGACAATTTTTTTTCTTTACTCTTCTTCAGGTAGACAATTTTTCCCTTTACACTACTTCAGGTAGACAATTTTTTCCCATTACACTACTTCAGGTACACAATTAGTTCCCTTTACTTCACTTCAGTCAAACAATTTTTTCTCTTTACTTTAGTTAAGTTAGTCAATTTGCCCCCTTAATGTTTTTTTTTAAAGATATTTTACTTAACTACAGATAGAAAAGTTGCCCCTGTTTCTTTCTGTTGGCAGATAATTTGCTCCTGCTACCTCCCTTTGAAAATAATTTGCCCTAGTGATGCTAACATTTCTATTCTTTTGTAAACTGGTCTATTTGCTTTCTTTTGGTCAATACTTGATTTTAAAAATTGTGTTTCAGACCTCCGACTCTCCTCCAGACAAAACTGAGAATACATTTTCCACCCCTGTCCCTTCACACAAGAAGAAGGTCTCCCCTAACTTTAATGTAAGGTACAACTCCAACAAAATAGTTTTTTTACAATAGATACTGCTTCTGTCATATAAAAAATTTGTTTTTTTCTAAATATTTTATTACAAAACTTGATAAATATATCATATGAGTTTTACTGATATCTCATTATGCAAAACTAAACATTTTTAAAATTTGATTGACAAATATTGATAGACTCAGCCCTGAAGGCAGTCTGCGGGTTCCATGTTGGGTTTCCTTTCAGATCTATCCATTATTATCTGCATATCTTTCTTTTTCCATAAAATAAAGTGAATTCAGTGAATTCTAAACACTGATTTTAGGAGTTGAAGTATTTTTTTGTTTAGCCAAGTTGTAAGTGTGACTCCCCGAAGATGTTTTGATCCAAATCTCTCAGTTGCTGTCTCTTTGCATGGTGATTTTATAATAATGAGTGCATAGTTTTTATTACATTTTAAATTTATTCAATCAAGTTTATTTTTTTTCTTTTGGCAATTTTCATGCTTGGGTGCCAAATTCAAAACTGTCAATAAATACATTTTGTCCAATACACAAAAAAAAGAAAAAAATGTTTATTTTTTATTGACTTAATAATTTATTAGAAGACGGAAATGCTAGAGCTAGACTCACTTCTTTTGGACCCAGCAACAAAGTAAGAATATCTTGTGTTTGACTTAGCAACATAGATCATAAAAAAAAATATTAACAAGCCATTTAATTAACTTTACTGAATTATATCTGTAAATATCCCGGAATCCATGTGAAATTGTTTTGTAGAACCTCCTACTGAGTCTTCCAGCAAACTCAGATAAACTTCCGCCACCTCCAGACTACTCTTTAGTTGCAGGTCAGTGATGATTTATAACAATTAAAAATGAGATTTCAGAGGTATATGTTCTCAAGAATTAAAAAATTAAGAAACTTTTAATTTGTTCTCGGTACACACATACCAAACATCTGTGGAAAAAAGAGGAGAGTGAGGAGAAAATAAACACCCCTGCAAGATATACACTTAGAGGCAAAACAGGGGAGGCTTGTTGGGCTCAGTCTCCACTGGATCAGTAAAATAAATGATTTACAGAGGTGTTTAGGGCCCATTGAAAGAAAAAAATATAAGCACCCTGTCTTGAGACAAATTTCGTTCTATGCCCCTTGAACAACTGAAATGGTTCTCATCATCTACTCTTACCTTCTTTTGATTAATTGCAGAACTAGATTCCTTTATGGTTTAAGTGCTAACCACACAATTTCTTTATTTAAAGAACGGTAAGCTTGAATTCAAGTGATCCTTCATGCAAAGATGGCAATGCCTGATTTACAACGGTATCCTTATAAACTTAGAAACCATTGTAACTCAGGCAGTGCTATCTTTTCATAACATTATTGGGTATCAAACCAAGCACAACACTTCTGTTGTTAAAAACATTTACTAAACCTGAAGTTATACAAATGTAACATTGTTTTGGGGCCACCTGGTTTGCTTTTCTCTCGTTGGCAGCCGTAGTACATTTGAATTTACGAGCCGGGTCAACCTTTCCGGTCCCAGTTTGTACTGTACCTAGCTCTGTGGACAGGACTAGCCGGTGCAACAAGGTTGACGGGGTCAGACTTATTGCTTCATATAGGTTGAATTTACTTTAATAAAGGGCAGAGGTGCGTGCTCTAGAATAAACTTTGAAGATTGACTTCTCTCATTATTTTTAGATGACCATGGGAAGGATAGGAAGCTACCACTTCCTCCCCTTTGTGTTTCCCTTCACAATGATACTCTGGGAGCTGAACAGACTTTTAGGAAAATATCTTTAATTGACACAAAACAAACTTCAAATTAAATTTTTTTTTTTACTGAAGTGAAAATAAACAAAGGTTTAAATTTTAAGTAATGTGATCATCTAAATGCATGTTTTTATTGGCCTTTTGATATTTTTACTTCATATTTTCCCCTCCACGACCCCTAAAGTAGCGAAAAATCCTGGAAAAAAACTTGTTCAACTTCTGGATGAAAAAATATTCTCGAAAGGGCGGTGAAATCATCTTTTAAGATAATATACACCCTTGTGATGAATCGATATCGTTCTTTAACTCAATATTTTAATTCAGGTTTTGGTGCAGAAGAAACCAACCAGACAGATCAATGCTGCGGCCATATTGGTGAGTCAGATTCAAATATTACAGATGTAGTTGACACCTTATTTGTAATTTGATCTAGTGAACTTCGTGCCTTTTTCTAAAATAAAGCATTTCTTTTGGATTAAAACAATTACGCCAATTTTCTTGCTCGTCTTCAGTAATAGCTATACAGTTCAGTCGGTAGATTTCAGATAAAGATAAACTTATTTTGTATCAGTCTCATCAAATATTATCTTAAGAAGTAACATTTATTTTTATTTTTGTGAAATAGTATCTAATCCGAAATTTTGATCAAATTAACGTTTTTTTCTATGAAAAGTTTAATGAATCCAACCAAGTGTAAACAAACTAAATGGAATTTTAAGAATCAAGACATAGAATCTTAATCGATGTTTTGTTGATTAGTTCAGTGACGATGAGACCGACGACAAGCGCGTTGTTCGATCAGCGAAGGAGAAGAGATACGAAGCTATGTTCAACCTTATCAAGTCAATCAGGAACAGTAAGAAGATCAAGGATTTCAACAAGATGCTCACAAGGTTTAACATTTTGTAAACTATCAAGAGACGTAAATTAGATGCAAACTAATAATCTCGATTTAGTTTCACATTTATTTTTATTTTAAAAGGAATTTTTTTTATTTTAGTCAAAATTTAAAAATGGTTGCTGCCTTGTTTATTAATATGTATTCTACTTATTTTTAGAAAACATTCTGACATTTTATTTTCAGTTTTGAGGATTTGCTGAAAGCTTTTGAAAAAGCTAAGCCTGTGATTGCCAAGGAAGAAAAGGGTGTCATTCCTATATTTTACATTAGGTAAGCTCTGGTTTTTTGCGCATTTTTTTAGAATTTATATTTTGTATTTTTAATAAATTTTTAAATCCGTTTTATTTAGAATTCTAGTCGAGATTGAGGATCTAGTAAACGAAACCTGGGAGGACAGTGTGGGTCGTAAAAGCATGAGCAAGGTGAACGGAAAGAGTCTCGGAGCTCTGCGTCAGAAACTGCGTAAATATATCCGTGAGAATCTGGAAGAAGAGGTCGCTAAGTTCCGTGAGAACCCTGACGCCGAAGATGAAGAGGAGGAGGAGGAGGTGGAAAAGGAGGAGAGTGAAGAGGAAGAAAAGGAGGTCGGGTTTTATAATTTTTTTCAATTAATTGTTCTAAATTAAGCGTTTTTTGTTCTTTTCACATACGATTTTATTTTTTATTTTGCTGACCTAGGTTCGTGCTGGAAGTGTTCCCAAGGAGAAGAAGACGAAGAAGAAGGTTGTACAGGACGACGACGATGATGATGACGAGGACGAGTGGCCGAGTAGTAGCGACAGCAGCTCTGAGAGTGACGACGAGAAGCCGACCGGAGGCTACACCAGAGACATGTTCTTGAAGAAGGCGGTTGATCCCGAGGACGCGATAAAGAAGGAGAAGAAGAAAGCTGAGAAAGCGAAGCGGAAGGCGGATAAGGATATGCGCAAGGAGTCTGATGATGAAGATGAGGATGATGGTGAGGGAGCATGGAATGTGGTGGACAGAACCGCAACCAAGATTGCCATGTTCTCCAAGGACGCGGAGATTACTCACGACCTTGTTGTCAAGAAACTGATGGAGATTGTTGCTGCTCGGGGTAAGAAGAAAACGAACAGGAAAGAACAGCTTGAGCTACTCCATGAACTTTACACCATCAGCGAAGATAACAACCTTGGTCCTGGTATGTCCATAAAGATCAAGTTTGCCATCATTGCAGCATTGTTCGACTACAACCCAAAACTCTCTGACGCCATGAAGCCAGAGAGTTGGGAGAAGTGTATTGAAGGTGTAAACGATCTACTTGATCAAATGGCTGAACATACCAACGTGATCACCACCGGAAACTTGATCATGGAGGAGAACGAGATTCTAGACCAGGAACCCTTCAAGGTTCGTGGATGTTTCCTGACCGCTGTTGAACGCCTAGATGAAGAGTTTATCAAGGTATTGAAAGCTTGTGATGCTCACAGCTACGAGTATATTGACCGGCTCAAGGATGAACCTAAGGTTGTTGCAATTCTAGACAAGGCAGAGCAGTTGGTTCTGAAGAGTGGATCTCCATCCGAGATCTGCAGAATCTATCTCAAGCGTATTGAACATATTTACTTCAAGTTTGATCCTGCCGTTATTGAGCAGAAGGCCGCGAAAATTGAAGCTCCCGAGGATTCTTCTACTAAGATTATGGATCGTCTTTGTAAGTATATATACAGCAAGGACAGCACAGACCGACTAAGAACCAGGGCAATCCTTTGTCATATCTACCATCATGCTATCCATGACAACTGGTATGAAGCTAGGGATTTAATGCTGATGTCTCACTTGCAGGACTCGGTCCACCATTCCGATCCTGCCACCCAGATCCTCTACAACAGAACCATGGTTCAGCTTGGACTCTGTGGCTTCCGTCACGCGGCCATCAAGGACGCCCACAACGCTCTCCTGGACATCCAGTTGGGTGGACGATCAAAGGAACTGATCGCTCAGGGTCTTCTTCCCCAGAGACAGCACGAACGATCCTCTGAACAAGAGAAGATTGAGAAGTCGAGACAGATGCCGTTCCACATGCACATCAACCTTGAGATGTTGGAGTGTGTGTATCTTGTCTCCGCAATGTTGATTGAGATTCCCTATCTCTCCGCTCATGAGTACGATGCTCGGCGTAGAATGATCAGTAAGAGTTACTATCAACAGCTAAGGAGCAGTGAGAGACAAGCTTTGGTAAGTCGACCTTAATTTCTTTTATAAGTACTTCATTTTAAAGTTTTAACCTATGTTCGAGGTTGGTCTCCTGAATCTATATATAAATTTGGCTTGTCTGTTTGTTTGTTTGTCAGTTTGTATCCAATAAACGTCAAAACGGCTGAACCGATCGGGCCCAAATTTTTTGTGGAACATCTAGGGACCCCAGGGAAGGTTTATGAAAAATCAAAATTTCAAATATTTGTCTCTATCAAAATTCGATCGTCATTAAATTTTTAAAAATTTTGAAAATCAGCGAAATTTTTTGTGAAAATCCGCGAATTATTTTTGTTTTGTTTTACGATGTACACAAAGAGAACATGTTCACAACTAATTTAGAAGATGGGCGCGAAGCGCCCTCTAAGGCTCGAAAGAAGGGCGCGAAGCGCCTTGAATTTCTAGTTTAATTATATTTGATTAAATATGTTTATTGTAGGTTGGTCCCCCTGAGAGTATGAGGGAGCATGTTGTAGCCGCCAGCAAGGCAATGAGGAACGGAGACTGGAAGAAGGCCAGGGACTTCATCATCAACGACAAGATGAACGCCAAGGTTAATTTTATACAATTTTCCGTTTCTTATGTATTTCTTATTGCGTTAAGAAATCGCTTTTAAAAAATTCGAATTTTATTGATATATTATTTTAGTTTAGCTTTATTGAAACAATAAGATATTGTTTCTGTCCTCGGCAATTTTTCAAAATTAAGTTTAAAGTTTGAACGTATCGGATTTTATTATTATTCCAAATGCAATATTATTTCACTTGATAACAACAATGATGTGAAAATTTTGCAACAATGTCGAACGTGTTTCATTTTAAAGAGCAATTTAGAGAGGGGAGTATATTTTTTCCAGAAAACCCTGAAGAATCATAAAGAACCTAGCAAACTATTAACTTTTGTATTTATTGTATTTATTTATTTGTTTATCCGCCATCTTTTCAACAACTTTATATTTATTTAATGTTTTAATTTTTTATTCTGGCCAGGTTAATTTTTATTATTTTGTCCAGGTGTGGGACTTGTTCTATGACGCAGATAGTGTTCGTACAATGCTTTCTCGTAAGATCCAAGAGGAGAGCATGCGTACATACTTGTTCACTTACAGCAATGTGTACGATTCAATCTCCATCGTAAGTACAGTTTTATTTAGAAGAACTCGTTTTAATTTCAAGAAACCTTTCATTTAATTCTATTTACAACGGTTAAACCTATTTAAATCTAAAAGTGAAGATTATTGATACCCGATGTGTTCTCGATCAGAAAAAGTCTTAAAAATTCAGTGCTTAGGATCCATTCAATTTTGATGCGGATCCGGATCCTGGATCCGCACTGGAAAAAAATGGATCCAGGTCATTTCTTTAAGATTTACTGAATTTTTTTAACAAAAAATAGTTTTCAAATTTTTTTAAATTTTTTTTCGCTTATTTTTATCCTTAAACTTGATGAACCATTCAGAAATGAGGAAATTTTTATAATGTCTCTTTTTTTTAGTTCAGATTTGGGGTTTAGGAGTAAAAAAGATTTATTTTGCAGTTTTTGGTTGATATTTTACCCCCCGGATCCGAATCCAGGAAGCCAAAATCTTTCGGATCCAACGGATCCGGATCCTAAGCACTGGTTAAAATGGTACTGATGTTAATTTAACATATCGCTCTTTAAATGGAGAGTCGCTTGAAATAACGTCTACAGTCCCTTCAAGGTCAAATGGATAATTTGTTTTGTTACGTGAATAATGTGAACAGAAGTTCAGAACAGCTAGAACTTGTTTCTTTAGAAGATAAGTTACACATACTGTGTAATAGAAAGTGACCTTTGGGTAAAATTCTTGTAATTATGGCAATTTTCTAGTATTATACGAACGGTATAGACTTTTTTTCGATTTTACTGTGAAACTTTTTCATGATCTTTCGTGAAATATGCAGATTGCGTAACCACGGATTACAAAAAAAAAGCGAGAACAAAAAAGAATATTAAATTCGTTTTTGTTCAACAAATCAGTAAATTTTAAAGAAATGTTAATGGATCCGGATTTGGATCTGTTTCCGAAGCCATTTTGTTCCAGTGTGGATCCAGGATCCGGATCCGCATCAAAATTTAACGGCTCCCAAGCTCTGTTATAATATACTGTTATTTAATATAGAATTTTAGTAATTTTATTCATAACTGTTTTTTGTGCACTAGCTGGTGTCCGATTGTCTTTTTTTGTTCCTGTACATTCTTTATTGGATACATTTTTCATTTAGTAAACAAGAAATCAAAACATTGTCCTACGAGTTTTTTTATTACTTCTCTTAAATGCTGTCATCATATAAAGGTTAAATCTGTTTTTATTCATTTATTTAGAACCAGCTTATCTATATTGAAATTGTTTAAATGACAAGATTAGACAATGATACAATTCTATTCCCAGCAGTTCTCCTGGTTTCCTACCATGTATTCAAGGTTGTGAGTGTTCAAACCAGATTCAGCCACAAAATCCATCAGCATCTCCAACTAAAAAATAAAATTATGAATTTCTAAATTCAAAGATTGCACCCCTCACCACCCCCTAAATTTGAAAAAAAGACGAGTAATTTAGCCATGAAAGGTTTTCATTAAAATTATATTTAAACCATTTTTTTTACCTTTTCCTCTGACATTGTTGGAGTTCTTGACATGAAGTGTAAACAGTAATCCAGGGTTCCAAATATATGTTCACTGCAGTCATATCTTTAAACATAGAAAATGAAAACCTTTTAGATATTTTTTACTATGGGATTGTGAACAGTTAGTTAGTCTCCATTTTAAAAATACATTATTGATGTCCCTTTTTTCTAGAAAGATACTTTCAAAATTTGGATTTCTTCTGCACAAATGAGAAAGAAGTGTCAATTCGTCGTGTCAATTTTAGATTTAATTTAGTAAATTATTTTTAAATTAGATTTTCTTGTTAACTTACTCAATAGCACTATCCTCGTCCAAATATATAACATTATAATCTACGGATGGTCCCTGGATACCGAAGAATACCAGGGTTTGAAGGAAGTGTCCTGGGTTCTCCAGGGGTTCAAGGATACCGGTAGCATTGTTCCAGGATCCATCAGGGGTAGTCTTTCTACTGGAGTATCCTTAAACCACAAATATTATTATTTTTACAATTGTTTATTTTGTAATATTTGTGACCTACCTATATCCCCTCCCCCCTCTGTATCTGAGTATGGATCATAGGTTGCAATGGTGCAAACAGTTCCTTTCTGGAACGCGGCTCCACCTGGGGTCTGATATTTACCAACCTTAAAAACAAGAAAAAATCATGTTTTGCTGGAATCCTTGTTTTTGAAACGAATTGAGATATAGATGAAAACTGCTTGGAGTCGTGTTGGGTCAAATGGATTGCAAGTTTTCGTCAAGTTATTACTTTTCCGATTTTTTATTCAACTTAACATTAAATAAATCTTACCTCGTACCATCTCCCAGAGTACATTGCGTTAGTATAGTTAACTGCTGCAGGAGGGTGCATACATTTCTCCGCTCCTACTAATCCAACCAACAAGAGTAATAGCAACATCTCCGTCCTGAGCTAGAGCTAGAAATGAACGCATTTGGTTTGAATCATCTGTTTGTTTAGTCTTCTGAGAGATAACGAATTTCCTAGAGAATTAGTTCATTTACATAAATTGTTTTTACATAATTACTTTCTTATATCTTATTCACTTAAATAATTATAATACCTGAATGGGTAAACCAAGCAATGAAAAATAGAATGAGTAAGTGTTTAAGTTAGCTCAACTGATAGGTTTTTTTTATTTAAAAAATACCAACTCTTGGACTAAGCGTATAAGTAGTTGAGCGTCAATTCAAATAAGTGGTTCATCTAAGTTTACTTAGTTCAAATATGTCTCGCTTTTTATTGAATCTGATCTCTGGTCTGTGTTTATCTTTTAAATGTTAAAATATTTTACTTAATGTAAGTTGTCGACTTGAAGGTTTCTTAGAAAGACAATTGTCCAATGCTTTTACCTTATATTAATTGATAGCTGTACTGAAGTATTTCTTATCCCATACAAAACATAACTTTAGAACTTATCAATTCTAATAACTATTAAGTTATTAACTATGGACTTGTTTTGGCCCGAATTTTCGTCAAATAGCTTTTAGCTTTACCCTAAACCAAATATAGTAAAGTATCACAAATAGGAAAAATTCCTTTTAATCATGGAAAATTTTATTTCATCAGTTCCTCTTCTATTAGATTACTCACTTTTAGTGTTTTAATGTTTCGTATTGTAGCCGGTGTTAGCTGAGATGTTTGAACTTGAGGTCAACAACGTCCACGCTCTTGTCAGTAAGATGATCATCAACGAGGAGCTCATGGCCAGCCTTGACCAGCCCAGTCAGTGTGTAGTCATGCACAGGTCAGTCCCAAGTAGTCTTGCGCATGTCAGTCCCAACTCCCAAGTAGTCCTGCACAGTTCAGTCCTAAGTAGTATTGCACAGGTCAGTCCCGAGTAGTTGTGAACACGTCAGTCCCAAAAAGTCAGTTCCAAGTAGTCATGCACAGGTCAGTCAAAAGTAGTCGTGCACAGTTCAGATCAAAGAAGTCGTGCAAAGTTCAGTCCCAAGTAGTCATTCACAAGTCAGTCACAAGTAGTCTGCACCGATCAGTCAAAAGTAGGCATGCATACTGCACAGGTCTGTCCCAAGTAGTTTGTCAGTCTCAAGTGGTCATGCACAGTTCAGTCCCAAGTAGTCATGCACAGGTATTTTAAGTAGTCCTGCGTAGTTCAGATCAAAGTAGTTATGCACAGTAGTCCCAAGTAGTTGTTCACAAATCAGTCCCTAGGCTTAGTAGTCGTGCACCGGAAAGTCAAAAGTAGTCATGCGCAGATCAGTTCCAAGTAGTCATGTTTTAGTCAATCCCAATTAGTCATGCATACTGCACAGGTCAGTCCCAAGTAGTCGCACACAGGTCAGTCCTGAGTAGTCATGCACAGGTCAGTCCTGAGTAGTCATGCATAGGTCAGTCCTGAGTAGTCATGCACAGGTCAGTCCTGAGTAGTCATGCACAGGTCAGTCCTGAGTAGTCATGCACAGGTCAGTCCTGATTAGTCATGCGCAGGTCAGTCCTGATTAGTCATGCGCAGGTCAGTCCCAACTCCCAAGTAGTCATGTATAGGTCAGTCCTGAGTAGTCATGCACAGGTCAGTCCCAAGTAGTCATGCACTGGTCAGTTTCTGGTAGTCATGCAAAGGGCAGTCCCAAGTAGACTTTCAATGGTTTTCTGACTCCTAATGAGTACTATCTTACTAATTATTCTGTCATTTCTTGTTCTTAATTTTTCGTTCTCTAGATTTTGTTCTGCAATTTTCTTGTTTTTCTTCCTGTTTCCTCCTTTAAGCCCGTCTGAGCTAACTTTTACCCTTTCTTATGTATTAGATTAATCTTTTTTTTCTCTGTCTGTTTCATTTTTGTTTTCTCTTTCGTTCTTTTATTTGAACGAGCATCTGATTTGTTTCTTTAAAATGATGACAAATCAATTTATTTTTATACGATTTCATCTTTGGAAGGCGCCCCCCCCCCCCTTTCCTTCATTAATTACTACATTTAAGTAACATCATGGTTGTCATTCCAATTGTTACGAACTTATGGACGTATCAAATTATTTAATTTTATTTCCTTGTTTTTCCTTTTCTTCTTAATACTTTTATTTCTCAACTTTGTTCCATTAAATATGAAATAAGACATTTGCTTGATGATTTGGTATTTAGGACGGAGCCAAGTCGTCTACAGAGTTTGGCTCTTCAGCTCAGCGACAAGATCGGTCAGCTTGTAGAGAACAATGAAAGGTTGTTGGAACAGCGGGGGCAGGTAAATAATAAATATTTAGGGGGGTCAATTTTTGTTTAAATATCTTGAAAATTTCAAATCAAGAAGCTAGATATTGTCCAGGAGCTCCCTAACCTGAAAGGAGTTCGCCCCATCATGATCCTTACCAAACCCAGGGGATTTAAGCTCAAATCTGTTTTTTGCCATTTTTTTAAGACTTATTTTTAAGGAAATTTTTCATTTCTTGCTTTATCAAAGTTTTCACCTGTAAGTGTATATGGCAGAAACCCCGGTTACCACATGGAAATTTATCTAGCAAAAATCGTCAGGAGAAATGTTGGTTTTAAAATCAAGCTTTTTTATTCTGAGAAAGAATAGTGATATTGTAAAAATCAGGAGTTAACATGCGTAGTAAATTTTAACGCGAAACCTTTGTTTTAAACCGGTCTGGTAATAGTGTNATTTGAAGAGATGATGTAGCATTTTACAATTTATATATTTTTCTCTCGATTTTCATGAATAAATTACAGTGGTGTGAAACTTAAATCAGCTGGGTGTGGGGTTGAGTGTATTATTATGGTTGCTTTTAATTTTAATTTTTCCTTGTTATGAAGACTAATAAAATATACCTCGAATAAAACCATTGGTTATATTTTTTACGTTTGTTGCATGTAAATTGCAATTTTTAAAAATAATTTTTTTCACAAATTTACAGTTTTTTCAATCCCTGTAATATGTTGTTGTATCAAGGGTTGGGGTCAGAGGAACTGGGAGAACCGTGGAGAGCGTGGTGAGAGGGGAGGACGGGAGGGAGGAGGAGGTGGAGGAGGAGGTGGAAACTATAGAGGTGGGAGGGGAGGAGGAGATCAAGGAAACTACAGGGTAAGTCATTTATTTAGAAATTTTGTGATTTTAATTTATAATTTTTTGGTTTACTTTTGATTTCCGTCGGGAATTATGTTTTTAGTTTTAATTAATTTCATCTTTATTTTTTTTTTACTTTATTAAATAGTTTTTGTTTTTATTTATTCACTATATTATTTTTTATTTGTCGCGTAGGGAAGGGGCGACAGAGATAGGGGAGGATTCAAAGTAAGAAATAATATATGATTATCAGACGACCCGACAATATTGATAAGACTATATTTGTGAGCGACATTTGAGTTTTGAATCTTCACATCAATTATAATGAGCAAAAACTCGCTCACAAAAATATTTCTTAGCGACGGACAATTACGAATGTAAACAAGTCGTCTTGATATGTTTTCTTCAAGAATCCGGTGTCGTATCGTTTGCAATAATGACTGATCGGACTAACGTACATTCGCACTAACGTTCATTCTGACTAACGTTTTATTTGAGGGTTAGGTTAGGTTAAGACAATTTCTGGGCCGAGCGCTGCGGCTAGGACAGGCTAGGGGGGCGAGCGCTGCGGCCACAAGTGTTACTGATCAGCTGGCTTTAGTGCAAAAGTACGTTAGTTCAATCGGACATTAGTGCAAACGATATAGCATCAAGAATCCTTGACGAACGAATAACATGTTGAGAGTTTTTTATTCAACTGCATGTACATTTGATTGTTTTTTTTTCTTCTTTTTTTCAGTTTGATTTATTGATTTAAAGGTAAAGAGATCCTAGTTTCAGATCTGAGAAATGGGAAAAATCCATTCGAAGAGGGTTTTCAAAGCAATATTTTCCCATCATTCAAAATTTCAGTATTTTTGTGTGAACTTTTCATTAAGGCTTTTTCAGAAACCATATCGATAAAAAAAAATTAATGCCAATAAACTACTGATCTTTTTTTACTAATTCCTCCTATGATACTTGAAAGTTCGCAGAAAATTGTAAACTAATTAATGCTCAAAACATTATTTTATACAATAACTCAAATTTCATAACTTTTTAAAAATTACACATTTAGGAGCTGATTATTTCACTGAACTGGGACATAATAGAACGCTTTTTAAGATTTATCTTGCGGAAAGATAATATTAGAAGAATTGGCCCATCTATCTGAATGAAACACTCATTTTTAAAGATCAACTAGCTGTATCTGCCCAAGGCCAAATATACTGCGATTTAATGGTCTTACGCTCTCAAGCTTAAATTGTTGTTGACAATTACTTCTAAAAAACCGAAGCTAACAAGTGCCTTGTAAGTGCTAAAATGAACATGTAAAGGGCTACAGAAAAGCATAAGCGAGTTAGAGTGGTAAAATCTAAGCTTAGGGCGTTGCGACACTTCAAAGTCAACCCTGTCTTAAAAATTGATGAGACTATTAATAAGCAGTATGTGAATACTTAACAAAACTACTGGAGCATGGTCACGATTTGGAACTGTTGTTAACTTTTAGGGCATCTAGGTTTTGTAGTTTTTGGCTGGATAAAAATCTTAGAATGTTAAACGAATGCAAAATTTTACGATCTAAAAGTTTGCTTTCATTAATTTTGCCTCAGACTGAACGATTGTTTTTGCTTCGTTTAGGCTTATATCATAGCCTCACATTTTCTAAATAATAAAATAACATTGGTAGGTATTTGTTGGGCTTTTTTTAAACATAAAATATGGTGAAACTGCCCAACACTATTTCTTCATGTGCAGCCATTTTGTAATTGAAATTTATTTAGGGAGTTAGTTTCCGTGGAGGGAGCGGTGGTAATTTCAGAAGCAACGAAAGGTCCCAGACCTATGGAAAAGCTTGGAACTAATCCATCAATGAGTTTTCCCGAGAAAGCTGCCGCATACTATCGGTAAGTCTTATTTATACAAAATCTTTAAATTAAATTAAATGTCGTGTGATAAATCATCTTCTAATCCGTGAGATACAGACAACTCTTAAAGATAATCATAAAATTTGAGAGAGCCTCGAATTAAAGGTGTCGCAACGCGTTTGGTTTTATCTCACAAACTAACTTTTACTTTTGTTGTAGTTAAAGCCATATTTATTTTAAAAATGCAATGAGCTTGTTTCAAACTCAAGTTTGAAAGGATTAATTGGCAAATACTGGTTAATTTTGGCGTGCGAGCGTGTACATCTTGGTTTGCGGTAATAAAAAGATAACTATTTAAATAGTTCCCTGTGATTTCCAAAATGTGTGTTGTATTTCAAATAGATATAAATTTGGAAATCAAGTCCAATTTCTATTTTTTTGTAACAAAATAAAAATTTCAGTGGTTTCCTGGACCGTTTATATAAAGTTGCAGACCTCGTATCTTCCAGCTCCAATCCAACCTTACTGCAATCCCAGTACCTCCAGCCAGACTTGGAGACTGGGGAGGAGAAGGAAGGATCCCTGAACAGTTTCGTCCTAGTTCTCCACCTTGCATCCAGGATAGAAACTGTCAACCTCCTTGTTCGAACTAAGAAATGGTCGTTCGAGCACTTCGTGAAACGAAAACGTAAAAAATACTTTTTGTTTGACAGAGTTGTAAGTGTGACTGGTCTGTAATTTGAAAATAAACAATTATTTTCCATCTTGGTTAAACCGTTAGAGTTCTGTTTGTTTATGCCATTTATACTTTTTATGTGAAAAAATCTTCAGACCGCGCAGCCAACCCAGTTTTCAGATGTGTAAGGTATTATTACATGTTAAAATGTCCGAGAATTCAATTATAAGTGGTTTTTTTACCTCCATCCCAGGATTCAAAAGCAAAATTTCTACATTTGTCTAGAAAATTTCCAATTTTGCACGAATTATGCTTTAATTTATTTAACATTTAACTTATTGATATAATTAAATTACGTGACTACGATATTGAAAACCTCGTGATTTAAAATTACTGATTTTCCAATCGTCAAGCATAGATAACAATGTTTAAATTGTGGTCACGTGTATTAAAATAATAAGTGTTAACGTTATTTCCTTTTTTGTGTGGTGTAGGGGAGGGGGGGGGGGCATTTCCTTTCTTGTGTGTTAGTGGTAGTGGTGTAGTAGAAGGGGGGGGGGGGCTTGGCTTTGTTTTGACTAGGTACTATGCCGTGGAGACTTATTGATTCAACATAATCGGTATTTTACCTGAACTAAACTATACATAGTGTTTCCCAATTCTTATACGTCATTAAAATCAACGCAATAGATTCATGACGCGCTTAATTGTTTGCTTCTCAGTAAATACGTAGATGTCAGTTCACGTAAGAAATGTTGATTATTAAATACTTTTAAAATATTCAGCTTTTATCAGGCCCGTAGCTAGGAATTATAAAGTGGAGGTAGTACAGATCGATAAGTAAGGGGCGCATCGCAGGCGAACACTTTTTTGACCTGAAAAATTATGCTTCTTGTTTTCTAATGTTTCCCATGCCCAAATTTCGTTTAATTAGAAAAGGAAAAATTTAAACATCTTAAAATGCGTGATTTTGTATCTATATTGATATTGATTATATTGAGCTCCATAATTTGTTTGCAAAATTATTCCACCCCCCCCCCCCCCCCTTCTTTTAAAGTAACTGTTTGTTTTGCTCTTTTTGGGTTTTATTCACCGCAAATTTTTGGACAGAAGGTATCAAAAAGGAGAGGCTTGAATGTTTGTCCCCTCAAAGCACCGAAAATCATGTACCCTTATTGTGCTTCTGACTCATGTAAGGTTTGTTTGTGTGGGGGGGGGGTGATTAAGAATTAATGTTTAAGTATGCAATGGGTGAAATAATGGCTCAATTCTTATGTAAAAAAAATTGTAAAAATTGTAAATCTATAATGGTCAAGAGTAAAGAAATTAAAAACTTGTCTCTCACCTGTTCGGCATCTTACATTCATAATTGTGATAATTGATGTTTTAAGCCTTATTTGTACACATGTGTAACATTAAAGCCCAATTTCAGTTAGGGAGGGGCACACCGTCATTCATTTGGGGCATGGCAATAATTTCTCAAATCTCCTTCACATCAATTTTATTTAAAAACAAAACTCGATGTTCAATTTCAGATAAATAATGGTAAATAGTATAATTATCTTGTAAGTCAAGAATAACCCCTGTTGAAAAGCTAAAATGTGTGCGGATGGCTTGAACCTCGAGAAACCGGTTTCCTGAACCTACTTTGCGCAAACTCTAGTTCTAGTAGTGTAGTTTCATTATCAATACTATACTCCGGACTGGAGAGTTGAAGAGTACCTAGTTTACACCAGACCTGGAGAAGATAAACAGTGCCTTATTTAATACCACTGGAGTGCCTTGATACTTGTTAAATATGTGTTTTGATATTGGTGTAGTTGTCTGCGGACCTAATGAAGCTCTCGTCATCTCTGGAATGTTTCAGGTATAATAATTAAATCATACATAGTTCATATAGTCATGTTAATTTTACCCAATCTAGATAAAATGTCACTTTTTTGTTTTTATGTCAATACATAAATATTTTCTTACTGCTGAATTGACATAATATTGTTTAAAAATGTTAGTATGACCTGCTAATATTAACCTTGACAGTGTAAACCTTGTTTGTCAGTTTAAACCTTGTCTGTCAGTATCAACCTTGTCTGTAAGTGTAAACCTTGTCTGTCAGTATCAACCTTGGGTGTTGATAACAAACTTGTTTGTCAGTATCAACCTTGGTTGTTGATATCAACCTTGTTTGTTGATATCAAACTTGTCTGTCAGTATCAACTTTGTTTGTCAGTGTAAATCTTGTCGGTCATTATCAACCTTGTCTGTCGAAATCAACCTTGTCGTTAGTATCAACCTTGTGTGCTATAATATCAACCTTGTCTGTTAATATTAACCTTGTCTGTCAGTATCAACCTAGTCTGTCAATACCAACCTTTGTTTGTCGATATCAACCTTGTCGACCTGTCTATCAGTGTCAACCTTGTCCGTCTTATCAACCTTGTCCTTCAATATCAACATTGTCTGTCAATATCAACATTGTCTTCATTTCTGGCGGTGTCAACCTTGTCCGTCTGTATCAACTTTGTCTGTCAGTGTAAACCTTGTCTGGCATTGTAAACCTTGTCTCTCAGTATAAACCTTGTCTCTCAGAATAAACCTTGCCTGTCAGTATAAACCTTGTCTGTCAGTATCAACCTTGTCTGTCGTAAGTCAACCTTGTCTGTCATTCTGAGTTAGTTTTTATTATTTTTAGACTTGTTTTACACTTCAGGTCGTGTTACTGTTTGTATTTTCGTATCATACTGTAAAACTGGTGTTTTATATAATTTTTAGTTAGTGTTTTTGTCATTTTTATGCTTCAGTGACAATTTGGAGGAGTCGTGTTTTTCAACGTGAGCGTTTCTCGGTGCTACGACATTCAAGTACAATATGCATCAGTTTATCAGTTTAAACTTGTGTTTAATGTCAAGGGTGTGTTCGGTTTTAAGTATTTTTTGATTGATTTGCATTTGAAAGTTAAATATTGTAGACCATTTGTTGAAAGAATATCTACACATTACTGATTTTTAGTCTAGATTTGCTGAAATTCCAAACATGCAAGTTCTGACACTCGTGAGTCGGAACTAAAAAATTATTTTTATTTATCTGTTGCTAATCCAGAGATATTGATTATTCCGGTTCTGCACAAAGAGAACATTAAAATCATCTTTGTTGTTTTAATGGATATTTTTTCACCAGACTTTTTCATTTGTTTTTAAGCGCATTCACTAATTTTTGTTGCGTCTAACTTTAGATTCGAAACTACGGGATTAGACTCAAGGTTAAGATAATAAATCGCGGCCTCATCAATAATACCAGAAGGATTAAATTGTAAATCGTTGATGACCCTAATTTACGTGAACAATATCTTAAAGATAATTTTGTTTAGGGAAATAAACCCTCTTACATTACTGGTGGACGAGCTATAGTTTGTCCTTGTATACAGGTAACTTTATTAAACGACGGTTTGTCTTTTCATGGTAATAATGATAATTAATGAAAACACTAACCCATTGTACGCTTCCAGAACTAGGGGATCTTAAAGGGAGTGCTCTTTAAGACTGCACTCTCAGCTCAACTACCATATCTAGCCGGTCGCACCCTTTAATCACGCCTTTCTTGACATAACTAATCGAACATCCTTTATTAACCCTTTAACAACCAACTAAAATTTATTTTGTCATTTTTCCATTTATTTGCAAGCTTTCATCGTTGAATCAAATAGTAGCGCTTTTGAATACTGCATGCTCCAATGGTTTTAATAAAAGAAATCCCCTTTTTAATTCCGCAGATAAATTAGTTTTAAAATCTGTAATTCACAAAAATGTTTTTGATACAGGTTTTATTATTTTCTTACAGCCTAATGATTGTTTCCTTTTAATTAATCCTTAATTCAGATTTCTGAGAATAAATAAATTCATGTAAAATTAAATCTACTCTGCGGAATTTAAAATTAACGCATTCATTCTCAAGCCATAGCGCTTTGCAGGCCCTCGTGATGTAATTTTCTTTAAGAAATTCAATATAAATAATATCGTTTTGCACTGTACAAAGAGTACAAAGCTAGGATGACTCTGAATACAAAATTGTTTAGACTGTCAAAGGATAACTGAATACAATATTGTTTAGACTGTTCAAAGGATAACTCTGAATACAATTTTGTTTAGACTATACAAAGGATAACTCTGAATACAATATTATTTGACTGTACAAAGGATAACTTTGAATACAATATTGTTTAGACTGTACAAAGGATAACTCTAAATACAATATTGTTTAGACTGTACAAAGGATAACTCTGAATACAATATTGTTTAGACTGACAAAGGATAACTCTGAATACAATATTGTTTAGACTGTACAAAGGATAACTCTGAATACAATATTGTTTAGACTGACAAAGGATAACTCTGAATACAATATTGTTTAGACTGTACAAAGGATAACTCTGAATACAATATTTTTTAGACTGTACAAAGGATAACTCTGAATACAATGACCCTATCTATCCTGACGGAGAGAGTATACACTAGTCTAGGAGTACCAATCAGTGTCATTGGAACTGCTCAGGTAGGAAAAAAAGATGTTTTAGGTTTGAAGAATTTTATGTTGAACTTAAACTTTGATCCCTACCTCATGAGTTCATCGTGTCCTCTAAAGGGGATGTCGTTGCAATTGCAAAAACTCTCCTTTTAGATAGTGCCATGTCCAATTCACAACGGTGTCATAAAGACATGTATCTGATCAATAATGTGAGAGATATCTTTGTTTTTCTAGATTGAGAAGTGTCCAATTCTGACAATTTTCTTCACTGATTTGCAGGACTGTAATAGAGAAACAAAAATTAAATACAATCAATAGTTCTAAATTATAATTTTGTTCAGGTTAAAATTAATGGATCTAGCAGTGATATGTTGGAGTCAGCAGCTGAACAGTTTGGAGGAAAAACAGAAATAGAAATTAAAGAAATTTGTTTGGTGAGTTACAGAACAGTCGGGATTCCAAATTTTATTTAAACTGAAAATTATCATAAAGAAGTTTTCTGTCAAAATCTTCTTGTTTAATACAAAAAAGAGGGGGCGCTGTTATAAATTGTTAATTGACACATTTTGAAATCTACTACTTAGGTTTAAAAACTATCCAAAAAAAATAAAATTTGTAATTATAAAAAAAAAATTACTAATCACTAAATTATCACTAAATAATCAGAAATTTAGGTTTTTCTTCAGGAAAAAAGATTCCTTTAAGTTTAGCTATGTTTCTTAACTTAAAACCAGTTTTCTTCGTTAATAAATAAATAAGTATAAATAGTTGTAATATTTTTTCTTGATTTTTCTGGAAAATATTTGTTTCTACGTTTTTAATGTTTACATACCCTCCGTAAATTGTAAATTGATGTCTATTATTCACTTTATGAGTAATCATTACTTGGCATATCAGTATATTATTACTAGGCTTTCAGGTGTGAACATTTCCTCTGTGTACTGTATACATTGTAAAACAAAAACAAAGAAAATTCGCGGATTTAAAAAAAAGAACCGTGGATTTTCAAAATTTAACGAAAATCGAATTTTAATAGAGGCTCATTTTTGAAAATCTGATCATCCATAAACCTTCCCTGGAGTCATGTGAGGTCCCACACAAAATTTGGGCCCAATCGGTTCAGCAGTTTTGACGTTTATTGGATACAAACAAAAAGACCTTTTATGAACATAATCAGCATCAAATTTGTATTTTTATCTCGCATTGCAGGCCACCCTGGAGGGTCATCAAAGAGCTATCATGGGAAATATGTCAGTTGAAGAAATTTACAGAGATAGGAAAACTTTCTCAGAAAAGGTAACAAACCTAAAATCTTGGAAGGGTTAAAAAAAGGAAAGATTTGTGTCAAATATTTTCGGAATAATACAGGGTTACCTTCAAAGGATCTGACGACTGTACGAACTTTATACTGTCATTTCTTTCTTTATACTGTCTGTTTTCTTATATTCATGATTCCCTGGAACTATAAATTCTTTCTTTATACTGTCTGTTTTCTGATATTCATGATTCCCTGCATCTATAAATTCTTTCTTTATACTGTCTGTTTTCTTATATTCTTGATTCCCTGCAACTATAAATTCTTTCTTTATACTGTCTGTTTTCTCATATTCATGATTCCATGCATCTATAAATTCTTTCTTTATACTCTCTGTTTTCTTATATTCATGATTCCCTGCATCTATAAATTCTTTCTTTATACTGTCTGTTTTCTTATATTCATGATTCCCTGGAACTATAAATTCTTTCTTTATACTGTCTGTTTTCTTATATTCTTGATTCCCTGCAACTAAAAATTCTTTCTTTATACTGTCTGTTTTCTCATATTCATGATTCCCTGCATCTATAAATTCTTTCTTTATATTGTCTGTTTTCGTATATTCTTGATTCCCTGCAACTATAAATTCTTTCTTTATACTCTCTGTTTTCTCATATTCATGATTCCCTGCATCTATAAATTCTTTCTTTATACTGTCTGTTTTCTTATATTCATGATTCCCTTGCAACTATAAATTCTTTCTTTATACTGTCTGTTTTCTCATATTCATGATTTCCTACTACTATAAATTCTTTCTTTATACTGTCTGTTTTCTGATATTCATGATTCCCTGCAACTAAAAATTTGTTTCTTTGACAAATCATTAAGTAAGTCATTTAAATACCACAGTTTAGGCAGCAGGCTTTATTTAAACTTGGGATCGTCATATTTGAGAAGTTTTAGGTCGTCTTTACAGTCTCATCCGTTGTAGGTAACCCTGTATTTTATGTAAATTTGTAAAATATGAATTAAGCTAGATATCCTAAAAATCATAAATTCTGTTGATTCAAATATTAATGATAAGTTCGTTTTCTGTTCTTATCTATATTTAATTAAGAACTATTCAGCTTATCTCTGTATTGACTCTAACAATTACTATTTCAATGTAAATTTAATCAATTTGTTGAGATTTAATAAATTCTGGTTTCTAATATATGGCGCTATGACGTCTATGCTTTTACTTTTGTAATTTTTCAAGATTTTTGAGATTTTACGTAGAGTGGGTCGACTTTAACAGGAAAATATAGTTTAAATCGTAATTTACGACCAAGTGCGGGTAAATGGCGGGAGTAATTCAGGGCAACGCTGGGTTCCCAAGCTAGTACGTTCATTTAAAAATTCAAAGACCAGGTTTTGAAGAAATCTATGAACTTCTGATGTGTCCAGGTCTTCGAGGTTGCTTCTCAGGACCTGTATAATATGGGAATAATGGTGATCTCCTATACCTTGAAGGACGTCAAGGACGATGTTGGATATTTGGCTAGTCTGGGTCAGGCTAGAACTGCACAGGTCAAGAGGGACGCTCTTATAGGTTAGTTTTCCAGACAACAGTCACGCTGAGACTTTAGATAACTTTGACTTTTCGCCTTTTCTCTTTAATACTTTTTGTCGATGAATGCGTTTTAATGAAAATTGAAAGTTTAAAGGTTGTTGGAATAAAGACCAAAACGTGATTGTATCTACGCTAGTTAGTCCATGGTACAAGATATACAAAGCATAACTGTCTCGGATGCCCAAGATTGAACTTTATCCAATACAGATCGTAGATGGGCAATATGCTTAGGGCATTATCTCATAAGGGAGATGACGAGTTGAGTTTTCTTTTATTTAATTTACAATTTGATGCCCTGTTTTCCTCCAAATGATGGTATGTTTATATGCTTTTATACCAAAACTTTTAAATTCTAGATAAGAAAATTTTGAATGAAATGAATTACTTGAACCCGTCAGAGACTAGCTTAACTCAGCGCTTTCATTTAAAAGTTCCCAGTTTCGGATTTAAGAAGTCCAGCCAGTTTGAAATTGGCATAAAATCTTGCCGATCCAAGATGCCCATTATACCCCTAGTCAAGGAGGATACACAAGGAACTCATCTTTGTTTACATTAATAGTGAATGTTGTTTCTATGATCAGGATATAAACAAAACTACGGATGAGCCTCATTGATTTTGTTTCAATTCGCCCCTGAAACTGTTATATAGGAGGGTATTTAATGCATCTTCTCTGTCCCTAATTTTTACGATGTCTACCTTGTATAGGTGAGGCTGAGGCTAGAAAGGATTCAACTATAGCTGAGGCTAGAGCTGAAGAGCAGAGGATGGAGGCTAAACTGAAGAACGATACAGAGATTGCTCGTGCCAAGAGAGATTATGAACTCAAGAAAGCTGTTTATGACACAGAGGTAGAATGTTAATTCAAATAGAATTTTTTATAATTTCATCATACAGTACACTTAAAAAATCATTTAAAAATAAACTATTCAAAGTGAAAAATCTGCCTAGTTAATTTTAAATTCCTTAAGTCATTTTACAGACAAGACATAGATAGGCAAAGAAGAATTTTCATAAAAATAAATTAAATTATTTCATGTTTCCAAAATTATCCTACTTGATTTATTATACAGTGAATCCCAGATATATGCATATTGAATACGTAGCAAGAGTTTTTTGTGATGTCGTATTACATGATCAAATGTCGTGGAAAAATGAGTTTAATATTAATATATCAATTGCATTCATATTTCATATTTAATTTACCTTGAATTAATTATAAAAGAAGTTCTTATGACGGTCTATGCATTCATATATCTGGTATTCATTGTAATTGATATTTTTACGATATTTTATAGACAGGACATAGATAAAGAAGATTTGTCATAAAAATAAATTAAATTATTTCATTTTTCCAAAGTAATCCTACTTGACTTATTATAATTTTTATTTTTACGATGTACGATGAAAGATTTATTGTCTATAAATTGTCCTTTCTGCATTTAAAAATGTCCTATTTACGATTTTTTAATCCAAAAAAATTCTTTTTTTTTACTTTTAATGATATTAAATCAAGAAATGGCAGATTTTGATTGTATTAGTGTTTGCTCTGATATAGGTAAACACAGCGAAGGCTGAGGCTGAGATGGCGTATAGTCTGCAGGCAGCCAAGGTCCAGTGCAGGATTAAGGAAGAGGAGATGCAGGTCAAGGTAGTCGAGAGACAACAGAATATTGCTATTCAGGAGCAAGAGATTCTCAGGTTACTTACGCTTTTAATAAACTAGCTGGAGTACCCGGCGTTGCCCAGGTTTAAAGGAAGTGACCGGCAATGTATGGTAGTTGAACTGAGACTGTAGTATTGTGGAGAAATTTTTTAGGAATCATTTGAGACCTATGAGACGTTTTTACGGTGCACATTCGTTGAGCAAGAGCGCAAATTCAATCTTTAAAATCCTCATAAATTGTTCATTTTTGAGGAATGATTTTGAGAATTGGTTTTTAAAATATTATTCAATAACGATGACGAAAAATGTAGTAAAAATTCTACAGTGAACTAATCAGTTGTTAAGGAACAGGTTGAGAAAATAAAAATTAACTATATCATCTAAATTAAGTAATTTTATTTAGTTATTGGTTTCTGTAATGTCTCATTGTTTACAATCATTTTCTGTAGATTTCCTGGAACTTTTATTGAAAAGACGACATTTGAAGAATTTAAAGATATCTACGAACAAATTCATTAAGAATAAGAAATTCAATATAATGATGAAAAAAAATAATTGATTCTAATTTTGATTTATTGAGAAATATGTTCTTAAGCATCTAATTAGTTTACTGTAGAATTTTTTTACATTTGTCGTCTTTTTTTTAATAACTAGGCTTCTATTTCAACTTTTAATTGTGGCTTTATCTCTGAACATCTTCTCTTTGTACAGTATAAAACAAAAACAAAAACAAATTGTGCATTTCAAAATATTTTTTCGCGCATTTTGAAAATTTTACGAAAAAAACTTTAAATTAAAATTTTGATCATTCATAAACCTTCCCTGGGGTCACGTGAGGTTCCACACAAAATCTGGACCCGATCGGTTTAGCCGTTTTATAACGTTTATTGGATACAAACAAACAGACAAACGAACAAAAAGACACCCAGACAAGCTAAATTTATATATATATTTATAAAAAGTCGATTCTCAAAATGTTAACACTAAAATGGATGAGTTTGAACGCCGACTATGCGCTCAAGCTCAGTAATTATACATCATTGAAACGTTTTATATGTCTCAAATTAATCCTAAAAATGTTCTCCGTAATACTACATTCTCAGTTCAACTAACATACATTGCCGGTCACTCGAAAAAAAATCATTGAATTTGGTTAAGTTGTGTCGGCGGCCATTTTGGACAAAGTAATATGAGAGAAGAACTTTATTATTTAGATAATTAACATAAACAACAAACGTGCAACAGAAATGTTTTATAAAGTTAAAACTTTTAGGGCGCCCATCTTCTATTTTAATTGTGACAATCTTCTATTTCAACTTTTAATTGTAGCTTTATCTGTGAGCATATTCTCTTTGTACAGTAAAAAAACAAAAACAAAACAAAAATTTGCGGATTTCATAATATTTTTTCTCGCATTTTCAAAATTTAATGTCGGATGAAATGAATGAAGTAGTTTAACTATGTATGGCAACTCAAACTATCCCTTGAGCGCACTCTTTGCAACACTGGAGAAATATTTAGACAATCTATACTTATTCTACCACCTCTGCTATTCATTGAATTTGACTTAGAGGATGATTTTCAGTAGAAAATCAGATACAAAATATAGAATCCATCACGAAGTCTAGCCAGAACTCAGGAAATGAGAGAAAATAAAAATTAAATTTTTGTTCAGGAAAGAGAAAGAGTTGGACAGCAAAGTAAGAAAACCCGCCGAGGCGGAGAAATATCGTCTGGAGAGGATCGCCGAGGCGGATAAACAGAAAATTGTTCTGGAGGCGGAGGCGGAAGCCGAGGCGAAAGCACTTAAGGTGAATGTTAGAATACTGGCTGGCTGTAACCATAAACCAGTGGAAGGACTGTTGGCTTTAGAGACAATTCATAATAAAAGAAAAAGAGGAGACTACTAAAATAGTATTTATCAACTTGAAACTCATATACAGGTTTACCCACAAAGGAAGATACTTCAGAGACGACTGTACGGAATTTTTACTGCATGTCTCTTTATTTTCACGATTCCCTGCAACTGTAAACTTGTTTCTATCTTTTTCAAATCCTGTAATAAGTCATTTAAAGAGTATATTAAAGGGTTAATCAAGGGATAATTAAAGGGATAACCTTTGGATCGTAATATCTTAAGCGTTTTCGTCTTCACAGTCTCAACCTTTGCAAACCCTTTAATTTACAATAGTTACTGAATTTTAGTAAAAGGGGGAAACTGAAGTGTTGGTTTTGTCAATATAGCGAGGTTTCTAAAATAATTCATTTAGCCGATGATCAGTTGACATTTATTCGGGTTTATCTGAATTTAAAGGGACAAAATTGAAATCGGCAAAAAATGCTTGTCCTTGGTTTCCATTTTATTTGATCTCAAAATTACAAGAAAGCCAAATATTTCGAAGCATATTTTTCGTGTACTAAACCTAAACAACCTCCATAACAGGTCCAACACAAAAATTAAATCAATTACTTTCACCCAACATTCTGACTAACTTAAGAAGATTATGTTTTAGCTTCAAAAGATTGAAACATTAAGTTTATTGTAAGTAAAAGACTATCTGTTTATTTATATATTTGTAGGGAGAAGCTGAGGCGTATGCTATTGAAGTGAAAGCTAAGGCGGAGGCGGAGCAGATGGCAAAGAAGGCGGATGCCTGGAAGGAGTACAAAGAAGCTGCTCTTGTAGATATGATGTTGCAGGTATTAAATTTCGACGGAGATATTGATAATATTTTGTAGTATAATAGTATAATGCATAAACAAACAATTAATTGTGTTGTTTTGTATTATTATCTCTTATTTCTGTTTACTTAACTAGAGTTCTATATCTAAATTGATCTATTCGCTGCAGAGCAATTTCATGATTTCCCCACTGTATCATATATCGTTACTAAATGTTAAATTGACTTTAATTTCCAGTAATTCACTCATCTTTTAACATTTTACGCCACTTCGCAAAAATGTATCTAATATCAACGACGTTCGACGCTTCTTAGATAAGAAGTAAAGCATTGAAAAAGTTAAATAATTTGTCCAAGTTGATAATTCGTCTAGTTTAAGAATTAAGATTATGTAACCTTTTTATATAAAACAAATTTTTATGATAAAAAGTGATTATTTTTCAATTAAAGATAATCTTTCAATCCTAAAATGTTCTCTACTTATTTGTTAAATTAAAATCTTTATTATTTGTTCAGATGATGCCAAAGATTGCTGCTGAAGTGAGCGGACCTATATCTCAGACGAACAAGATAACAATGGTCTCCAACGGAGATGGTCCTGTCGGAGCAAGCAGAATTACACAAGAGGTTAGGATTAGGAACGAGCTTGAGAGATATGAAGTGTTGATTATCCACAAACAAAAATTAAAGCCTAAAAATTATTTTCTACTCTTCTTTAAGAAACAAGAGAATCTCCAAAAGCAATGACTCAATTTCTTTTGTATTTCTTGGAACTTTTTTTTTCGGTAACAAACCAGTAAACTGCAAAATATTCATAAAATAACATCATGGTACACAATGTCCTGATAAATGGCTAGGATAGGTTTTTTTGTCATGGAAAATGTGCAAGGGTATATTCTCTTGAAAACTTCAACCCAACCTTAGAATTAATTTTACCCTTTTTCCAATATGTTAAATAAACAAGTTTTGGTGGAAAAGAAATAAATAAAAATAATGTAAGAAACGTTTTTTGAAAATTCATCCTTCAACAAAACGTCCTCTAACTTCTATAGTTTTCAGTGTAATTCTAAACCTTAAAAAATATTTTAAAAATATATCGTTATTTATTTCAGGTTCTAGATATCATGGGTTCACTTCCTGATACAGTGGAAAAGATGACCGGAGTCAATATTACGGAGAAGCTGGCCAGAACCGGTTAGTCGCGCCGCGCCGCGTAATTATATAAAATCAGCTACTGCTTGGTAGAACCGGCTATTTACGCCGCGCCGCGTGAATATAAAAAAAATGGAAACAGTTTAAGAAAAGTTTCACAGTACTATCATAAGATGATCTGAAAATGACCATGCGACAGATTTACATTTAGAACAAAAAAAGACAAGATTTAATCATACTTTTAATTTAGTTAATCGCCGATAATGTTGGCGGACCTTCAAACCGCCTGTAGTATTGATGGCCCTTCAACCCCCCTGTAATATTGGCGATCCTTTAATTGACTAAAATGCAGCCTTTAAAATCCAATTCAATATTGGCGGTATTACTTTTGCTAAACTGGTTAATTTACAAAACGACTACAGTAATATAAACCTTTCAAATCAACTTTACGACATTAGCGGGCATTCGTCCTCGTTTGAAATTTGAAACAAAAATATTTTTGGCTCCAGCAGTTCTTTATGATGGGGTAAAGATGGAAAACCTGAGTATCTTCTTACAGGTTTAGAAATACAGGTTTTAAATACTCCAAAATCAACAAGATACAGTTTAGTACAAAAGCAAACTGTTTTCTTCTCAATATTTATGTACTGTGTGCTATGTACATTGTACTCTTAATGTTTATATTTATGTTTAAAGTACTTCTTTTATGACCCTCACTAACAAATGTTTATGTTTGGGAACAAATGATATTTCTGCTCTTATACTTTTTTGGATTGATGAATGTTCAAACACCAAACCTGAATTTAACTTTTTATTTCGAGATTTATTCTTAATAGATGACGGAACTAATGATAAATTTGGCGCACAAGCTATAGAGGAAACGGACCTAAGTGTTTTCTTGACCTACGAATTTGTTAGACCTTAGAAATTAAGTTGAGTTTAGAGAGAGTTATGTTGGGATGGCATTTTTTTAAGCCCTAAATATGCTCTGGCCTTAGATCAGAAACTTCTTAGGTCGGTTTCCATAGCATTTATAATTTGATATGTAGTGTAACACAATTTGCTTGAACGAATCTAATGTGTGATATTGTTAAATTGGTATATATTTCAAGCCTAACGAAACTTACCTTTGTCAAATATTAGTATGAGTGCCTTGAATGAAACACATAACTGGTTAAACTGAAACTAACTTTTACTCGTAATCTTTTTCACGCAAAAAAAAACCTTATCTGAATAATTTTTATTTTTATTATTTTCTCTTTACTGTAGTTCCTTGCAACCAATTCATGTAAAACTACACTGAAGCTAGTTCAATAGTTAATAATTAAACTTTTTTGGCAAACTGAGTTTTTTCTTAAACTTTCCCCTATTGTTAATCTTTGAAAACTTTCTTCTCTAATATTTCCTCTTGAAATACAATTTTAGATTTTATTGGATTGTATGCACGGTTTTTTTATAGTAATCTATAAATTTACATCTTACAAATGGAAAAATGTAATGGATCAGTGTTCAATGTAAACAATACAATATAGTAATGTACAATATTAAAGGCTAATCAAAAAATAAAAATATTTCCTTCATAATATGTGATTATTATGTGTGTGTAATGTGTATACTGTAAGTGAAGAGAGCTGCATTGATTTAAAATTTCCCATATAAATGCGCGTCTTTGGTGCGTTTTTGCAATATATCTTCTTTTATAATTTGGCTCAGTTAATTGAAAGCAAATATTTTCCAAATTGTTTATTCTAATCCAATACAATGTGAGTTGTCCCTTTCAGAAAATAAATGCAAAAATAATACCCAAATCCTATCCGATAAAGATGCAAATACGAACACGTTTTTTGTTCGTCTTCCCATTTTTCATTGTAGGATTTAGATAATGCACAGTTTACTAAAAGCAAACGAACATAATGAAGTTTCAAAATCCTGAGGCAGAATTTAAAGAATTTGAGCCGCGGCTCAAATATGGTTGGTTCCACCTAAAATTGATCCATTGCTTCAAGATTTTAGCCGGCGCTCAATAGAAACCGGTTTTGGCGGATTTAAGACGCGGCTTAAATTCATTAAATTCGGACACTGGAAGTTTTATTAAAATTAATAAAAACTATCTAAAACGATGACCAACTCTACATATTTTATAGAATTTTGAGGAAGAAAAACAGTTCTTGAGAAATGTGACAATCAGGGGAGGTTGATATTTCATAAGAAACTAAAAGAAGGAAAGCTATATATTACAATTATTTTTTCAATAACTGGACACGCACATCCGGCAGATATTTTTACTTTCAATTATTATTTTATTTTTAATAAATATATTCACAAAAATTATTTTATTCCACGGCAAACAAAGAAGGAGACAGTCAAATTTATGCGGTATTACCGCTAACACTCGACTGCTTAGCTTCTCAAGCCTTTATTTGATGTTTGAGTATGGGAAAAGTAAATTTATCCGTAACATATTAAATATTCAAAATAATTTGGTCCCGCTCAATAGCTCTCCAATGATAACTAACATATAAGATTTCAATCATAACTCTTATTTTTGAGCTATTAAGAAGAACAAAAATGTTTTAATTTCTAATATGTAAAACCGGAGAAATCAAGTAGATTCTAGTGAAATAATTGCAATTTTATGTTATTTATTTTTATTTTCTTTTTACACTTTTTTATTTAATCTTGGAGAACATGTAAACTAATGTGAGAAAATTTCGTTTTCCTTGTTATATTTGACACTTGTGACGTCATGTATAGGTTGTCAATTTCTCTGTTGCCACCTATTGTACTTGATAATTTATTTGGGAGAAATGTCCTTTTTATGAAAACTAGTGGAGCTACTAAGTCACAGATAGTAATGTCGCATAAAAAGTACCTTCTCTTCCTGTGAAGTTAGCAGTGTGAAAATATTAAAATCAATTGATTTGTTATAATGTAATTCTCATATGTTTAGTATTTTCTCCAATTAGTAAAGAATTGTACACTTTACCTAGTTAATGCTAACCTTTCAAACAGCTCTATTATTTTGTGTAACACAGGAGTCTCTCAAAACAAGAATTTTTAAATGAACCCTAGGCCAGCGCTGAATTCATTAATAGTGATCTGTGTTACAATTCGCAAATTTAAAGGGAGTGACCGGCTATGTAAGGTAGTTGAACTGAGTATGCAGTGTTGTCGAAAACTTCTTTAGGATTCATTTGAGACATATTTCACTTTTAAAGATCTGTAAATCCTGAGTTTGAGCGCAAATTCGACGTTCAAAACTCCTGATTTGGGGTGGATACGCTTTCAGAATTAGTTTTTTTTTAAATTATTAAATAACAACAACGAAAAATAAAGTAAAAATTATACAGTAATCTAATTAGATGGCTAGGAACATATTTCACAAAAGAAATTTGTCAATAAATCAATGCTAAAATCGATTATTTCGTTTTCATTATTATATTGAATTTCTAATTTTCTTTGAATTTATTCGCAGATTTCTTCAAATTCTTTAAATGCCGTCTTTTCAATAATAATTATAGAAAATCTGCGAACATCTTTGTGAATAACGAGAAACTAGAATAATGAGATAATAGAAACTAATAATTGAACAAGATTACTTATTTTCGATGATAAGATTAATTTTTATTTTCTCAAAATGTTCCTAAACATGAGTTCCTGTAGTTTATTGTAGAATATATTTAGATTTTATGTCGTCGTTAATTAATAATTTAAAAAAAACTAATTCTGAAAGCGTATCCACCCCCAAATCAGGAGTTTTGAACGTCGAATTTGCGCTCAAACTCAGGATTTACAGACTTTTAAAAAGTGAAATATGTCTCAAATGAATCCTAAAGAAGCTTTCCACAACACTGCATACTCAATTCAACTACCTTACATAGACGGTCACTCCCTTTAAGCCAAAAAAAGAGATTTTGCTTAATCGTACCTGAATTTGAGTTAATATACGGTAATAAATGTTCTGAATTTGACTATTTCTGCCATTTATATTGAGATCCAAGGGAAAAAACTTAGTTATCAATAATTTACGGTGATTTGAAAATTGTTTTTTATTTTTCATTTGTCGTAAGAAAACCCCTGAAATTATTTTGTGTGATATCAAGCGTCTCAGATTTACAAAATCTACACAAAAGCTCTGATATAGTTTGATTAGTTAGATATCTTCAACCTTGAATTGATTTTAGTTGTAAGTATATTAGACTGTAACCAGAATGGAAACAGTCTCTTTAGTTCATATTTAGACGTATATTGTCACTGTCACTGTCCTCTGTGTACTCTGGTAATATGTGTACTCTGGTACTCTGTGTACTTTTTGTACTCTGTGTACTCTGTGTACTCTGGTACTCTGTGTACTCTGTGCCCATCAGGAAGCCCACCAGCGCCGAATTTTGTTATACCCCCTGGAATTTAATAAAAACTAAAGGGCTAGTAGATGCCTTTTTGCGCCCCGAATTTTTCCTGGGGAGGGCGCGTCCTTCAACATTTCTTGGAATACTTGTGATAAAATAAATGTGACGTCTCCCCACCCCACCCGCCATAAGTCTAACTTATATGTATCTTTGTGTAAGTGCACTATTATGCAAAAATGTAATTTCTAAGCAGTTTCAAGTTACGAGTTCATAATGCATGTTGATACTTAATTTTAATCATAATTCAGAGTTTAGAAAACAAAATATTTATTTGTTTCATAAGAATATATAACTTGGCAAACTCTACTGTTTGTTTGTCAATACCACCCACACCTTAAAAGGAACTTAAAGTAATGCAAGAGAAGAATCACAAAGCTAGGAATAGGGTCTTAACCGGAAACTCTCCCTCTCAGATCCTTATATCTTTGCAACCCAATGTCGTCAACCATAGATATTTCAAACTATAAATTCTGTTATATTAAGTAATCTAAGTTTGAAATATAAAATGTTTATACTATTAGGTTACAATCTTTTGAAAACGTTTTTAAAAAGCTTTGAAACTTTGAAAGATCTCTTACTTGACATTCTCAAAATGTGCTCATTACAGTATTTACTATCAAGCTCTCTTCTTAAGATATGAAATAACCTGTCTCTTGACTTAAAAAGAAGCCTCTCAGTATATTTTAAAAAAAAACTTTTTGAAAATTACATTACAATGTGTTATAAAGCGAATTGCTATTCATGTAAAACTAATTAGATATGTTTTAATATGCTTTGATATTTGTTGTGTACATGTCAGAAAATTACTTTAAACTCTAGTTATTCTAACAAATGTACAAACTATTTTTCATCTATATATAAATTTGGCTTGTCTGTTTGTTTGTCTGTTTGTCTGCTTGTTTGTTTGTATCCAATAAACGTCAAAACGGCTGAACCGATCGGGCCCAAATTTTTTGTGGGACATCTAGGGACCCCAGGGAAGGTTTATGAATGATCAAAATTTCAAATATTTGTCTCTATCAAAATTCGATTATCATTAAATTTTTGAAAATTTTGAAAATCCACGAAATTTTTTGTGAAAATCCGCGAATTATTTTTGTTTTGTTTTACGATGTACACAAAGAGAACATGTTCACAATTAATTTAGAAGATGGGCGCGAAGCGCCCTAAAAGCCTAGAAATAAGGGCGCGAAGCGCCTTGAATTTCTAGTAAGATAAATCGCACCCTCATTCCCTCAAATCTATTCAATTGAACTGTTTTGTTATCATTATTGAAATTAGGTGGAAAAAATAATCAGAACAGCCAGGAGCTATTTTCTACCTAATTGCTTTATACTTAAAATGTTAAAATAATTATCAATTTGTAATTATAAACTCGTTCTGTACACAGATGCATGTACTTTAGCAATAAACTTTATCTATATATCTAAGATATAAGTATTATATCATTTGAGTGTGTGTCAAAGACTCAATTCCTTTATTTAAATTATTTCTTAACATTTTTTTAAATGTTGATACAAATAATGCTTGGTTGGAAATATCTTTATACCAAAAACAGTAAAAAGAAAAACTTTACCGACCTACAGTGGTCCCTAAAATAAAGTGGAATACAGCAACGACCTACAGTGGTCCCTGAAATAAAGTGGATTACACCATCTACCTACAGTGGTCCCTAAAATAAAGTGGGAAACAACGAAAACCTTCAGTGGTCCCTGAAATAAAGTGGAATACACAAACGACCTACAATGGTCCCTGAAATAGACAGGAATACACCAACGACCTACAGTGGTCCCTGAAATATATAGGAATACACCAACGACCTACAGTGGTCCCTGAAATAAAGTGGAATACACCAACGACCTACAGTGATCCCTGAAATAGATAGGAATACACCAACGACCTACAGTGATCCCTGAAATAGATAGGAATACACCAACGACCTACAGAGGTCCCTGAAATAAATAAGAATAAAAAACCAACGACCTATAGTGGTCCCGATATAAAGTGGAATACAACAACGACCTATGTGGTTCCTGAAATTAAGTGGTGAAAACGACAACCTACAGTTTTCTCTGAAATGAAGAAAACACCCTCGACCTACACCGGCTACAGGAGCTACAGTGCATACAGGCTACAGGAGCTACAGTGCATACAGGCTACAGGAGCTACAGTGCATACGCCCTATAGATGACAATATAATTATTACAACTTCTAAGAGAAAATTGAACAACTTTTACAAGTTCTAAAAGAACATTGATATTTTTTATACTTGAAATATTTTTCGTATAACAATGTCTACATCATCCATAAAACAGAGCGTCCCATATCATATTGGATTATCTCCCAGCTTTATAACACCTAAATACGCACATAATACTCGAAAACCCTAATATTTTCTGCATGCAAATTTTCTGCTTAGTCCCGAAAATCACAATTTAAACCTACTAACGATCTATTATAATATGGGACACTCTGTATGTTAATACACGTAAAGGTTAAGTTATGTTGGAAATAGTGCAGTGTAAGTTGGCTTGATTTTGAGGGGTTTTGGACGTTTAAAAGGTTCCAAAAAATTCTAAGAAGTTTTACGAAATGCATTTTTTTGCAATTGCGTTTCTAACAATATGCCAAATTTTGCCCTAAAAAGAATATATGAAAAAAGCAAAATCTAACTTGTATAAATGATCGTTTTTTAGGTTCGTTATTCCCTTTTTTCCTAGGAGTAAAAATATTTCAAAGTTAAATAAAAGCTATTTTTAACAGATTAGAGTTTTAAAATTAAAAGTATTTAAGATAAGAGCCAAAACGATTAACAACCCTAGACTTGTATACTGAATGTACTACTACCAATGTGAATCCACGTTTCCTAGCTGTAGGGTATTTTTTATAGTGGTCAGTTTTACAGGCCGCAGTAGTATATAGTGCAGGGTGTCCCAGTAGCAGAGATTCAATGCTTGATGCACTTTTACAGGGTTCACCCTTTAATGAATGGGAGATTTTGTAATATATGTATGCTTAGTTTTTAAATTAATTTTTTTAAGCACTCTGCGAAAACAAAGCTGAAATGATATTAGGAAAATTTACGTATTTATTTTAAAATGTTACAGGGCTCATAAATATGGAACACTTTAGTTCCAGGATTAAATATACAAGATCCAGTTAACCACAGTCTTCTAATCCACGCAGCCCATAACAGAGCCTCAGAGGTATATCTAGTGGATAATCTGGTTTCTACGGGTAGAAACTAGGACAAGGTTATAAAGTAAGGCTAGATACTCAGGTTGCGCTTCATTTAGTAGAAATGTCGTCTTCATGGCAATAGACACTAAAAAATCCTCATAGTACATAGATGCTATTTGGTGAAATATGAAGTGACAACGTTGCTTGTGAGAGGGGCAAGGATTTTTTCGGTTGTCAGCTGTAAAAAGTGGAGACAATCCTTCACCTCTTCTCCACAGCAACGTTGCTGGTGAGAGGGCCGGGGAAGGATTTTCCCCGAGTGTCAGCTGTAAAAAGTGGACACAATCCTTCATCTCTTCTCCCAGCAACGTTTTCACTTCGACTTCCGCCAATAAGCTTACCATACAATCTTGCTGCAGTAAATCCAGAGTTCCGAATCCGAACAAGCATCTAGTATGTAATTTCTTTATATTTTAACAAGCAAAGTATTCAAATTAAACTTCTTTCTGTTAAATAAATTAACAGAAAAACCTTTAAGAAAATTCATCCGTAAAATCAATCCATATTCCATACGTAATACATTTCATGAATAATTATTAAGATATTATAGTTAATTGGATATTAAATACTCTTCAGGAAAATTTATTTTTGTTAATATTAACACTGTGTTAATTTAAATTAAAGATCTGTAATCTTTGAATACTAGGATACACCAGAAGTAGCATTTTCATAAGGACAAAGGATTGCTCCAAACTCTCATTTTCTTTTGATTTTGTATCCCAATGTCATAGACCTTAATTATTTCAAACTATTCATTCTGTTAGATCAATGACATATTAAAGCTTTTCACAGTCGAGTTGCAAAGATGTAGAGAATAGCAAATTTTAGTTTGTGGGAAAGCTTCATTTCTTTATTTTAAACTTCACTTAGTCAGAATTGGCAAGTTTGATCTAGTGAATATGGTAAACCCCTGAATGCACTGCATACAAAGATCTATAAAGAAGATAATGGAATAGATGCATTCTAATCTAGTCTAGACTTATTTACTGTATTATTATTGATCATCAATGCAGTTGTTAAAATACGTTGGTTGGAACAATACAAGCTGTAGGATCAATACAAACTGTAGGAATAGGTTGGATCAATACAAACTGTAGGAATAGGTCGGATAAATACAAACTGTAGGAATAGGTTGGATCAATACAAACTGTAGGAATAGGTTGGATCAATACAAACTGTAGGAATAGAATGGATCAATACAAACTGTAGAAATAGGTTGGATCAATACAAACTGTAGAAATAGGTTGGATCAATACAAACTGTAGGAATAGGTTGGATCAATACAAACTGTAGGAATAGAATGGATCAATACAAACTGTAGAAATAGGTTGGATCAATACAAATTGTAGAAATAGGTTGGATCAATACAAACTGTAGGATAGGTTGGATCAATACAAACTGTAGGAATTGGTTGGATCAATACAAACTGTAGGATAGGTCGGATAAATACAAACTGTAGGAATAGGTTTGATCAATACAAACTGAAGGAATAGGTTGGATCTATACAAACTGTAGGAATAGGTTGGATCAATACAAACTGTAGGAATAGGTTGGATCAATACAAACTGTAGGAATAAGTTGGATCAATACAAACTGTAGGAATAAGTTGGATCAATGCAAACTGTATCTATGTTATATAAAAACCGGGAAGTGAATGCATAATTTTTGTTCTTTTTAATTTAACCTGTTTTTGCTTAATCTTGCACCCGGAAAGATATGGTCAGCCTATATGTTAAGTAACCCTCAATGAGTATGACATCAAATCTCAAAAGCAATGTTAAAACATTGAAAATTATTAATCTAAATAAATGTATGCTTATTTAGTTCTGAAATTATTATATAATGGGGAAAACACGAAAAAGTTATTTCCCGTCATATGCCGCCATCCTTTCTAATTTTTAAATATTTAAACTTTGAATTCTGTTTATCAAATAATCATGAAATAATCTAAGTTTGAAATATTAAAGGTTTGATTTGATTAAAAGATATAAGTGTCAGAAAAATGTTAGTTAGTGACAAAGACTTATAATAATTCTACTTTTCTACAAAATAAAGGTAGAATTTAATGTTATTCTTTCTAAAATACATAAAGATGCAACGGCGCAATGTTAACGGCCTGATCTGTCTGTATGTCCTGAAGCGCAAGTTAAGTTATGTATCTTGTTCCTTTCTAAAGAATTTAGAATATTTGCCTAGTTCGTCGCAGGACAGGACCGGGGTCAGACTAAACTTATCCTGGAGAAACCAACCTTTAATTATCCGTATTATGTACACAAATCTATAGTGAATGCGGTACATAATTCTGATCAATTCATCCAGTAGAATTGTACACAAGCAGTACGGTACAAAAACAACTTTAGTATATAAAACTACTTCTGCAGGACATAACTACCACGTGATCTAAGAAGAAAGATTTCTACAATGTAAAAATGCTACTTGAACAGTCATAATTAAAGGTATGTTTTTTTATACAGGGCAAGTGTCATAATAAACATTTGAATCAACTGTGGCGGTTTCTCATATCTTTGTTCCAGTCGGTGATAAAATATTAACACCTAAAACTACTGGTTTGGAGAATGCCACGATGTATTCTATGTAAAAAAGCGACATAATTAATATTTTTCAAAAATTAGAATTTGTTAAATAATATAAAAAATGTACTTTATAATTTTTTAACTTTTAACTTTAATAACTTTGTTTTATTAAGGGAAAAATGTACTTAAAGCAAAAAGAAACCTAACCTTTTGTGATTTCCAAAATGTGTTCCCAATCCCAAGTACATATTTTTTATTAACAGTTATATTCACTTCTCATGAAGATTATCTTTTTTGATGAATATTACATTATTTAACACCGTAGCGCAGCGCAAATTATTACGCCGAAATATTCATGAAAAGATAATAATCTAGGTAAAGTTAGTGAAATCGATGAAAGAAATGATGAGTTCGAAATTTAATTAACCAAAGCTTTCTCCGGGTTCACCATTACTATTTTTTAAGTTGTCGAGTTTAAAATTTAAAAAAACTCTCATATTTATTTATTTAATTATTATTTAATCAAGCATCTCTTAAATTCTAATATTTTTGATATTATGTTTGTCGCTTTCAAACAAAAAGTTTTTAATTTCGAAATGCTCACGTTAATTTTGATATTATTATGTTATAGTATGCTCAGTTTTATAAAATGAATTATTTTATGCACCTCCATGATTTATAACAATTTCTCTTGAATTATTTATTTTTGAATATGGCGCCTGTCAGTGCCTTGTCAGTGCTTGCGTAAATTAAGCGTGTTTTTGTGAATGTTGACTTAAATAAAATTGAATTAAATTAGTATTAAACGGTCCTCTATATGCTGCTCAAGTTACCCGGATTTAACTTGAAGGATAAAACACGTCCTTTCTACAAAGCAAGATCAAAATTGTAGAACGTTTACACATTTTTGGGTCATTTTGTCAAATATGTACATGAAAAAAACAGCCAAAAACAATCTAAAAACAAACGTGTTATAACAATCGCTTTTAATAGTTTTTACTTTTTTTGATAGAAAAAATATTGCATAGTTTAATACAAACAAATTAGAATTTTTAAAAAGACGAAAGAAACCGCTTAACTAATCTATATATAAATTTGGCTTCTCTGTCTGTCTGTCTGTCTGTTAGTTTGTTTGTATCCAATAAACGTCAAAACGGCTGAACCGATCGGGCCCAAATTTTTTGTGGGACATCACGTGACCACAGGGAAGGTTTATGAATGATAAAAATTTTAAAAAAGTGTTTTAAAGGTTTTTAATTTGTAAAAAATTTATTGAAAATCCGCGAATTTTTTTTTTTTAAATCCGAAAAAAATTTTCTTCTTTGTTTTAAAATGTAAACAAAAAGAACATGTTCACAATTTAAATAGAAGACGGACGCGAAGCGCCCTAAAAGCCTAGTATGCTTATACTCCATCATTATATAACATGGAATGAAATTTTTCAATCCCGAACAATATGAATCCCCTAAAGTCTAGTTAACTTGTGTCCATTATCCTTCCCTTTAAATCCATTTTACTAACTGAACATGTTCTAGGTTAAGATGAATAAGATTCAGACCTTCTTAATCTTCCTGGTGGTGGGGCTTGGGATTGTCTGCATAGCCCTTATCATAGCCCTGGTTCAGGCAGGGTTTTCATCTACTGCACAGGTAGGGTTTTCACAGCATAACTTTACACGCTTATAGCGCCTCCTTCCTATCTTCAAAATTATTTTTTCATTTCGCATTCTCTTCTTTTTTTACACAAGACTTGATATGTCCGTTTACTTTCTCAGACTCATAAATGTCACGATGCAAACTTTGTGCAAACTTTTTATAAATTGAAAGCAAATTGAACAATGGACTTGTGTACTATACAGAATTCAATGTAAATACAAAATAAAGAAAAATTTAAATTTTAAATCTACACTCTATTTTTGTTTGGAAGGGGGGGGGTTTATAAAAAGATTTTATTAACATTTTTACCATTCTTTAAAAGGATCAAATAAATACATAAAAAGTTTGAAGGGAGTAAAAAAAATTCCCCTTATTATCCCATGAGCTAGGAAATTTTGATTAAACGGGCCAGACTTAAAACGATTAGATTAAGTGATAAGGCCATTCTCCCCTTGGAAAACTTTATTCTATCTTTTGTCAAATTTCAGAATTTTCGACCACTACTAGATTTGTAGAACCACGAAAAGAGAAAGGACTCATCATATTTAATTGATTTGAATCAGTTTCATGCATTTAAAAGTTTTTGGGTCTGAAGAATGAAAGTTAAAGATTCTTCACACACTAATTCCTAAACCGCTGTCTTCGCTTAAAAAAAGTTTGAAATATGAAAGAGCAATTTTTTATGTATAATCTATTTTTAGAGATCCTCAGATGAATCAGATTATGAGACTACAACTGAACCTGAACCTGTGGGAGTAGAACCATGGGAGCGTAATGTTAGACTTCCAAAACATTTAATTCCTCTTCATTACGAGCTTTATCTACACCCTGATCTAGGTAAACTCTATATCTACACCCTGATCTAGGTAAACTCTATATCTACACCCTGATCTAGGTAAACTCTATATCTACACTCTGATCTAGGTAACCTCTATATCTACACCCTGATCTAGGTAAACTCTATATATACACCCTGATTTAGGTAAACTCTATATCTACACCCTGATTTAGGTAAACTCTATATCTACATCCTGATCTAGGTATACTCTATATCTACACCCTGATCTAGGTAAACTCTATATATACACCCTGATTTAGGTTAATATTAAGTGACCCTCCATTTAAAAAATAGGGTCATGTCAGATTCACAACAAAGGTATCCTTGAAACGTAGAATATATTTTCGGTTTTCTAACTTCAAAAGTACAGGCACACAACATGACTACAGTCAAGGAAATTGCAGAACAATGTCGTCAATTATAATTAAGCTTGAATAACGAGTAGTTTATTGTAAACTTTAATAAAATTATATTCTTTGCATGAAAATTTGGCTTATAATGTTGACTTAAATATATAAATAATATATTAATATAATTTTTGAGTTAGCAATTAACAATAAACAAATGTACTCTCCTAACTGTACAAATAACATATACTGCATGTACCTACAGTACGCGCCATCGGTTCGGTATTACTTACACACACTCTTTTGGTATACACACACATATACATGACGTTTCCGCCCCCCTGACTATAGCAGAGATCGACAAGTCACCTTTATAGAGAAACCATAGTTAAGAATAAGTTATAAAGTTAAAAAACATGAATTCTTCATTCATTCTTAAGTGTACAAAGCTTTTAAGGGAACCGTTGTAAATAGGTTGGCATTTTTAAAGAAAACTAAATGGAAATAAGAAATTAACACAATCTGTTGGACACAACAAATACGGATTAGTACTGTATGAAGTGTTGAAGAATACAAAAGTTCCAAGAACAGCATGCGCAACTCGAAATTAGTTAGAATCCTTACTTAACATTTCTGGGATTTTATAAACCTCTGAATTATGTTGCAGCAAACCAAGGATGCAATGTAATGCACATAAAACAGTTTATGAGGCTCACGTAAGCCAGGGAATGTTTAGTGCACACAAATTGAAAATATAAAAGTTTTTCATTTTAAATATTTTTAGTTGATATGTCGAGGTTACCCAAGGCATGCTGTTGTCTAAAGATAAAAATATTACATTTTAAAATAAATTAAAGTTGTACTTCATTGTATTTTTTCTTTTATTAATATATAGAGAAAAAATGCGTTCTGTTTAAAAAAAAGTCATATTCATAAAAAATTCAAAGATTGGAAATATTCAATTTCGTCTTTCTTAAGAATTAACATTGTAATAACTAATATCAAAATAATAAAGCTTGTTTAAATATTAAATTTCTACAAGCTAGATGATCGGTAAAGATAGATAATTGTACCTTGTACAAGGTGTCCCAAAAAACTGAGGAAATAATTTTCGTTCAATTTTTACAATCAAGGCGTCATTAGAAAGCTTTATTCAGTTATGTTTTCTTTCTAGTTCTCATACTTTTTGTTACAACCAATTCTTTGGTCGTAAGTTGAAATATTTTTAGCATATATTTTTGAATATTGGTTTTAACAATATTTTTACAAAATTGAATAAATCATGAGATGATAACAGTTGCTGGTTATTTGCAATCTCTGTATTTCCACAGTCTCAATTCTCTTGCTCTTGTTTGTGTTTAATCGATTTTACAGTTAATTTTGAAAAGAAAGCAAAGAATTTTTTTGTGGCATCCCTGCAAAACGCCGTTTGTAATTCTTACAAGCTCAGACCCTTTCATGACCTTGCTCTCTCAATCTTTTTCTGGAATCATTTTTCTTTCAAAACCATTATCATTACTAAAACATCATGTATTTTCCTATACAACGATACCTTGGACGACATTGTTCGCCTATTCAATTACCTAATTTCTTAAACCTATCATAAAAATGGATCAATAACAAATTCAGGCTTAAATATCATTTCTGAAGTAAAAATATTCTTATTTAAAGTGATGATTCTTTGAAAGATTTTTTTCTCGTAATTTCAGATTCATAAAAAATGTTTAATTTATGTGCCCAGAGCTGAAAACTTCAGAATGGTGGATATCAGGATTAAGGCTTAAACCACTCTTTTTCTTAATATCGAGATTAAATATTGCTTGATTAATGCATGACTTTAAACTTCAGATTAATTATTCGACGGGATATCTGGATATTTCATTCTAAAGTTTTCAGCTCAGGTGGGTTAGATAAAAAATTTGTTGAAAATCCGAGCTGTGGATTCTACCAACTGATTTCAAAAACAAAACTGAAAAAAAAAATATATTTTTGGTCTCGGCAAGGTTCTATTCGTGTTTTTTTAATTTTTTTCAGATTGTTCCAGCTCCAACAGTAACACCGATCTAACATTTTAGATAAAAAAGAAACCTTATACTGGAAGCTTATGATTTAAAAAAAAATTCGAAAATCTTTTTAAAAAATTTTATTTTACGAACGAAAAAAAATGAAAAATCTAAAATTTGAAAAATCCGGGAAATCGATTTTCGACTAATGCAACAAAAAAGTATGAGAACTAGAAGGAAAACAATTACTTCATAAAATAACTGAATATATGTAAAGCTTTTTAATGACACATTGATGTAAAAATGGAACTGCACAGTTATTTTTGCGACACCCTGTATTTATACAAGAAAATTCTCTTTTAAATACAGTACATGCTATTAAAACATAAACAAAAAAAATCTGAATACCACTGGGTGAGTCAAAAAAAAGTGTGTTTAGTGGCGCCTGGTTAAAAATTTTTACCTTTTTTTGTGCAACTCTCCTGTATGGTGATTTTTCAATATTTTTGGAAAATTTTAATTTTTTTGGCACTCCAGTTGGCCAGAAAAAAATCTGCGAACCAAAAATCAAAATCAAAACTTAAGAGAAGCAAAATATGTTTAATAAATTTTTTCTATCGAAATCTAAAATTTTATAAAGATTAAATCACAGATTCACAGAAAATTAAATTCGCAAAACTGTAATCAGAAAATTCACAATTTTCAGTCCTGTTCTCATTTTAAAAATTAAACCAGAACTGAAAATTGCGAATTTTCTTTTTACAATTCTGTGATTTAATCTTTATAAAATTTTAAATTTCGATAGAAATAATCTATTTATACATTTTTGCTCTTCTGAACTTTTGATTTTGAGAGAAAAAAAAGGTTTGCTGATTTTTTTGGACCATTGGAGTACCAAAAAATAAAAAATTTTCAAAAAATATTGATAAAGCACCATACAGAAGAGTTGCACGAAAAAAGGTACACTTTTGCAGCAAGCGCCGCTAATCACACTTTTTTTTTACTCACCCTGTACAGTCAAAACATTCGACGTATTTTAGCTTTCCTATGTAAGGCAACACCACAAAAAAATCATTTACAAAGACGATTTCTGAATCGTCGCTAAATTCATATGTTTATTGGGACCTCCCGTAACTTTTGTAAATTCCATAAACCAACAGTATTCACAGTTGTTGGAAAAGAATAAAAGAGTTGCAGTTAACAAAGTGATCTTTTTAGAAACTGGAGTATTCTCTGGTAGTGTTAGGACGGATATCAATGCTATGGACAAGGTGTCCTACATCCTCACACACATCAACGATTTGAGCATCACCAGCACCCGACTTCAGGATGAAGGAGGACAAGATATCAAGCTCTTATCCTCGTTCGAGTACAAGAAGAACCAGTTCTGGGTCGTGCTCCCAGAGACAGAGCTGGGACCTGGAAACTATTCCTTATACCTGGAGTTCAACGGTAGCCTGACCAAGGGTATAGTAGGGTTCTACCGGAGCTTGTATAAGAATGCTGCTGGCGAACAGGTTCCTATTGCAACCTCGAAGTTCCAACCAACCTACGCTAGGAAAGCGTTTCCTTGTTTTGACGAACCATCCTTTAAATCTACCTTTACAACCAGCCTGGTTCGACCTAGCTCTGGGTACATAGCTCTCTCTAACATGCCGGAGGAGAGCTCTGAACCTGATTCTCCGGGTCCTGGTTTGACTGTGGTAAAGTTTCAGAAATCTGTTCCAATGGTGACTTACCTTCGCCTGTTTTATTGTCTGTGACTTTCATTATCAGGTATAAATCATTGTTACTATTATTGTTATTTCTTCTATTTCAGGAGAAACTAACGGAGGTTCATAATACAAGGTTTCGTGTGTATGCAACCCCCCAACAACACGATACAGTAACCTACGCTCTAGATATAGGAGCAAATATTACAGATTACTTTACAAACTACTTTGGTCTACCCTACCCTCTACCTAAGCAGGATATGATCGCAATTCCGGACTTTGTCTCTGGAGCCATGGAACATTGGGGACTTATAACTTACAGGTATCATAGAACACTGGGACTTATTACTTACAGGTATCATAGAACACTGGGGACTTATTACATAAATGTATCTTGAACATTTGGGACTTGTTACTTACAGGTATCATGGAACTCTGGAGACATAAAACATACAAGTAGCTTGGAACACTTGGGACTTAAAACATTTAAGTATGATGGACCACTGGGGACTTAAAACAATTTAAGTAGCATGGAACACTGGGGACTTAAAACATACACGTAGCATGAAACACTGGGGACTTAAAACATTCAAGTAGCATGGAACACTGGGGACTTAAACATTCAAGTAGCATGGAACACTGGGGGCTTAAACATTCAAGTATCATAGAACACTGGGGACTTAAGCATTCAAGTAGCATGGAACACTGGGGACTTAAACATTCAAGTAGCATGGAACACTGGGGACTTAAACATTCAAGTAGCATGGAACACTGGGGACTTAAACATTCAAGTATCATGGAACACTGTGGACTTAAACATTCAAGTAGCATGGAACACTGGGGACTTAAACATTCAAGTAGCATGGAACACTGGGGGCTTAAACATTCAAGTATCATGGAACACTGGGGACTTAAACATTCAAGTATCATGGAACACTGGGGGCTTAAACATTCAAGTAGCATGGAACACTGGGGACTTAAACATTCAAGTAGCATGGAACAACGGGGACTTATTTCATGTAATTCAAATAGCCTAGCATCATTATTATTTCAAACTATGAATTCTGTTAAATCAAATAATCTAAGTTAGAAATATTAAAGGTTTACGCCATCATGTTGTTAAGATATTGGAACAAGAAACTGGAGTTTGGGGCAAAGACTTCATTTCTTTTTCATTAAAAAAAGAAATTTTCAATATTTTAGGATCATGTAGCAGCTTCAGTTCATTTAAATTAGGTTTTTCTTTATTAAATAATCATCTTTCTAATCCTAGAGAAACGAACCTGTTGTATGATCCTGCTGAATCCAGTACTGCCAACAAGCAAAGGGTTGCTGTTGTTGTGTCTCACGAGCTCGCTCATCAATGGTTCGGTAACCTTGTCACCCTGGAGTGGTGGGACGATCTTTGGTAGAATTTTTTTCAGAATTGGAAATTTATAAAGTTTTTCCTAAACTTGTAACCCACTGAAAAACAATGAAAGCTATGCATATTATTTTTTAAACCCTTTAAAGGACTTTAGACGTAATCTCAAATGGCCCTCCATTTAAAAGGCCATGCCCGATTAACAACGGTAGCCTTTAAATCTGTGTCTAATCAAGTATTTATGAGATATAGACTTAATATCTTTTTAAAGGGACCGTTCACTTAAATGGGTAATTTCAGGGTAAACTAGACAGCCTATTCGCTGTTGATTGGTAATAGTCTTACTTTTCAAAGACAACTGTGGCCGGAGAATAAGCCGATTTTTCGTTCAGAATTCGAGCGCAAAGGGACGGTCCCTCTCAATAGACACTAGTTGATGTTTTTATCCGTATGTTGTGAATCAAAATAAATTTCGATTATAAAATTAAACTGTAGTATCTCATCGTTAATTGTAAATGTCATTATTTTTTTTATTTTTTTGTTTTTTAACTTTCTATTTCTAAAATAACACTATTTTATTGCATTCAAAATTGTGTATTGCCTGTGTAAAAAGCTGAATTGAACGCGGCATGACAAATGAAAAGTTGTGCACATACGGGAACAAAATCTACAAAATCTACGAACCAAAATACGAGTAATGATTAATTGATTGTCGTAGAGACGTCGTCTTTGTAAACACATTTTACATGTTTTAATACGAAAAACGTAAATTTCTTGCTAACTCAAATATCAAAAGTTTTCATATTTTAGCACATAATAACGAACACATAATGACATTAAAATATAATAAATTTAAATGTTATTGGGCTGCTGTTACTGTAAAAAGCATCAAATAGTGTCTGTAGAGAGGGACCGTCTCTTTGCGCTCGAATTCTGAACGAAAAATCTGCTTTTACTCCGGCCACAGTTGTCTTTGAAAAGTAAGACTAATATTACCAATCAAGAGCGAATAGGCTGTTTAGTTTACCCTGAAATTACCCAAATAAGTGAACGGTCCCTTTAACTGTGGTTTATAAATTAAGTAACTTGCGTGTTTTTCTTTTTTGCCTAAATATATAAGGAAACTGTCAGAATTAAACATTTTTCAAGCAAGAAAACGATATCATCTACATTATTTATCAAGGGTCATCAAGGGCACTGTTGTGAATCGGAGTTTCCCCTCTTTAAACTGAAAAATGATTTGGAATTACAACGAGACAAAAGGATGGATCTTGTTTTGACTAAAAGCTAGACAAACTAAGTTCATTTAAATTAAAAGGTGACCTATAGACAATCCTTCTTCTTTTAGGATACAGCTTTAACTAGAAAACTGTGGACTAGGAAGACGAAATTGATGCAATAATGAAGTGTTTTTGATGTTGTTTAAAAAACAAATAGTTTTACTGATATCTTCTCAAATCACTTGTTAAGTGAATTGAGTTTTTTTACACTGCACAACTGCTGTGGCTCATGTTCATGAGACTATTTAAAATCATAATTAGATAGAAGTCGATTTCCTATTTCAGAGTTTTCTGGTTCTCACTGTACTCTAAAAACATGATAAACATCCAGGTTGAACGAAGGGTTTGCAAGTTATATGGAGTACAAGGGTGTAGCAAACTACCACGGAGATTGGGAGATTAAGGAACAATTTCTCTCCTCAGATCTACATAGAGTTCTAGATCTAGATGCAACTGTCAATTCTCATCCTATAGTTCAGGTTGGAACACTTTTCATTCAGTGGTAGGCGTTTATATCAATACAATGAAGACGACTTTTCTATTTAAAATTTCGTTTCTGACAAGCTTTTATCTAATTACAAGTTGTCAAGTTAGCTGTTAGTTCTCTTTGTTTCCATGCTGTTTGAAAGATTAGTAGGAATAAAACGTTGAAATTGAAAGTCTAAGATACGATACCACCAGAAAAATATTTTCCTTTGTTATTCCTTAAAATTAAAAACTAAATACCAATCCTTGGCGTAATATCTTATATAGCAGAAGCATTAAAATGGCAATTTTGAATTATTACTTATTATTTATTTATTATTTATCAGGAGGTTTCACACCCGGATCAGATTACGGAGATATTTGACGCTATCTCCTACAACAAGGGCGCCAGTGTGCTCAGGATGTTGGAGAACTTCATGGGAGAAACTGAGTTCCAGGCCGGGGTTCATAACTTCCTGGAGAAGTATCAATATGCCAATGCTGTAACCCAGGATCTCTGGATGGAACTGGAGAAGGTTTCTACAGATAAACTTGCCGTCTCTAGTATCATGGACTGCTGGACTAGACAGATGGGTTATCCTTTACTCCAGGTGATCAAGGTATCTCCGACCAGGTACAGGGTGTCTCAGACTAGATATCTCAAGGACCAATCAGCTGACCAGGGAACTAGCAGTCCCTACGGATACAAGTGGGATGTTCCTCTCACCTGGATAACTGAAACCAATCCTGAACCTGTTTTAAAGTTTCTCTACAGAAATGAGGATTTTATTGATATCGATTTGACAAACGGATCAACCTGGATCAAATTCAACGTTGGTCAGTTTGGTTTCTACCGTGTCAACTATCCCCTGGAGGATTGGGAGAACCTGGCTCAGGTATTAGTTTCCAACCCGACCTCCCTCTCCTCCGTAGATAGAGCATCCCTGCTCAATGATGCATTCTCCCTGGCAGAGTCAGGACATATACCCTATACAATACCACTCAGTATGACTAAATATATGTCACAGGAGACCAGTCTAGTTGCCTGGGAGACAGTGTTTGAGAAGATGGTAAACATGAAGAAGTTGTTGGTTTTTACTCCAACTTATCCTCTACTCCAGGAGTATATCAGAGATCTAGTGAACGTACACTACTCCAGGCTAGGCTGGGAGCAGACGGGAACACATGCAGAGAAGCTGAACAGAAACAATATTATCAACCTTGCCTGTGATAGTGGACTCAAGGATTGTAACGATCAAGCTGCTAAACTATTCCAAGCCTGGATTGCAGACCCAGAAATGTTTATTTCTCCTGATCTAAGAACTGCTGTATACAGGTTTGGGATGGCTGCAGCCGGAGATCCTGAAAACTGGGAAATTGTTTTCCAAAGATTTCTGGCAGAACAAAATGCCCAGGAGAAGAAGAAATTATTGTATGGTTTGGCTCAGGTTAAGGAACCCTGGATACTTCACAGATTTCTCCAGCTCGCCAAGAATGAGTCTAATGTAAGATCTCAGGATTTCTTCACTGTTCTGAGCTACGTGAGCGGTAACTCCGCTGGTAATCCTATAGTCTGGAGATATATGCAGGAGGAATGGGAGAACATGGTGGAAAGGTTCTCTTTAAACGACAGATACCTGGGAAATCTACCAAAATCCATCACCTATGATTTCTCCACCAGGTTCCAGCTTGATCAGGTAAAATCCTTCTTCAAGAAATATCCCGAGGCCGGAGCTGGAGCTAGATCCAGGAAACAAGCAGCGGAACATATTCAACTCAATATCAAATGGATCGAAGACCATAGTAGTGTGATTCATTCTTGGTTAAAGAACAGAACCAAAACATAGGAAGTAAACTCATAGTTTCAGATTACAAGAATTAAAGGGACTGTAAGCGTTACTTTAGGTGACCCTTTATGCAAAGATAGCAATACCCGATTTACAACGGTACTCTTGAAACCTTAATCTGATAATAAAAAATGTGGAAGATTATGTCGTTCTTCTGACGCTAAAAGTGTGCATATTTTTGAATTTCTTATAAGAGTAAGAAATATGTGATTCACTTTTGCAAAGAACCTGTTATTGAAAATAACAGCAATTAAAACATGATCAAAACAAGCTTTTAAGAGTACCGTTGTCAATCGGGTATTGCCATCTTTGCATGAAGGGTCACTTGAAATTACGCTCACAGTCCCTTTAACAGCAGGATTAAATCCTAAAAGAGCAACGAAGATTGGAAAAGAAAGACTGATGGACAGAAATTAAGGATTTATTTATTTAATTTTGAATAGTTCATCCGTTGTTAGGATCAACTATTCTTTAATTTTATACAAGGTTTCCAGAAAACATATTAGACTAAAATAGTGATTGAAATTGTTGAAAATCTCATTACTTTTGGGTAACCCTGTTCCTGTATTCCTTGTCTGCTTGATTTATCCCTCATTTTGAAACTTTTATTTTTCCAGGTTTTCATATTTTACTTCCTTCATGCACAACCACAATAGTCTTACCTTTCACTTTTAAGAAACTTCTATTTCCCAGGACCTTTTTTGTACTTTATGTCAACTTGAAAACATTGTTACTTCTCAAACTTGATCAAAATACGCTAAATTGTTTGTATAATTACTATATAACGTATTAAGTTTTTATAAATCAAATATATGTATGTATTTAAATTAATTTAGTTTCTTTAAGAATGCTGCAACAGTTTTGATTTAGTTTTTATGATTTATGAAAAGTAATTGGAAAAGTACTCATCATGAACAACTTTATGAATAACTTTAGTACTGCCAGGTCAAAAATGTCGTCTTCTTATTGTGTTTTTATAATTACCGAAGATATGAATGAATTACCAATTTCGGTTTTATTAATATCTATGAAAAAATCTTAACATCTCAGGTATTTTTGAAAGCAAAAAAGTAGCAGACCACATTTTGGAAATAGCAGGACTAGGGTCGTCTAGTGATTATTGTTCGATGGATAATATTTCTAAAATTAGGTTGCCATATTAATGCCACAAACTATTTCAAAGGTCACAAAGACGATTTTTAAATCTTCTATCGATTGTCAGACCGGATATTCCGCTTTATTAGGATTATCGCTGTATCAACCTAACTTTAATAAAAACTTAAGTTAGGAAAAGACGACATTTCTTATTATTATTTAAAATATTTTCACAACAAATATTGCATTTGTGTTCCAAGGTTGAATATTAGTACAAGGGTAAATATCCAGCTTAACCTTAAACACGACATTTAGAAGATCTTATCATTTAACAAAATTCAGACAAAAAACTTCAAATTGTCCCAACCTTGATAATTCTTAGGAAAATGCTACATTAATTGTTAGTAAAAAATTTGAATTGAACATTATTTTATCAAGGCCCCCAAAAAAACTTAATTTTAAGTCTAGCATTAATATATATTTATAATTAAGTTTATGCACATGCAATTTTTCTGATTGTAAAATAATTAACATTAAGTATATATATGAATATAAGCTGAATTTGGTCCACATTATGTTGTTGCTTCTAACTTAAACCTCTATTTTATCTTCCATTTAAACACTGCTCCCTCCTCTCCTCCTACTCCGACCACATAGGATTCATCATAGAAGAACCGAATAGAATAGATCGGACCACTCACTACCTTCTCTTCGTAAAACTCTGCCTTAGGGCTAAGGATCGGATACCGGAGAAGTCGAACAAATCCGTCCGTATCCCCGGATACGGTTAAACTCCGGGAAGGATTAACATTGACAGAGCTAAGGGTTACATCACTCTCATACTTGAAATTATTCCAGAGCCCACTAACCGCCCAGCCTACAGGACAGGTTTGATCTACCCAGATCATATCTCGGAGAGAACTTCCAGTTTTCTCCATTTTGTTGGTTAGAGTACTCCAGAAGTTTAAGTTAAAGTCTGTTGTACAGGTTTGCATATACTCGCTATCCTCATCCCAGTCTAGATAATTCAAGGACTGCCCTCCGGAGAGTTTACACTGCTTTTTATAACTAAACCCGTCCCTTGAAGATTTATAAATATAAATAGAACCGTTGCTAGAAGCTGCAGCCACCAAATCTCCATCCAAACAGAACTTTACTGCAGTTATAGGTGAACCACATAGTCTTGTTGTGCTTACTAGATCTCCACTCTCCGTCTTTAATACCAGCATATTCCCGTCTGCTGTTCCTACAACGACTACAGTACCTTGAGGATGATAACATACACTCAGACACTCTGTCTGAACCTGAACCTTCCACAGGAGTTTAGATCTTCTCCAGTTTGCAATCGTCTTGTCGGAGCCGACAGAGACAAAGGATATATCGGAGGGATGGGTTGCTATTCCTCGCAGTTTAGAAGTGTGTCCAAACAATATCATGTTAAACTTCCTCTGAAGAGATCCCTCCAGGATGAGGTTGTTGACTGTTCCAACATAGATATTACCATCCGACCTTCCAGGCCATTGCGGAGCAATCGTCCTTGGTCCACCCACTGAACTATTCAACTCCAGTTCAGTTATCTTCTCAAAATCTGCATTTGTGTCCCAAGCTCTGATAAACCTGTCCTTCTCTCCTCCAGTCAACATAGTTCCCTCTGCCATAATAAAAATGCATGATATTGCTTTCTCATGAGCTGGGAACTTGAAACTTTGATAATATTCTCCCTCATTAGTTACACTGTAGGAGCTGATATATCCTTCACTATCTCCAACCACTAGATCTCCGCTCTCTAGGAACTCAATAGTGGTGAAACTAACTTGTAAAGAATCTTTATCCGCCACATCAACTCTCTCAAAGAATGAATCTTTTCTCCGACCCCAGAAACAAAGATGACCCACTCCGTGAGTTATGATCAGATTGTTATCAAAGGGATGGAATGCCAATCCGTAGATTTTTGTTGTGTTTGTCACAACTCTAGCAATTAACTCATCCTTGGGCCAATCCCAGATAGATAGGATACGATCATTAGATTCATCTACTGCTGAAACAAACTGTCCTTTGTTAAGGGTAGAGAAGGCTACACCACTGATACCCAAACCACACTCTCCTATCCCGAGCAGAGCCAGAGTTTCCAGCGTGATAAGATCCCAAACCCTGATATGCGCTTCTGTATCTGGAACTACGCCTGCCTTCTGTCCAGATACCATGATATCCTGGAGAGGATGAAGATCAGCACACTGAACGTCCTCTGTATGTCCTCTGTAATGTTTCTGTTTTTCATCCATCCGATTGTAAATGATAAAAACAGCTCCGATATAGTAGACTAGATCTCCTTTCTCTAGGACCCAGAGGTTCCTGGCCTGATCTGCTCCTCGGTATCCGTAGACCCACTCCAGAGCAAGCTGATGATCGGGAGGAGAATTATCCTCTGGAGGAAGCTGGAGCGGAGCTTGATAAACCTTTCTAGAGCCTTTAATCAATATTTTAAAGTTTCCTGCTGCATCCATATCTCTAGTCACTGACAATGATCTTGATCTTGGTGTTCTTTTGTTTGATGTTTGACTTCTACTTCTTGATAAACTTCCACTTCTTGGCAATCTGTAAATTAACTTGTTGATCTTAGCTGGACCTGAAGTTATAACGAATTCTTCATCATCCATGAACTCATGACGAAAATGAGAAAAACTTTTGACTTCTCTTCCTGACAGAGAATACATTCTGTCTGCTCCTTTAACCTTTAATACTTGTCCTAGATCGCTTACCACCTCCTCGAAGGGTTGAGAGGTTCTCAGATTAAGTAGAACTCGCTCTGACACTGTAGTATCATCATTGTTAATAATCTTGATTACTCTGCCATCTCCAGAACCTGGTTTACTATCATTAGATGAAGATTTAGAGCTTCCTGAGCTTTTCCTTGTTACTATTCTAACATGTTTGGTCCTGCTTCCTTCCATCCAGAACGCTTCTCCGACTCTACCATAATTAGCAGCAATAAATCTTCTCGAGTTTGAGGCTACGTAGGACTGTCCATCTTCCAGATCTTCCAAGTTAAGAATTTTGTTACCATCCGTGTCAAACAAATATGCTACAGAGGTTGTAAAATCAATCCTTGGGGATATTTTTGCCAGAAGGGACTCCAGGGTTAAGAAATCTTTGGCTGGTTTATATCTCAATTCAAATCCTTCAAACCATTGATCTCCGTTCTTGTATATCGTTATCTTCATCGCTCGATGGTTTTGGAGTTCCTCCTTGTACCTTGAGGTTATATTAGAAATCATACTGAGTCTTGATTCTTGTCTACTCAGTTTCTTGTTTAGTTGAAGAGTGTTACTGCTTGTAATATCATCATAGGATAAACCTGCAGACTCATTTAGAGCATTCCTACTCGGAGCTCTGGATGGTAGTTTGGAGTTCCTACTCACAGATCTCTCATAGAGCGGTCCACTATCATTATAATCATATCCAACCTCCTGTCTACTCGGTATCCTAGAGTTTCCGAACCCCCAAGACGGTCTATCCGGAGACCCATCCCGGGATGGTTTTTTCATTGTCATCTCAGAATTATTTCCGACCTTGATATCCTCCTGGTTTCTTCTCCAACCCTGATCACTTGAACCCGCAGAAATCTGAGTAAATGTTTGCCTTCGGTGCAGCTTTCCTTTATTGAGTTCTTTCTTTTCACCCTTACTCTCCTGTCGACTCAAATTATGTTTAGAGTTCTGGGTTTGATCTACTACTCTACTTGCTCCGCTAGAGTTTATTCTCCGACTCTGCTCCTTTATATATACTTGAGTTGGATCTGTTAACGTATCTTCTTGTTTATATATTCTCTCTAACGATCTTGTTCTATGGTTCTGATCTAAGGCTGATCTCTCTCTTGACAATGATCTTTGTCTTTCTTCTGTTCGCGGATTTTCTTTAGTTCTTGATCTTTGATCTTGATTATGTTTATTGTGTGACCTTGGTCTTGTTATATTTTGTTCTTTTGTCGATACCTGACTCGATTCCGGACTGGATTTTCTACTGCCTAATGATTCACGGCTATTTCTAGAAGCTGCACCAGATTTCGGTCTGGAGTTTATACTAGAAGTGTCCGTATCACTAGTTCTCTCTTCATACTGGAGAGGACGTTTGTACCTTGGTGAATAATCAACATATTCCTGGTTGGATGAGCTAAACCTATCTAGCTCCGAGGGTGGAGACGGAGTACTGAAGTCTAGTTCTACATGGGATTGAGCTTCTGCGTCTGTCACAGTAACCTGAGATAAAGAAGAATTAATTGGGTTTATCCTGTTTGCAAGATTTACTAGATCCTGAGCTTCTGCATAGCTCGGAGAAGGCGTACAGGGAGTACAGGACGGAGAGAAATTAGGGTTTGATGAGATTAAAACTCTAGGTGTTACAATAACAACTCTCTCATGAACTACAAGCGCAGCCTCTTTATAAGATGAACCCGGCGGAAAGTTTCCTAATCCTCCCCTCGGGACGGATCCTTGCTCCGGGTTAGTTTGAGCATTGTTAAAAGGTCTATTATTTGAGAAAGTTTTTCGTCCAATATCATTAGTATTTGAAGGGTAAGCTCCAAAATTTTCATTTTTTCCTTGATTAATAAATCCTGGATGAAAACTATCCAGAGACGCATTGTAATTAACAAAAGCAGGAGTAAAATCTGGTTCAGATCTCAGAGCTAGGAAAGAATTACTCCGGGATAAAGCACTACAACCCCTCGGGTCCTTGCTGAACGGGGTTCGTCTTGGTAAAGGTCCCGCACCTTCAGGATAATCCGTCCTGTCTCCGGGTTCCATGTGGGGAATTACTCCGGGATAAAGCACTACAACCCCTCGGGTCCTTGCTGAACGGGGTTCGTCTTGGTAAAGGTCCCGCACCTTCAGGATAATCCGTCCTGTCTCCGGGTTCCATGTGGGGAAACTCCGGGTATACTAAGGTCTTATACGATCAGATATAGTAAACACTGGAGCAGGTGTTTTTGCTAAATATATTCAACCCCAAAATATTTTCCTAATTTATGCAAGGAGGCTGATCGAGGGGGGGTGGGTATCTAAACGCTTAAATTGTTACCATTTCAAAAGACTTTTTTTATTAAGTTCTTCAATTATTTTTCGAGTTGGTTTGACTTAGTGATTGACTATGCATTGATGCATTTTTATTGATAGTTTAATATAAAAAAATTTAACTTAAATCCATTTTATAAAAGAATTATTGGCTTTGGTTTTGACGTCATGCTGATAATTGTGAACAAAACTAAATATAACGCTTAGTTTGTTTGAATAATTAAAAGATATTTTCAGGCTATAGCAATTGAAAACTGAACCGATTAAACTCCTTTCTAACTATATTGAGCTTATGGTTAATATAAATCTAATTTTTATAAATAATTCATCAGGACCTAGTGGGCATACATTCGACATTTAATTTTTAGATTTTTGGCATAAAGTGTTTAAAAAAGTATTAATAATTAAACACTGAAATACATGAATACTTGAATACTTGAATACTTGAATACATGAATACTTGAATACTTGAATACTTGAATACTTGAATACTTGAATACATGAATACTTGAAACTTGAATACTTGAATACTTGATTACTTGAATACTAGAATTTTTGAATACTTGAATACTAGAATATTTGAATACTTGAAAACTTGAATACTTGAATACTTGAATACTTGAATACTTAAAAACTTGAACACTTGAATTCTTGAATACTAGAATACTAGATTACTAGAATACTAGTATATTTGAATACTTGAATATTTAAATACTTGAATGCTTGAATACTTAAATATTTGAATATTTGAATACTGGAATACTGGAATGCTTGAATACTGGAATACTAGAGTACTTGAATGCTAGAATATTTGAATACTTGAATACTTGAATACTTGAATACTTGAATACTTGAATACTTGAATACTAGAATACTTAAATACTTGAATATTTGAATATTTGAATACTGGAATGCTTGAATACTGGAATATTTGAATACTGGAATACTTGAATACTTGAATATTTGAATACTTGAATACTAGGATACTTGAATGCTTGAATACTTGAATATTTGAATATTTGAATACTGGAATACTGGAATGCTTGAATACTGGAATATTTGAATACTGGAATACTTGAATAATTGAATATTTGAACACTAGAATACTAGAATACTTGAACACTCAAATACCTGAATATATGAATACCAGAATACTTGAATACTTGAATACTTGAATATTGAATACCTGAATACTGGAATACTTGAATATTTGAATACTTGATTACTTGAATACTAGAATATTTGAATACTTGAATACTAGAATATTTGAATACTGGAATACTGGAATGCTTGAATACTGGAATACTAGAGTACTTGAATACCTGAATACTGGAATACTTGAATATTTGAATACTTGATTACTTAAATACTAGAATATTTGAATACTTGAATGCTAGAATATTTGAATACTTGAAAACTTGAATACTTGAATACTTGAATACTTGAATACTTGAATTCTTGAATACTAGAATACTAGATTACTAGAATACTAGTATATTTGAATACTTGAATATTTGAATACTTGAATACTTGAATATTTGAATATTTGAATACTGGAATACTGGAATGCTTGAATACTGGAATACTAGAGTACTTGAATACTTGAATACTTAAATACTTGAATACTTGAATTCTTGAATACTAGAATACTTGAATACTAGAATATTTGAATACTAGAATACTAGAATACTAGGATACTAGAATACTAGAATACTAGAATACTTGAATACTAGATTACTAGAATACTAGAATACTTGAATACTTAAATATTTGAATACTTGAATACTTGAATACTTGAATACTTGAATACTTAATTACTTGAATATTTGAATATTTGAATACTGGAATACTGGAATGCTTGAATACTGGAATATTTGAATACTGGAATACTTGAATACTTGAATATTTGAATACTTGAATATTTGAATACTTGAATGCTAGAATACTTGAATGCTTGAATACTTAAATATTTGAATATTTGAATACTGGAATTCTGGAATGCTTGAATACTGGAATATTTGAATACTGGAATACTGGAATATTTGAATACTGGAATACTTGAATACTTCAATATTTGAATACTAGAATACTTGAACACTCAAATACCTGAATATTTGAATACCAGAATACTTGAATACTTGAATACTTGAATACCTGAATACTGGAATACTTGAATATTTGAATACTTGAATACTAGAATACTTGAATATTTGAATACTTGAATACTAGAATACTAGAATTCTTGAATACTTGAATACTTGAATACTAGAATACTTGAATACTTGAATACTTGAATACCTGAATACCTGAATACTGAATACTTAAATGCTTGAATACTTGAATACTTGAATACTTGAATACTAGAATAATTGAATACTTAAATACTTAAATACTTGAATACTTGAATACTTTAATACATGAATACTTGAATACTTAAATGCTTGAATACTTGAATACTAAAATTATAATTAAAAATACTAATTACTTTGTTTATTTGTCCTTGAACTAAATTCAAATGTAACTTTAAATATAAAAAAACCTAAAATCATTAAAATCTTGAGTTTCACCTTGAAGCTTAATTGGTTTAAACTCCAGACTAATTTTATACAGAAATATAATTCAAAATTGTTTATTTGCTAGTTAAGGTCATATCACATTTTAAGGTTTTTAATTATAAAATTTAATTGCTTTAATATTTCATTTAAGTTAAAGTCTTGCTACTAATAAAACGGCAACTATTCTTGTTTTAAAATGTCAATGTTTGATAAATAAATTAAACAGAAATAATACTAAGGACAATTTACAATAATCTTTATTTATAAGGTGTAATTTCTGTTTGTCTGTTTATTTGTTTGTCCGATCATAATTTGGGAATTCCTGGACCGATTTGCCTCAAATTTTTATTGGGGAACTCGGGAGACCCACGGGAATGTTCTTATCTTGGTGTTGAGTGAGTCGACTTAAATAGCGAAAATTCAGATTTCCGGTAAAATTGTTCAAGTGCGGGTAAATAGCGGGAGTAACTTATAGTGACCTGGGCAACGCTGGTTTCCCAAGCTAGTTAATAAATAAAATCATTAATTATAATTGTTATTTGTTCAAAGTTGTTGTAAACGTAAGTGTATATTAAGTATGTTTTTAAGTAGACAAAGGAATTGAGTCTTTGTCACAAACTCTGATTTTCTAATACCTATATCTTAACAATCCAATTTCGTAGACGTTAGATATTTCAAACTATGAATTCTGTTAGATCAAATAGCCTAAGTTTGAAATATCAAGGGTTTCCACCATTAGGTTACCAAGATATAAGGATTAGAAAATTTGAGTTTGTGGCAAAAACTCAATTTCTTAAATATGTATTAATACAAAAATACAAAAGTTTGTTTTTTCAATTTCTGTTTTATTACTAATATAATTCCCAATTAAAGAATTTTTAAATATTTACCAAAAAACGAAATTTTCTGCAAAAATATTTGTGGCTTATAAAAATGTGCCTAAAGAAAACCACTGATTTAAGATGAGAAAAAAATCCCAAATCCTAAATAAACCTTGAAGGCTTCCTCAAAAAAAAAATCTAAAGTAGCAGAAACACGTTATTTGTCAGGAAAATCCTTGATAATTTTGGTGTCTCGAATATATTTGTAAATATTGATTATTTATTAATCTAGTGCATGGGTTTCCCTCACCTTGCACTACAGGGTTAATAATTTATCATATCTGACCAATATTGCAATATAAACTAAGCAAAAAGAAATTGCTAATAGGGTCTTTGCCACAAACCTAAATTTTCTAATCCCCGTAACTTAACAACCGGATCGTGTAAACCTTTGATATTTCAAGCTAAGATTATTTGTAACTAGGTTGTCAGTGCACTTCGCGCCCATCTTGTATTTATACTTTTGATTGTGGCTGTGATCAATCGAAGTAAATACTGAAAAAAATGTATTAATGAAATTTTCTTAAAGTTAACTTTGACTTAAATCATTATGCCGAGACTACTTTCGAGTGTTTCCAACAATTTTGGTAGAATCAAAATAAATATCTTCCCACTACTTGTCTCTGTATAGTTTTCTAATTAATATATCTTTGCAACCTAGTGGTGCAAACCTTTGATACATTTAAAATTTTATATCTTAGATAAAACAGAATTTATTGTTCAAAATATCGAAGGTCTACGATATTATGTTGCAAAGATAAAAGGAGAAGACAATTAGAGTTCTAGGCTTACTCGGATAGAAATATTATAAAGTTAAATTCGCCCGAAATTGCGGTTACGATGCGAACGGAATGGTTGCTTGTTTTTCAAAAAGAGATTTCTTTATTTCTTGATTTTGTTTGAAAACCAATATGGTTCATGAAATTTGATGTTTCAATGTTTTTGATTTGAATTATTTAAAAGTACTTACAACAAAAAAGAAAGCTTTTATTAACCAAAATATAATTTTAACCAAAAACCATGATTTAAATTATATTTTCATATTTATAATGAACATTAAGTCTTGCATGTAGCTACACTAATTCACCTTTTAATTAACATTTTTTAAGTGTTTTGTTTCAATGTAAATAAACTTGAGAATAAGAGGACGGCATTTAACTCGTTTTTCATTTTTAAAGAATTTTTCTTTGAAATTCTTAAACAAAGTTTTTGTTTTCTCCAAACTTTTCAAAATATGGTCTGCCAACCCCCTTATATTAAAAATGTATTTAAAAAAAACTTTCTTAATTCTAAAAGATTTATTGTGATTCCTTATATTTAAAAATCATCTTTTCTTACATTGTTTAACTAATTGGATATTTATTTTGGTTTAAAACACTGAAAGTCGTACATTAACTTTTTTTTAGAACAAACGTGTATTATTTACAACTAGCTGAAAGCCCGGCGTTGCCCGTGGGAAAAAAATTTGAATTTGGATAAAAAATCAGTCCATTCGGTCCAGTCTTGTTTTATTATATAGATATAGGTACATTATATAAATACTTTCTCATTTATAGTTATATTCTATAATATTAAAAACTATCGGAATAAATAAGCTTTTTTAAAAATAATTATATTTTTTAATCATATTATCGATATTTTAGTAAAAGTCTTAAAATACTTTAAGACGACGGTTTAAAACAGGAAAAAACGCACTTTTATGAAACTCATACATTACAAAAATTAAGCCCATTTATTTATTAATAAAATTAATAAATAAATAATAATGAATCTCAAACAACAACAAAAAAGATCTTATTAATGAACAATGCTTTGTATTGAGTTTAATGAACGAAATTTCTTTCATTATTCTAGTTTAATAAATTATTGTCTTCCTTTATACATTGGACAATCGTATTAAACATTCACGTAACTTAACCAGAGTGTCCAAAGAATGGGAATTAATCAGGGGCTAAAAAATCCAAACGTCTACGATTTTTTACATTCAGAGAATATCAAAGTTTGTGACAAAACTAAATTGTTTCACGTAAAATGTGAACTCGGATAGTTGTAAAGCCAACCAAAGAATTAGTAATCATTCCTATGAAAGTTTTTAATCTAGCTTTTGTAAGGAAGGCTTTAAAATGTAACAAAATAACAAAATATTCCAAATTATAGTTCCTTAAATACAAGTTTAAGAATTAAATAGAGCAAATGAATTGAGTCTTTCCCACAAACTCTGATTTTCTGATGCCTATATCTTTGTCGTATAGAACTTACTTATTTCAAACTATTAATTCATTTAAATAGAATAGGAGAAATAGTGAGGTTTAGTGGATGATGATATCATTGTTTCAATTAAATCCCTCTAAGCCTAAATCTGTCAACTTCCCTTACAACTCTACAGTCTCTCATCAAACCCAGTGTTAAATGAAAACGAAGAACGAAAGATATTTGAAAAATTAAACGTTTTAAAGTATTTATATAATTTGGATAGCACAATAGCGTAATGAAAAGGGTTCAGAAGTTCAGAATAAATTAAATGTAATAAGACTAAATTCTCATTGATCTGTTCATACAATATACAGGGTTACCCGAAAAGGATGATACATCAGAGACGTAATTTAAAGGGAGTGTTCGCGAAAAATGAAAGGGGGTACAGGCTTAATGCGATAAAAAAGCGCTTTTAATCGCTACTAATCTTACTTCTATCTGTTGCATCTTTAAGGAGAAAATTGTTAAAGACGTCTTATACCGAATAACTTTGCGGCCATACAAATTGAGAAAATTGCAACATACTACTTAGACCGTAAAAAATCAAATTAATTTCAAACAAATCATTCTGATATTACAACCTATAGTCATCGATTATCTTTCGCCACATTTGTATATAGTTTATATTTTAAAATATTTTATTTTTTTTAGAAAACGTTTTCAACGGATTTCGAAAATTGTGAGTGGTGTGCGGCATTCTGAGATAGTTGCGCAAGCGAAAAGAGAAACAAACAAATTAATTAAAAAATATTATAAAATATAAACTATAAACAAATGTGGCGAAAGATAATCGACTATAGGTTGTAATATCTGAATGATTGTTTGAAATTAAATTGATTTTTTACGGTCTAAGTTGTATGTTGCAATTTTCTCATTTTGTATGGCCGCTAAGTTATTCGGTATGAGACGTCTTTAACAATTTTCTCCTTATAGACGCAACAGATAGAAGTAAGATTAGTAGCGATCAAAAGCGCTTTTTTATCGCACAAAGCCTATACCCCTTTCTTTTTTCGCGAACACTCCCTTTAACCTGTCTCTTTTCTTACATCAATGGTTCCTATCAACTGTAAATTTGTTGCATACGTTGACAAATATTATTATAGAACCTATTCAACATGACATTAGCTTCATTGTCGTACACAGTTTTAGGTCGTCATTATAGTCTCATCCTTTGGGTTGTATATCACTGCAAACTAGACAAGAGGAAGAGGTCAAATTTATGCAACATTACTAGGAGGACTTTGTAACCTCGTATCTACTCTAGTTTTGATTTTACAAGAATGAGAAACGTAAATTTATCTGGTTAAATGATCAAAATTCAAAACATTTCTGTATAAAGATAAAAAATCGCGCATTAAGATAAATTGATGCAACAAACAATTCGTTAAAAAGGAACTTGATGCATCCAACAAAAACTTGTGACGTAAACTACAGGTAAACGTAAACTCCAGGTAAATGTAAACCGCAGGTAACCAGAAAAAAATTAAAATGATTTTCGTCTTCTGTATTCCTTTTGATCATGTCATTAAAATTTTGCAATTTTCAACTGATTTTTTTTTACTTTCAGAGATATATTAGCTATCAAAATGTCACATTTTAAAGTCCTTAGCGAACTTTGATAGTCAAAAGAAATAACGAAGAGGACATTCATCCCGGCGTACTATCAAATTTGTTGCTAATTTTATTCTGATGTTTATTTATTATATAAAATAAAGAGTATATTACCCTGATCCTAGTATTGTTGTATCCGGAGCTAGACGGAGCAGACCGAACCTTACTCCGGTATCCTGACGAATGAGCAGACCCGGCCGAACCGTCTCCACGGTTACCTTTCCCCGTCTTTCCCTTCATTCAAGGATTAAGCTTTAAACACATTTTATTCGTAACTTTTAATTTCAACATTTTCTAATCTAAAAGATTATAATTGAATATTTTGTTAGTTTGGAGGTTAATGAGCTAGTAAAATTACATGAAAGCTTCGTTATAAAACTTTTAATTAAAGCAGAAAAATAATTTGATCATATTCTGAATCATGAAACCCTACATTCTCATGTCACATAGATTTAGCCAGCCTACATTTGTTGCATAAACCCACTGGGTCAGCTACATACTTGGTATACTAGACAGGCTTGTACGAGTAAATGTGATTGCAGTACGATTACACTAGACCATGTACTCCTTGTACTGGTTAGGATCATGCACGATTGGACTCTTGATGTAATGTCAGACCAAACCTAAATACCTTTCGACCTGAAAGGAATTGAGTCTTTGCCACAAACTCTGATTTTCTAATCGCTATATCTTAACAACCCAATGTCGTAAACCTTAGATATTTCAAACTATGGATTTGGTTAGATCAAATGATCTCAGTTTGAAATATCAAAGATTTACATCTTCAGGTTGCAAAATTATTGGCCTTAGAAAATTTGAGTTTGTGGCAAAGACTCAATTCCTTTGTCGGATTTAAAGGGAGTGATCGACTAGACATAGTATGATGGTAGTTGAGTTGAGAGTGCAGAATTATTTAGCACATTTTTAGGATTTATTTAATACAATAAATAAGTTTTTACTGTGTAAAATTGCTGAGTAAGAGTGCAAAATAGACCTTTAAAATCTTCCCTGATTGTCTATTTTGAAGAATACATTCAAGAATAATTTTTTTTAGTAATGAAGATGAGAAATGTAACAAAAATATACAGTAAACTATTTTGTTTATTTGGTTTCATTTTAAAAATATAAAACTTTTTTTTAGTTTTTTAAAGGTCTTCTTTGTTGTAGAAGTTTGGAAACATATAAAAATAATTGAAAACATATAAAATTACGAATTTTTATTTGACGTGTACAATCTTATCTTGGTACCCTGCAGGTGTAAACTTTTTTGGTCAAATAATTTATCATTTCATGTTTGAGACAATATTTAAGACAGAGTTTCAAATTCAACCTTTAGATAGTTATATTTAAAGAGCTTTAGGTCGTCATTAAAGGAAGTGTTCGCGAAAAATGAAAGCCTATACCCCCTTTGATTTTTCGTGAACGCTGGCTCCCTTTAATGTTTCATCTATTGTAGGTAATACTGTAACTTATTATGACCTAACTTTAAACTTACTGTAAATATATTATAGCCCAATATACAGTGAAAACCTTAATAACGAATACATCGGAAGAATTTATCAAATGTCGTCTTAACAATTTTTCAATGAGTTTTATACTATATTACGCAATTATTTCAGTATTTGCGAAAATAAATAAATAGCCATGAATATGCGGGAACAGTTTTAAAGAGTCTGCTATATTTTTTTTATCCTCCTTTGACTATTTTAAAACAATGTTAAAACACATGTTTAGATGTCTATTGATGTCTTTTTCTTTAAAAAACTTACTAAAAGACATCAACGTCTTGAATTTCTCGAATAAATATATTCAGTGTAAAATGTTACAGGAAGAAGACATTCTCATTATAATAATAGTTCCATTTCTGTTACTTTCAGGACTTTTAAATAGAATACTTTATCTTAACTCTAAATATTCATTCTTAAATTTGAATTTTACCAAAACTAAATCTTTGACGTTCATAAAAAGATTGAAAACGATTGCAAGGTCGTCATTAATTCTTAGGCTTTATCGGACGTTTTTATAGCTATTTAATTCCAACAATTGTGCACACCCTTTCAAAAAACAATTCAATAAATTGCATCGTTTACAAATGAATGTAACGTGTATACCTAGATAAAACGGAAAAAAGAGAGCATATTGAAGACGACATTTTATATAATACATTTTTACCAAATACTGGACAAAAGAATCATTTATTAGCATACAAATAAACTGATAATTATACAAACCTTTATTAGTTTTATTTGATTGTAAGGCATTGCGTCTTTGCCGCAAAATCTAATTTTCGAATCCCTATATCTTTGCAAGCTGTTATACAGTGAAACCCTTAATAACGAATACATCGAAAGAATTCATCAAATGTCGTATTCTTCACTTTCTGGTAATGGAATCTTGCGGATATTTAGTTTTTAATTAAATGATTATACGGAACTCTTTAAAACTGTTCCCGCATATTATGGCTATTTATTTATTTTCGCAACTACTGAAATTTACATAATATAGTATAAAACTCATTGAAAAATTGTCAAGACGACATTTGATAAATTCTTCCGATGTATTCGTTAATACGGGTTTCACTGTTTGATATTTCAAGATTCGATTATTTGATCTAACAGAATTAATTGTTTGAAATATCATAAGGTCTATCACATCGGGTCAGACAGAAATAGAGAGTAGAAAATCAAAGTTTGTGACAAAGACTTATATTGTAAAACCAATTAACTAAGATTCCCTTTAAACCTATAGTTTAGTTTGCGCAGACATCCTTGTTTTTCTATTTGAATATTGATCATTTTAAATTGGAGGTTTCCTTCCCGTTACTCTAATAATGTTTAAAGGGTATCTCTGTGAATCGGATATTTCACCCTTTATATGGAGGGTCACTTGAAACTACGTCGACAGTCCTTTTGAAACTGAAGAAACCAAAGAAACTAAAGAAACTAAATAAACTAAAGAAACTAAAGAAACTGAAGAAACTAAAGAATCTAAGAAACTAAAGAAACAGAGGAAACTAAAGAAACTAAAGAAACTGAAGAAACTAAAGAGAATAAATAAAATAAATAAAGAAAAAATAAAGAAAAAAAAAATTTAAAAAATAATTAAATTTTGGTTGAAATCGACCTATTCAGCGCTAATAAGGTTCTTATTTCTGCGTACATTTCTTGTCAAAATAGATTTCTAGATTTTCATGACAGATTCTCTCACTCTTGTCATTTTCTCATCTAGAAATATTATTTTTGCATTCGATGCTACCAGTTACGGAAAAAATATTCTTTTTGTAATTGTTTTTGTGGAAACCTTTTTATAGACTTTAGACATCGCATTTTCTTTGTTATTTAAGTAAACATATATCTGTTAATTATCCTTTGTTTAGAATCTTTATAACTATCATTATTATTGCATAAAAGGTAGCTTATGTCTAGTTCGGTTTATTATTAACAAATTTAATGGATAACTTCCTTTTTTTAGTGTTATGAATCTAAACTTTGAATTTTAAACCATAAACGACCCCTAGCCCTAAAAAATTTAGTTTGGCCTATTTGGTTTGGCCGTTTCGATATTTATCGGATATACAAAGTTACAACCCAACTGAAAAGAGGAAGTAATGTAAATGTATGCTAACTTAAATATCCAGCTTTGTCTTGAGTTTTCCATATAAAAATCTACTCACTCAACTCAGAATTAGAATTTATGGTAGATCAAAAAGTATAAGTTTGAAATACCATAGGTTTTTAGCATCAAGAGTTGCAAAGATATAGAAATAAGCAAATTTGAGTTTTTGGCAAAGAATCAATTCCTTTGAGGCAAATCAGTTCAGGTGTTCATGCGTAATGCACATACGTCCAAACTAACAAAAAAGCAGAAATTGATACTTTGAAAATATAGATATTAGATAAAAGGTTCCATGATGAGACTTCAGAGACGACAGTACACAAACGATTAAATATACCATTAAACGACTTAATTTTCGACACAACCCAATTCTAAAACTTAGATCGCAAGATCTAAAGATCTTAAGGTCGCTATTAAATTCTCATTCTTTGTGGGTAACCCTGTATTTATCACATAAACGCGTATTATATAAGATAAAAAAATATGCTGTTGTATACTCTTCTTACAAATAAAATATATTCCTAAAAATTGTAATTTTTTGTCGCAAAAACATACTTTCCAATTCTGATTTAAATCCTAGTAGATTAGGAAGGGAAAGTTAAAGCAAAATATTATGAATCATTTGGAAATTTTATTTAACAAACAGAGAAGAAGAGGTTGTATATTTATTATTTATTCACAGCGTGGAAAATATAAAAATATCTGTGGAGTCCCACTATTCAAGGAATTCATGTCACTCTGCGAGTTTTCAATCTGAAGAGAAATTAATTAATTTATATGGAATTGGTATCAACTCTGTGTAGTATAGAAATGCAAACTTTCTAATTTGTTGCAATATTAATTGTTTAAAATTTTGATTTCCAGGTAGATACATGAGAACTTGAAAATTTAATTTACTCTTTGAACCAGTGTAATGGTAGGTTTCTAGATTCTAGAATGCCTAGAGTAATTCATTTGTTGGAATCTATAAATATAAAGTACAGAAAACTTTGAAGTAGGAAGATGACTTTTAAAATGAAGTTAGAACTTGAACTATTTCAATGAACATTAGACATAGCAATTGTACAGTGTAAGTAGATCCTTTTCTCTTAAATTGTGCTTTGCTATGTTACTAGTAAAAATATTAATGCTTTCTAACAACATCAAGACGCAAATAATGTCGTCTTTTTATTCCATTGTTTTCTGGTTATCATTGTAGCATCCTCTGAATGTTCGTTTATTTATTTGTTTTCATGTCCGTTCAAAACTCAGGAACCCCTGTACTGAACTCAGGAACCCCTGTACTGAACTCAGGAACCCCTGTACTGAACTCAGGAACCCCTGTACTGAACTCAGGAACCCCTGTACTGAACCGATCTGCAAATTTTGATTGGAGAACTCGGTAGAACAACGGGAATGTTCTTAGCTTGGGATAAAGCTTAGTTTCCATACTATGCTGGGTTCCCAAGCTATAGTTCTACTTAAAAAAACTAATTTGTCCAAATCATCTTGTTTCTTTATTGGTTCGAATTGTTGATAGAAATTTTCAATATAAATAATGTAATTGGTTTTAATTCTAACAAACCAGTTTTCTTATTCATCATCAAACAATTTTCTTATTCTGATCATCAAACAGTTTTCTTATTCTGATCATCAAACAGTTTTCTTATTCTGATCATCAAACAGTTTTCTTATTTTGATCATCAAGCAGTTTTCTTATTCTGATCATCAAACAGTTTTCTTATTCTGATCATCAAACAGTTTTCTTATTCTGATCATCAAACAGTTTTCTTATTCTGATCATCAAACGCGTAATTTAAAAATAAAGTATAATTTGTAATATTTTTACATTAATTTTCAATTCACATTTTCAAAACCTAAAGATACTAAATTTTTCGTCTTTGCTGAATAATTTCTTAAATTACTTCTATGGAGAAACCATAATTGAAAATTATCTTTTTTCAGGTTTAAAAAACCCTGCCTCTTTAATTATACTTTTTTGATTTTACTTAATTTTTATGTGATGCATACGATTATTTTTTGATTAAAGATAAGAATAAAAATGGGTACAAACTTTAATTTTGTAGATATGTATGTTTTTGAACACCGAACAGTGTACATAGCACATCAGACCCACTTAAACTGAAAAAAGGAATGAAGCATAAAAAATGCATTTAACTACATATCTGTAACTCTGCAGTGTAGTTGTTCACATCTATAAGATACATGGACAAATCCTGAATATCTGATTAGTTGTCCTATATTAGAACTACAAATAAGATAGTTCAACGACCTAGCTCAAATTCATTTATTTCGGTCCTTGATGTGTTAACAGTGTGAACATTTTTCCCGTCAATAAAATGAGTTTGCAAGATATACCTTGATAATTAAAAAACAGTTTTTGAGACGTTTATTAATCGAATATTTACCCTGGCTGAAACAGACTACAGAACACATCCAATGAGATAATAGCTTCAAATATTTTTGCCATGCAAAATACATTTGCAAAGAAAAGGTACTATTCGCTACTGGTCTTCTCTAAGATTTAAAAGGGGAAATGAGGGGAGGGGAGGAAGCAGAGGGAAGAGTGGGGAAGGGATGGGAGAAGGTAGGGTGGGAAGGTTAGGTAGGGGATTGCTTGAGAATTGAGGAAGTTGACATATATCAAATGTCGTGGGGAGGAAAACTTTTTACCGGTTTCCATTTTTCCGCAAGAAAATTGAATCCTCCATTTTGTGCCGGGGTTCTAACTCAAGTTGTCATGAGCCAATGCAATCACCGCTTCCGGAGTCCTCCCTGCGAGAAACGTTAGGACGCACGCGCAAACTCTTTTCCCCGCGCCGGGCGTTGATGTCTCCAAGAGTTTCCCGGTTTCCGAGTTAATACTGAGCCTGCTGTCTCCGGGACTAGAGAGGACCAGAACCTAACCTAGATATAGACATTTAAACTTAAAGGTAATAGAAATCAAACCGTTCAATTCTTTTCAAAAAGGTTTTATTAAATAGAACATTTTCCTGAAGCTGTCCTCCAAAATGTTCTTTGGTATTTATTCTAAAAATTAAAATTTCATTGAAAAAAATTCTTTTTTTTGAAAATGATTTTCTGATCACTAACTTTCTTTACTTCTCCGAAGAATGATCGAGAAAACTGATCAAACGGAACTAAATGTCAGACTCAAGTTTATGCATTAATTCAACACTCTCACCCTTTAATTAAAGGGACCTAGTCAATACTCATGAAACAATTGGAATTGGACATTAGTGTTTTCTTTTTTAAAGATTTATTTCTTCGGAGTTATCCGTCCTTGTTCTGGTTTTACTCTAGCTCCAAACATTATCCGTCCTTGTTCTGGTTTACTCTAGCTCCAAACATTATCCGTCCTTGTTCTGGTTTTACTCTAGCTCCAAACATTATCCGTCCTTGTTCTGGTTTTACTCTAGCTCCAAACATTATCTAGAATTATTCAACAATTTTACTGAGACTGTTTATATTACATGTTTAAGTCTCATTTAAACAAACTTTCATTTTTGATCTGAATTAGAATTATTAAACATTTGTAATTTAGTGTTTTTAAAAGTACTTCAATCCATTATATTCATTTATTCATCATAGCACTTCAATCAATTAGATTCATTTATTCATCATAGTACTCCAATCCATTATATTCATTTATTCATCATAGCACTTCAATCAATTACATTCATTTATACATCATATACTCCAACCAATTATATTCATTTATTCATCATAGTACTCCAATCCATTATATTCATGTATTCATCATAGCACTTCAATCAATCAAATTCGTTTATTTATGCACGATACAATCCAACCAATTATATTTATTTATTCATCATAGCACTCCAATCAATTATATTCATTTATTTATCATAGCACTCCAATCAGTTATATTTATTTATTCATCATAAGACTACAATCAGTTATATTCATTCATTCATCAAAGAACTCCAATCAATTATATTCATTTTTGCATAATAGCACTCCAATCAGTTGTATTCATTTATTCATTATAGCACTCCAATCCATTTCAATCAATTATAATAATAATTATGATCATAAATTATTCTTAAATTATTTTGATCAATTATATTTATTTATTCACATGGCACACAATTAATTATAATATTAATTTTCTTATATTTTTAAATCAATTATATTTTCTATCACTATATTGTAAATCCATATTTCATCTAAAACATTTTCCGCATTGAGCACTAGTTTCTTGCCCTGCTTTGTTTATGACTTTAAAGCACGTTCGTTTACAGGAAGTACTTTTTTAAAAAGCAGTATATATCTATCTATATATATATCTATCTATCTATCTAACTGTACTTCTTTCTATCTTTCTCACCATCTCACCTGCTTCCTGTTCTCTGCAAAAACTGAATATTTCAACCAAACGCTGACAGACGAACGGAAACATAGAGAAGGTTTTCATTTTCGACATATTGCGGGTCATTTTTTGCCACATTTTTCTTGCGGTGGATTCCTATCATCTCGAGGACTAAAAATTGAATAAAATGTTTGTGGTGAAGTTTCACGGTTTAAATTCTACGACATGACCGAACCTAAATTGTATCTTTCTTACTTCGTCATTCATACTCATCTTCTTTTTAACACCGAATGGTTTACACCCAAACCCTCTTTTTAACCCATTTATACGATCTTAAAGGGGTAGGTTTAAAAGCTTGAAGAGACCCTTCAATTAGGAACTGATTGGCATAAAAGATTTACAGCAGCATTATTTAAATTTTAAACGTTAATAACGACTCGTAGATTTCTGCAACAAAGACGAGCAAATTACTTGCCAAGATTCGTTACATCGCTTCTAAGTTGAATACTTTGGCAATAACCATTATTTTTTATTTGAATTTCCAACTACAAACCCTGCCGTGGATTCATTGTTCCAGGATTCCAGGAAATATAAATATGTAGAATTTCTCATCTCAACACAGACTAAATAACTCTGAGCGGATGTTTATTGTCTCCTAAAATAAATGAAATGAAAAGTGACTTCTTTCTCTCCCCTCCCCTTGTCCAGCTCTCTCCCATTGTTTAAGAATAGAATTAGTTCCGCTGCGGAGAGGAATAATGAATTTTAAACTGGAGCAAAGGATAAAACTCTTCAACAGAAAATTACAATGTCTTTCTATCTGTACTGCATCAAGACATTTTCCAACCCGGAAAAGAATAATTTTCAATTTAATTCCAGTATAATTTCCAACCCATAACATAGAATAATATCCTACCCTGAGCACAAGTCACTTTGAAAACCACAATTAAAAATAATCAATTTTCAAATAGAAGTATATCCCATGTATATATGAACCTACATAGTTCTGGAGGGTGCTGTTGTGAATCGGAAATGCCTCTCTCTAAACGTAAAGTCACTTAAAATTAAGTCCACAGTCCCTTTAAATTATCCAAAAGCTGCTACTAATAATTATAAACAACTTTTTCATAAAACAAAAAATAGATTTCTGAAAATCCCGCAGATTCCTAATGAAAAATCTTGGACTTTTTACCACGTATGATCTATTTTTAGAGAAAACCAAACATAGATCTCCCCTCGTCTACCCCTAGACAAGTAAATAGACCTGAAACATAGCTCTCCCCTCGTCTACCTCTAGACAAGTAAATAGACCTGAAACATAGTTCTCCCCTCGTCTACCTCTAGACAAGTAAATAGACCTGAAACATAGCTCTCCCCTCGTCTACCCCTAGACAAGTAAATAGACCTGAAACATAGCTCTCCCCTCGTCTACCTCTAGACAAGTAAATAGACCTGAAACATAGTTCTCCCCTCGTCTACCTCTAGACAAGTAAATAGACCTGAAACATAGCTCTCCCCTCGTCTACCCCTAGACAAGTAAATAGACCTGAAACGTACAGTTTCCTGTTCCTGTTTCCTCAACTACTAAAATACCCTGTTACATAAAGAACTATTCTAGCCCCGGGGGCCGGGGAGATATAACAGGACTTAATTAATCATATCTTCCCAACCCCTTTATTGTACTTTCATCTACATTAAACTTTCTATTTGAAATCAATTTGAGCAGTTTAGTTCAACTTCAAGATCTTTTTAGTTCTGCATACAGTCATAATCAGAAAGACCCGGAATTAATTGACAGTTAATCAGACGACTTTACATATATATTATATATCTCTGGCAATTTCAAATGCTTAATAAAGGCTGACCATATTTTGAAATGGCAGGACTAAGGCTATTTTGTGATTATCGTTTTTGTAAGATTTGTAAGATTATGTTGTAAAGTCGTGTGATTAATTGTAAATTAATTCCAAGTCTTTCTGATTAGAACTGTATTCTTCCGCTTTGGTTTTAAGATTTTCAGGTTTTTGGAGAGACATACTTTTTCTAGCATTTTAATTTTTGCAATATTTACAATGTTTTACATATATCCCCTATTCCTGAAGTCATTGTCCTATATCCTGAACCTAGCCATGCATGACTGATAAATAAGTCGGACATTAAGGTTACTTTTAGATTATGATTGGTGAGAATATGTCAGAGAATTAAGATAGATTACAACGATCCGTAAAAACTTTCTAGCTTTTAAAAACGTTTTAAAATCTGTTGGCATGAAGTGATAATTAAAAAGATTTAAAGTATTATTCTTCCAATTCTTGATGTATGAAACCGTTCTGCTCCGGGTCCAGTTTAGATCCAGTCTCGGATTTCTCCGTCACACCACACCGAAGATCTTTTTCTTTCGGCTCAGCAGGTTGAGAACAAAATAATCTCAGAGTTTTCTGACGGAGAACTCGGCATTATTTCTAAACCAATGTTGACATTCTCAAAAATCCATAAAGGAATTGAGTCTTTGCCTCAAACTCTGATTTTCTAATCACTATAACTCTGGAACCAAATGTTGCAGATCTTAGAAAATTCAAACTATGAATTCTGTTAGATAAATAATCTGAGTTTGAAATATCAAAGGTTTAAAACATCGAGTTCTAAAGATATTGAGGTTGAAATATTTGATTTTGTTCCAAAGACTCAATTCCTTTAGTAATTTTGCTTGAAACGAGAAGAAAAATAGGAGCATTGACTGATTGCACGCAATGTATTGTTATGGAAGAAAGTTGGCATTTTAATGGTTTAATATCCGTGTATCAAGATATGAAGTAAGTTTCAAGTGAACTAAAAATTCCAAGTTCAGTGAAATCCCTCCAGGCCGAAGTAATCACCGTTCTCTCGTTCTATATAATTATTGCATTGTTCATTTCTGATTTCTTTATATTTGTCACCCTTGTCAAATCACCCCCCCCCCCTCGTCCCTACCTTTTCTCCCTCCCTAACACACTTTCTGTTTTCTCCCCTCGCTAAAGTTGAATTCTGTCTGTCCATTTCCCCCCATTGTATAATCTAGAAGAATGGTTGGTTTATGAATAGGAAAAGGAAGTATTGGGTTGAACTCAGCAGGATAATATAGGTTTCCTTCTCCAAGTACTCTCCCAAGTAGAACTCTCTCATTCAACCGATAATAGGAGAGTCTTATGTGTAAGCACGACCTCTTGGTTGACTTTCAATACTTCAATACTATTTAATACTTGAAACCTTTCTCTTCAACCCCCAACCCTTCACCTTTAAACCATAGAATTCAGATTTAATAATAATTTAATTTTAATAGCTTCCTTTATTTAAATAACTGTTAATATTATTGAAAAATAACGCAGATACGAATATTAAAAAAACAAACAGAATAATAAAGACATTAAATTAATTGTGAAGCAATGGAAAACTGTTTGATGAACTTGTTGAAGAAAAGTGAAAGGTTTTATATCTTCTCACGGTTGGTTCTAGTTTCTATTGATATATATTCAATGATTGAATGTCAGGTTTCCAACGTTATTTGCTACAATTTTTTCACGTTTGTTGCCGATGTTTACAAAGGAAGAATGATGCAAAAAA